TCAATAAATTTTGACTCAGAGCCCTACAAATACGCCACATGCACGAGTAGAAAGGGCAAAGATTTCTACACACACTTTATCTATCTTTGTTTCACAACTATATTGCGTTGATGCCAGGAATTTGAAAAGAGGAAAATATAAGTCCACTCCAAAAATAACTTACTTTCAATAGAAGCAGAAAAATCAGACTAACCAATCAAAAAAAGTCTGAGGAGAATCGGATAACTAATAAGAAATTATGAATTTTTAATGACATTAAAAACTTTGAAAATCACTAGACAAATTGGCAACTCACTCATGAGTCTGTGACATCATGTCCTCACTATCCACTAATTATTTTCTTTATATTGATGATATAAATTTCCTATTTTCTCCTTAAGAATCTTATTTCTTCACACCAGCATCCAAGTTAGATTAATAGTAATATGTTTTTGTGTGGATGCACTAATATAGAGTAATTTTTTCCAGTTAAATCATGAAAAATGTGAATTTTGATAAATTGTTTATATAAAAATCAATAATTATGAATATACAATATTCAGAAAATAGTATAAATTCTTCAAAGTTAATAAAATATTTTGTGAGATGTCATGCATGCAATATGATACATATCATATAACCTGGGCAAAGAATAAGTTCATTTGTATGAAAGCAGACACGTAAGAGAAATAGAATGACAAAAGTTTGAAATAAATCAGACAGATTAAAAGAGTTATGAATGTTTGATGTATGATCTCACTGAGTGTATGTGAATCTCAAATTGGCAATTTATTTTGGTCAGTAGATTACAATGTAGACATAGACAACTCTCCTGTTTGTCTTGTACCAAAATATCATTTAATATTTGTTTTTATTTTCTTTTCTTTTTTTCTTTTTTGCCTTCTCCTTGAGGCACATCTCAAAATATATTATGGAAAGCAAAGTATTATAGTTCCTCATATTGTAGTTCCTCTTTTTATCTAAAGATAAGAAGACCCTAATGAGTCGTACACTTTGAAAACATTATTTTGTGCTATTTACACATAGTATACAAATATATTCAAGTCCACTAAAAACAGGGAACTAGAGTAGAATTGACACCGATAATAACATATATTATTATCATATAGATGAAGTGATGTAATTGCTCCAATCAAAGTGGGTTGATGGCAATGTTTATTTTATCGACTTGATGGAAAGAATTTAAATGTAAGATGTAATTTTGGAAGCACCAACAAATCTTAAGGTGTTATTTTCACGGGCAGATTTATAGACCTAAGGTTTGTCTTATCTTGAGCTTCTTTAAGTCATTTTAATGTCTTTTCGATCTTGACTTCTGCTCTCATTTGATCGACTAACATTTCTAAATAGCAGGGGTGATAGTGAGCACAAAAAAAAATATAGGTTTTTTGTTTTCCCCTCAACCGCGCCCCCCTTGAGTAAAAAAAAAAAAAGAGGATCCGCGGGGGAAAAATAGCATCTAACAACATTCCCCCCTTTCGAGTAAGAACATTGGGACAAAATTGGGAAAATTAGGGGGAAAAATAGGGCAAAATAGGGAAGAATAGAGAAAATCAGGATAAAATATGGAAGAAGAAAAAAAAATTGGTAAAAAGAAAAAAAAAAAAATCTAGATTTTTTTTTTTTTTTTTTTTTTATAAATCGGGAAGAAACAAAAAATCTGAAAAAAATCGAGAAAATTAAAAAAAATCAGGTTTTTATCAGGCCTGAAAATAGGATAAGCTGTTGCATTGGTATTTGGTAAGAATTAAGAACAGGGTGTGCTTAATTGGTGTGCCAAGTTTGAGGACAATTCGATAGTCCCTTCACATAATTTTGTATAGAGTTGTCATCCTCACCTTGCACAATATCTTGTGAGACTCCATGCTGACACCATAGTACTAAATTATTAAAAAACCAATCTCTTGTGGTTTGTGCATACATGTACCTCTGGTGAAAGGAAAGGAAAATCATAATGTTTGAATTGTTTCATCTAAATAATGAAACGACCTGAGCAATCAGCCATAAAATTGATTTTAGAGGGGAAAAATTCTTTTGCTTTAGACAACAAAGAATAAGGAAAACATGAACATAAGGTTCACTGGAATACCAGTAGCTTCATCACTTTATCAAATTAAATTTAGATTTGTAAATAGCAGATATTGACATGCATAAAATTCAATATTGATTCTACAGTTAACTAAATTATTCATAGCCTTACCAAGTTATGTATTTTTTTAAGTATGTGAAGATTTGTCCCCATTTATGTTTCTTGAGAATATAGCATAATAAAGCTTACAATATCTAAAAGAATTCAACAAAGGCCCTAATTCAATCAGTCCATGTTTGTTTCATTCTTGTGTTACGAAAACACATACAAATCTAATTTACAAGGGATATGAATACTTCAGTTAACTGTATATTTTCCCATTTTAAATCCAACTATATCTTTACCACATACATATATAAGAAGTTAAAGAGATGAAAAGAAAGCAATAAAAAGAGAGGGAGAGAGAGAGTTATGCTATAATTTCAGAGAGCCCACTTTGTAGGAAATGAGAAATGGAAATTTGATAATCCAAATACTCTATTAAACGCATGACTATAAAGTAATTACATTGTCAATGCCTCGGGTCCTTCACCTGAAACTTGTATATTCTACTTACATCTTAAATTTGAATTCTTTCCATCAAGCCGATAAAATAAACATTGCCATCAACCCACTTTGATTGGAGCAATTACATCACTTCATCTATACGATAATAATATATGTTATTATCAGTGTCAATTCTACTCTAGTTCCCTGTTTATAGTGGACTTGAATATATTTGCATACTATGTCTAAATAGCACAAAAATAATGTTTTCAAAGTGTACGACTCATTAGGGTCTTCTTATCTTTAGATAAAAAGAGGAACTACAATATGAGGAACTATAATACTTTGCTTTCCATAATATATTTGGAGCTGTGCCTCAAAGGAGAAGTCAAAAAAGAAAAAGAGAAAAGAAAAGAAAAACAAATATTAATGATATTTTTGTACAAGACAAACAGGGGAGTTGTCTATGTCTACGTCGTAATCTACTGACCAAAATAAATTGCCAATTTGAGATTCACATACACTCAGTGAGATCATACATCAAACATTCATAACTCTTTTAATCTGTCTGATTTATTTCAAACTTTTGTCATTCTATTTCTCTTACGTTTCTGCTTTCATACAAATGAACTTATAACAAGGGTTGGATTGCCCTATATTGTTTTCTTCTTCAAATTGATTTCTTTGTTCAGGCTTGTTGACATATTTTGGTTGTCCTCTGACAAGGTGTCAGCATTGCCACATCGACATACCGTACATGTATACAAGAAAAAGTCAATTTAACATCATACCAAAAGTAATGAAACAACACTCTGGATAGATAACAAAAAAGGTTGATACATGCAGGGATATATTTTCATTTGAAAGTATGTCATGTAGAATTCAACAGAAAAGCGTTTCAAAATACTTGAATAAGAGAAAACATTAAACTGCTGGCAATGCTCTCAGTGCTGTGTGGAATACTATGAAATTGACATCCAATCATATATTTTCATAATATTTTCTCAGGAAATGAAATGGTCATAGTGGAATACATCTCAAATCAAGGAATTTTCAGAGGAACATGTGACCTTAAGTTTGTTTTTCATGCTTTAATGGTATCAGCAAGATCTGTGCTTGATTTTCATCAGCTATAAGTACATTGAGTATTCTCCTGAGATCCATTAAGTAGTATGTATCTGAGTAACCTTTTCCCTTTGATGGAACTCAGGCATCAAGAACACTTAAAGATGCTCTACTTCTCTTCTAAGCGTGCCCTCTCTCTGTTTTCTGTCATATTTTCCTCTTCTACTCACCGATAGCCTTGACTGACATATAAATGTACAAGGTCTTGTATCCTCCCTCTCTCACTCTATCTCCATACATCTTTATTTTTTTCTTTATATTTTGTGCATCATTCTGCTTATTTTTCATGTGTAATGGTTATGATTATCTTGTAAAAATGAATGAACCATTATAAAGTTTTTAACTTTTGATTTTGCTCTGTTATGATTTATATTTCATGTGAAGTCAGTTTTCAATAAATCCCTTTTTGATTGATCAAGATATCACAATGAAAACAAATTATGCTAATTCATAATGTCCTGTATGTGACCAATTTCTACATAATATATATATATATGAAGAGTTTAATTCCAAAAGGAGCCATATCCATTTTTGTTACTTCAGAGAAAAAAGAATTTGTTTACCGGATTTTGTACAGGTGTCTATGGAAAAGTGATTTTAGAAGGTGCATTTTTCATAATTGCTCCCAAAATTTAGGTAAATACTTTTGTCGACAGACGAGTACTTGAGTAAACAATGTTCTGATATCAAGAACTCAATTTTCATCAAAAGTGGATTTAGCTACTTTTGGAATTAAACTCTTCATATATGTGCAATACTAACATGAATCAACTTGGGACTTCTATATGAAATATGAATTGAATTAAATAATCAAATATGAATTAAATGAGATAATTATATGTTGTTTTTTTTTAATTTAAGAGTGCTTTCACCCATTATTTTTCAGATCTACAACTGCCTACCTTTAAATCTCACAGCTGGACGACTGTAAATTTTCTCAGCAATATACACTAGTGCTATTAAAAAAACACTAAGTTACCCTTTTTACTCTTTTACAAAGTTGAAGTAACGTAATGGACAGGTGTTTTGAAAGGCGATCAGATAGATCTGAGGGACCACAATTAAAATGTCATGTCAGAGACGATTTTGAATAAGAACACCTATTTTGGTCTTATTATACAAGCGCATGTACATGTATTAACAGGACTCTGTAATCTTCCCAAAACTCAAGTTAAAAAAGAGAAATATTCTTAAAATACTCGTACTTTTCAATATGCATTGTAAATTTTTTGTAATAATTTTACCCCTTTCTCTTTCTCTCTTTCTCTTCCTCCCTCCTCCACCTCTTTCTCTATCTTTCTCTTTCTCCCTCCTCCCCCTCTTTCTCTTTCCTTTCTTTTTTAACATTTTTACAGATCTCATCAGCAAGTGAGAGGAAACAAATGCAGTTTTCAGATCAACAGGAGATCGTATTTCCCTGACATGTATATGCACACTTATGGAATCAGTGGGCACAGGAACGCACAGCCTCCAAAAGCAGAAGACTGCACATGATCTGTCGATCAAAACATTCTGGATAGTGGACCAAATTTTTTCTTCACAAGACTTTCAAGCACTTTTGGATTGCAATCAAATCAGTGAAAAGGTGTTATACATGTAGAATTTTCTTTACCTTTTTCTGAAGTCATGTCATCATTCACAACACTCGTTTCTGAACATACCATGACATCGCTCATGACTGAAAGGATGGACACTACCTCGCTTTTGGATACCGGGATGACAAGTGATGCGCTATCCACGGAAATGGAAGAGGGAGGATCGGTAGTCACATATCCAAAGTACATACAGATCATTGCATGTACTGTGGGTATACCTATCATTGTAGTTGGATCTGGAGGGAACCTACTCACTATTCTGGCTGTGGCAAAGAGCAAGCGACTGCGGGCTAACACCATGAATCTCTACATCGTCAGTCTCTGCGTGTCTGATATTCTGTACTGCACTACTATCCTCCCCGTGCTCCTGGCCGTATACACCCACAACGCATGGATTTTGGGACAGACCTACTGCAAAATCTATGCCACGCTTCTCTTCACGTTTGTAGGTGCTACTCTGATGTGTCTTGCAGCGATCGCTCTCAGCCGATACTTCAAGATACGGCACGCCGCCATCTACAATCGCCTGTTCACAAAGTATCTGTTCATTGGCGGTCTGATAGCTATTGCTTGGATGCTTCCTCTTATGTTCTTGTTTCCAGCCATCATCGGAGTGTGGGGGGGCATCGGCTACGAACCCAAAACGCTCACATGCACCATTCTTCGCCAGAACTCCTCCTACAACCATTTCTTCATGGCCTCAGCCCTTATCCTTCCTACCGCGTTCATTGTCACATTCTACCTTCGTATCTTCTGCATCGTCCAGGCAAGCAACAGGCGGATAAACAGCCACAACATGCAGCTACCTGCTCCGTCCAATGAATCCAAGACAGGAGCAGGACAGCAACGCAAGAGGTGCGTGCGTGAAGATCTCTCCTTCACGCGCATGATGATCGCCATCTTCATCATCTTCATCGCCTGTTACTTCCCCTACATCATCACCAATCTCATCGACCCTGAGGTCAAGGTACTGGATTTGCATTTCTTCGCTGGGATGTGCTGTTGGTTCAGTAGCTGCCTCAATCCTGTGCTCTATGTCTTTATGAATAGGCATTTCCGCAGAGCATTTGCTAACTTGTCTTTGTGGCGCAGTGAAAGCATAACCACTTAGTTATCATCACACAAGCACAACATCCTTCAAATGAGACCGGGATGAACATTCAAAGAATAACCAATCATTATCTCTACTATGGTATTGTGGTACAGTACTATTAAATATTCTAAAAACATTGCACACACACACACAAAAAAAAAAACGCTTAGCTTTTATTTCATGACATGTGTAACTAATTACAGCAAAAAAAATTAAGCATAAAAATCAGAGCAAACTTACTTTAAAGAAGAGGTAGAGTCTGTGATGGACATTCAAAGAATAACCAATTATTATTCTACTATGGTATTGTGGTACAGTACTATTAAATATTCTAAAAACATTGCACACACACACACACACACACACAAACGCTTAGCTTCTATTTCATGACATGTGTAACTAATTACAGCAAAAAAAATTAAGCATAAAAATCAGAGCAAACTTACTTTGAAGAAGAGGTAGAGTCTGTGATGGACATTCAAAGAATAACCAATTATTATTCTACTATGGTATTGTGGTACAGTACTATTAAATATTCTAAAAACATTGCACACACACACACACAAAAACGCTTAGCTTCTATTTCATGACATGTGTAACTAATTACAGCAAAAAAAATTAAGCATAAAAATCAGAGCAAACTTACTTTGAAGAAGAGGTAGAGTCTGTTTGAATTGTATCATTATCTTCAGTGCTACTTTCATCTTCTTTAAAAATCATCGTCTCTAAGAAACCAACTGAAAATCAAAATATAAATAGCAAATATGTGAACGATGCTTTCAAAAAAATTATGTGTACTTCAAGCTGTGTAATGTGTCTTTTAAAGCTGCTACCACAAGCTTTAAGAGTTGCTACCGTAAGTATGTACTGTAATTGACTAAGTAGTATGTACATGGTTTATTTTACAAATATAAAATCATGATTGAGAGACTTGCAAGGGATATTGAAATACACCCCAGCTTATTTTTTTCAAAAAAACAACTGAGATTCACTTTGAACATAAAGTGAAGGGATAATTAGATAGAATGATAGTAAACTTGATATGAAATTTTCTTGAGAAACCTTTTTTAGGGATAAATATGATTACCATGCCATATTCAAATTGTGCGATTCAAGCCTCACAAATGTACTATGCATCTATATTTTTAATTACACCAACAACAACAAATTTAATGTACAAATCATATATATTTTGTCTACATTGTAATGAAGTGTGTCATGTCAAATTTACACTATAAGTGCGATTAATGGAATTTGAAAATAAGTCTCATTACTTTTGTATTTACATAAATTGCCCTGCATGCAACGTTCATCCTGAATTTGAATTACTGAATTACTAATGCTCAAAATATATGCTACTGCTATGTAAATATTTGCCTGAACAAGAACAATTAAAAGTGCATCGATAGCATAACAAATTAACTCTTGTCAATTTTGTACTGAAATCGTTGTACAGAAATGTACAGAGAAGGAGGAGCATCATAAGGGTTTTTAAAAAAGAAGGAAATTGGACAGGGGAAAGCGGATTAGAAAAAGGGATATAACAATTAATTAAAATTAAATTAATATATACATGTTAAATTGAGAATGAATAGAACTTCCAAAATGTGAAAAAAATACAAGGTAAAGGAAGAAAAGAGAGCGACAGGAAGAGAAAATAAAGGGATGGGAAAGAGGAAGAAAGAAGACACTAAAACTAAGAGAGAACAGAAAAGAGAAATGAGGAAGAGAGAGAGAGAGTGATATAGAAAGATATTGAATGATAAAAAAGACGGATGGATACAGAGAACATATTTATATTACAGCGAAAAGGGACAGAGAGAAAGAGACTGGCAAAAGTGAGCAGAAGATAAAGGCCAAAAAAGATATATGTACAGTGTATATAGATGAGGGATGTAAATGCTAATTCAATTAAAAGAGGAGAAAAAAGAGCAGAAAAGGGGAAAACTGAGATACCGGTAAGCAGAAACTTGAAGATGAGATGGACAGGATGAAGTAGGAAAATAGAGATAGATAAATTGAGAAAAGAAAGTTACTGTAAAGAGAGAGAGGTCTGTTTGGTTACCTTGATCTTTCATGGATGACCAAAACTTCTCATGAGCCTTGGCAGCATCGTAGATTGCTTGCATCCCACAGCTTGATGGGATACCAGGTGAAAGGTCGGGACATGGGTCACCCAGCATGATGCGGGTACACATCGCCATGGACACAGCTATGGAGTTCAAGTTGTACCCTCCCTGGTAAATGAAAAAGAATGGGTAAAACAATTTTTTTCATATCATGTATCATATATATATATATATTCCTATATTCACTGAATATCATAAACAGTGTGTGATAAGTATAGGTATCCAATACAAGATTGGCATATCTTTACTATGAGTTTTAAACTTCGGACTTAATTTTATTTAACCTGCACTTCAACAAAAAAAAAACGCCTAATAAAGTATGATGTACTTCATATGGCTTATCCCCAGTCAAGTTGTGCAGCTAATGACATACATCTGCACTTAAGAACACAATCAACTATCAACAGAAAACTCTATTTATTAATTGCCTTTTAAAAATCAATGCTTGAGATGTAACGTTGAAAAATATTGATCTTTGGAGTGGTTTGAAATGATTCAAACATAGATTATTAAACATTTTATGTTGAGGATCAGTGGCTACATTGCACAAAACCAATATTACACTGTTATAGCCTTAAATCAATTCAAAGTCTTCAAAGAAAAACTAATGTCATAAAACTGCAGCTGTATCCAAGTAATGATTTACTTACTGATTCACTGTCAGCAAGAAATGCGACAGGAGTTGATTAGATTAGGACAAACAAAAGAATCGATGCAACAGGACAAGTTCTAGTTCAAATTATTGACATTATTCTCTTGTAGACAGGGGTGAAAGTGAGCACTAAAAAAATAAAGGGGAGGGGGGTATTTTTTCTCAAGCACCCCCACCCCCCCCCCCCTCCCTCCCCCTTGAGTAAACAAATTTATAAAAGGATTGGGGGGGGGGGGAAGGGCATCTAACAACATCCCCCCTTTTGAGTAAGAAAATTGGGGGGAAAATGGCGATAATTAGGGAAAAATAGGGGGGAAAGGGAAAAATAGGGGAGGGGGAAGGGAAAAAATCAGGTAATTATCAGGCCTGGGTAGACTAACGGACATTTACCTCTAACACAGTGATGACACGCCCTCCAGCTATACTGCTAAGCATGTGGGTCATGTGACCATAGCCTTCCGGCGATACCAAGCAATTCCCCTGGGATGGAAACAATGAGCACAATTATTCAAACAGACATTAATATGCATCTATAAATAAATAAATTATTCAAACAGACATTTATATGCATCTATAAATAAATAAATTATTCAAACAGACATTAAAATGCATCTATAAATAAATAAATTATTCAAACAGACATTTATATGCATCTATAAATAAATTAATTATTCAAACAGACATTTATATGCATCTATAAATAAATTAATTATTCAAAAAGACATTTATATGCATCTATAAATAGCTGATAACAAAGACTAGCACTCTGATAACATTTCATAATGCATGATGTAAGGGCATTTGATTTGCAGTCATTTATCTTTACAAAACATAATGAATGGTCTTGCGGGAGAGGCACTGCCTCTGGTAAAAATGCACATTAATTATTCACACAAGATATATATTTTTATCTAATATTTCTTCAATACCCCTATATTTTTATGTAAATGCATGAGATTTACATGAACACAGAGGATTGTCTTGAATGAAAGATAAATTACATGATTGTACTACTTGGCGCTATGTAAGTTACATTTATTATTACAGTCAAACCTGCTTTAGTGACCACCTGTATAGAAAGACCACCTGTCTACACAAAGACCACATTTTTGGTTTCCCTTGAAAATGGTTTCTGACTTAAACATGTACTAAAGGAACCTGTACATAAAGACCACTTGCCTATAAAGACCACTTTTCTTGTCTCCCTTGGATGGTCTTTATAGACAGGTTTCACTGTATTAGTAGTAATGACTGTCACAAACAAATCAAGAGAGAACAGAGCTTTGATCAAAACAAGCAGGAACACTCACTAGTGGGTCTCCCTTAGCAGCATCAAAACCAGCTGAAATGAAGACTAACTCTGGGTTGAACTGAAAAGAGAACATACAGACACTACATAGTTTAATACAAAGGGGAAGAAAAAATATGTATGTACATGTATGAGTGTGTAGGAGAGAGGCTGTAAGAGAGAGTGTGTGGAAGAGAGTGTGTAGGAGAGAGTGTGTGTAGAGAGAGAGAGAGAGGGATAGAAAGGGAGAGAGGAGGGGAGGAAAAAGTACACTAGTGCAAGACTGGAAGAAATAGACTTAGGAAGACAGACAGAAAATAAATCGAGTGGAAGAGAGATGGAGAGATAAAGAAACAGATATTTGGAGAGAGAGAGGGATAGAGAGCAGGAAAGATAGACCAACAAAAAATAGATACAGAGACAATGAGACAAAGAGAGAGAAAGATAATGGGAAAGAGTGTGGGAGAGAGAAAATAGATATAATAAGAGAGGGAGAGAAAAGAGATAGACAAACAGAGAATGAGTCAAAGAGTTCAAGAAAAGAGAGAGAGAGGATACAGGGGAGTGAAGGAGAGAGAGAGAGGGAGGGAAAGAGTTTTGTCCAAAAAAATAACAATATAGGTGAGTAAAATCATAGCAGTCATGGAGTCAGGTGCTCAAAATGACACAAAACTAGACTTCAATTTCATTAACTATTTCCTTCAAATAATAAATCCAGCAAACGACATTGGATGCACAGAATTCATTCACAGAAATATGTCACTGAGCAGCCAGTTGAAAATAAACGTTTGACTTTTCAACCAAAGCCCCCACATCACTGATGACTTTACATCGTCTGTTTGAAGCGAGAAGGGCATTAACACATTTCATTTTAATACACAGACCTAATGACCTTCTGGCGCCAAACTAACGATACAAGTACATACCTGGTATGCTAGAGGCATGATGATATGATGAAAGGCAGCTAGGTATTCAGCATCTCCCATTAAGCCCTTGTTACCCTAAATAGTTAGGTAAAGAAAAGACAAAAGAGAAACTAGATGGAACTTCGACTGCGCGCAGTCGAAAATGATGCCTCCGTCATAGAGCAAGTTTACAAACCAAAAAGCAATTTCTCATATACATATATGACCCTTTGATCTTTGACCTCATGACCCTAAAATGTACTCAGTTCATTGGCTCTGCAAGATGTCCTGAGTTAAATAGTAATCCATCTGTCAGTTCTAATGAGAATGCGTTCACAAGCTATTTTTGCATACATAATGAGCCCATGACATTTGACCTTTGACCTCATGACCCAAGAATCTACTCAGTTCATTGGCTCTGCAAGATACATACATGATCTAAGTTTGGCAGGAATCCATCAATCTGTTCTAATGATAATGCGATCACAAGCTATTTTTTGCATACATAATGAGCCGCATGACCTTTGACCTTGACCAAGACCCCAAAATCTAATCAGTTCATCGGCTCTGCAAGTAACATACATGACGTAAGTTTGGCAGGAATCCATCAATTGGTTCTTGAGATAACGCGATCACGAGCTGTTTTTGCATACATAATGAGCCATGTGACCTTTGACCTTTGACCTCGTGACCCCAAAATCTAATCAGTTCATCGGCTCTGCAAGATACATACATGACCAATGTTTGGCAGGAATCCATCAATCGGTTCTTGAGATAACGCGATCACGAGCTGTTTTTGCATACATAATGAGCCCTGTGACCTTTGACCTTTGACCTCGTGACCCCAAAATCTAATCAGTTCATCGGCTCTGCAAGATACATACATGACCAAAGTTTGGCAGGAATCCATCAATCGGTTCTTCAGATAACGCGATCACGAGAACGGGACGTACGGACGGACGGACGTACGGACGGACGGACAACCCGAAAACATAATGCCTCCGGCTACTTCGTAACGGAGGCATAAAAAGAAAATCAGTAGAATTAAAATACAATCAATGAGAGTCAAATCATTTGTTTAAAAGTGGGCCAGAAATACTCTACCTATTTGAACATGTACATACTACTGTGCATCCTGGGCACATGTTCATTATGTGTAGTAAGTCTGCCTAGAGATAATGCATCTCTTGAATCTTCTGCACCTGTGCACAAGGATAAGAATCATCTTTTGGTTGGAGATGATGTCATTTGCATTAGAATTCAGTTGATTAAAAAAAACGGAGATCAACACAAATGTTACAGGAAGGCAATTGTAATCTCATCTTAAAAAAAAACTCTTATGGGGCATTGCAAGAAAGTTGCAATCAATTGCAAATCCCTTAAATCAAGCGTAAGTCTTGCGGTTAATTGCAAATTTGCAATTGATCGCAACTCAACTTTCTTGCAAAGCCCCAATAGTAAAAGAGAGATAGAGAGAGAGAGAGAGGGGGGGGGGGGGTGAGAATAAAAGCTAGATCTAGTAAACTTAATTTGATGGTTTAAACTTTAATCCTAACAAAATCCTAGAAAATTTAGGAGACTAGTGGGACGTTGCAAGAATCTTGAGTTGCAATCGATTGTAAATATCAGTTGCAAAATTTGTAAGTGATACTTCCAACTTCCAATCAACGCAACTTTCTTGGAACACCCCATTAGTCATATTCCATTAACTTACTGTATTCCAGCCAATGTTGACATTGTAGCCCTGTCCGTCACCTTTTCCTACTTGATCTACCGCCCCCTCTGGTCCCATAGGAAAGTACATACCATTCTCATGCCGATGAAGTGATATGTAGAGCACCGAGGGGTCACTCTCAAAGAGTCTCTGAGTTCCGTTACCATGATGAACATCCCAGTCAACAATTAAAACTCTGCAGAATAAATGAAAGATGAAGGGGGAAAAATCAAGTATTAGATAGGATAAGAACTTTTTTGTGATTCTTTTCTCTATAGTACAGTAGTGGGTTTCACACCATGATGACATCTCATATTTTGTATTGGCCTTCCAGTTTATCTTCTCTTTGGATAAAAAGTCAATTTCAAAAGAGAGAGCTTGTATTAAAGTGATATGTGTCAAAGCCTATCTGTTTGGCCAGGAGGGATTAGACCTCCCTGCGTGATCACTGGCAGGTAGTTATCTCATCAAATCAGCTCTGAACTAACATAAGAAAAAGGGGACCATGGGGGCTATATAGAGGGCACAAGTAGCTACAAATAGTGCAGTCCCGCTTTAAAGTGCAGATAAAGAGATAATTGCCCACATACATTCACACTAAAATTATTCAAAACAGTGTTTTAAAGAATATAAGTTTTGATATTGAATAAGAAACATATATCTTTGAATACTAAAACCATATATATACCTTTTGACACCATACTTGTTCTGAGCATATTTTGAAGCGATAGCAACATTGTTGAAGAAGCAGAATCCAGACGCCAGTTTACTATCAGCATGATGGCCTGGTGGTCTATGAAATCAAGAATACACAATGTTCCTTTATGTTATGAATAAACATTTATGTTAGGATAAATTGTGATAAATGTAATATTTGAATCACATGAAAGAGCCCCCCAAATTAATGACAAGGCTTGAAACATAAATGTTCATCTTTCTCATTGTTTCTTAAGCTGTCATGAAATTTTTAGGACAGATTTGTTATGGACTTGGAAGGATAAATAGGAGAAGAAGAGAAAGCAAGAAATAAATGAAAGAATTTCAGCACACTCTCAGCCAAACAAAATCTCCTAAATTTACATGTATAAAAATAAACAGGAAATTGGAATTTGCATGAATAATGCAGTCATCTCTTCTGGTATATTATTCTCCCATCGACAATTGAAATCAACTTACCTTACAATTCCAACTGCATTCAAGACCTGTTTGATAGATAAATAAATAAAAGAGAAACTTGAAGTTTTCTACAATAACCATATAATTTGTTGTGAATTAAGCATTGCCATAGCAACAAACTTCATATAAATATACCCATTTCTGTTTAAATGAAGAAAAAAAGAAATGGCCAATAATTTAAAAAGAATATATATATATATATATATAAAGAAAGCACATGTAACTTTTTGTAAAGATTAGCTACCCTAGGCATAGAGAGGGTCATCAAAACATCAATTCTTAGAATACAGAAAAGGGGAATTACCCTACTCAGCAAAACAATCACTATACACCATAGTAGATATTGTCTACTGAAAGTCGTAGGAGCAGTACAGAGCATTTAAATAGAATGGATAATGGCGCTATATAAATCTCATGTATTATTATTATCAGCGCTCAAAATACACGGGGGCGGTGGGCGATTCGCCCCCGTGAGCTCCATAATCGCCCCCGTCAGGTTGCTCACGGGGGCGATTGCAAAATTAAAAATCGCCCCCGTGGAATTATAAAATTAATATTATCTTTTCTGATATAACTTTAACACAATATTGAGTATTAATTTTCAAACCTTAAACCAATGAAATGGAACTTAGATGGCGCTTTCTCTACCATCTCTACGAGTATTCCCGATACAAACAACGGAAGCTCGCGGTGCGGCCTTCAGCACAGTGGCTATACTGCGCTGGTAGTACCGGTGTGCACGCTGACGCCCAATATCTGCTGGAGCTGGAGATCGACAATCGCGCAAGGACTGAAACATAGAGAAGTTTTTCGTTGCGAAAGTTTGAATCCTCTGAAATCTGGTGATTCTTAAAGACCAGCAAATAATGTAACCCGACCAGTAAATCAATATTGAGAAGAAGAAGAAGGCATAAGATGTTGCAGGGGCGGATCTATGCGGTTTAGGGGGTTTAACCCCCCCTCCCCTTGTGCTGCCAAGGAAAAATGTGATGTGCACAGAAAATGCTATCACGTGTCCAGACCTACACAGTATTAATAGATGTCAGTAGATGCCAGGAAAATATCACTAACGGATGTTCAAAAAAGCACCAAAAAATCGCCTCGCCGCTTTGCGGCTCGTGGACGATGACCCGCATGTTAGTAGATGCCAGGAAAACACCACTTACAGGGGTTCAAAATAGCAACAACAAAAATCGCCTCGCCGATACTCGGCTCGTGGACGATGCTCCACATCATATTTGGGGTACCCCCCCCCACCCTTAGCAAAAAGCTTGATCCGCCCTGTGTTTTGGAAGGATATGGAAAAGACTAAAAGTAAAGAAAGAATGTAAATAAGGTTGCTCCGTATAATGAGGAAATTATGTGCAAAACGGGAAGAAATGGAGAAAATGTCCTCACAGGGATAAAGTCAATAACAGCTATGTAACAAGTAAATTTCTAAGAGGAAAAATACCGACTTAGATAAATGATAATGATAAAATACCAAGGAGTTTCACGGGTACCAATTCAATGGAAATTTGTATTAAAATAAGAGCCCCCGTCAGCACTAAAAGCGCCCCCGTGAGAAGGCTCACGGGGGCTCTCTTTTTTTTGGAAAGAGCCCCCGTGGGCAAAAAATTAATTTGAGCCCTGATTATTATCATTATTAAACTGCAAGTGAAGTGGTATGAGTGAACAACCCTTTTATCTCTAAGCTGTCATTACATTGATGAGGGGAGATACTGACCTGGTTTGAAAGCACAGCATCTACAAGGTTGAGAGTACACCCTGCAGCCACCGATGCACTCAGGTAGGTATCCTGAGGAACAAACAACAAGATATGGCTCAAAAGGACACTGAAAAATGATAGCAAGGCATTAATTTACATTTGCCACTCCAAACCCAGGAGAGAAATGGGGACCTCAATTCAATTCAATTCAAGTGAACATTTATTTGCTTCCATTGAATTTGACAACATATTTGACATCTGTTCAAACAATACAATTTATACGTAGGAACATAACTATAATTTAAGAACTTGTATTACACAAGAAAGAAGGCGCGAATAGCTTGTAATGGGTACGCCTGAATACACAAACGCATAATATACATTATAAATAAAAGAAAGGAAGAAAGGGATAGGCAATGAGAGGAGGATAGAGAGCTTGGAGAAAGAGACAAGAAGAGGACTGCAACGTAGTAGCAATGGAGTGTATGGCAAGGATGACAAAAGCCTTTTGTGTTAGTGATTGCCATATGCCCGAACAGTGACCATATGGTACGAATACTCCCGTGGGAGTGGAGATGATGCACATTGTCCGTGAATGAAGCCAATGAAAACAAAATCTGTAGAGCGCTTAGAGACGGTATTTCAAATCAAGTGCTATATAAATCCACATTATTATTAGGTTGTTTTGAAATAAAGCAAATATTGTGACTAAAAAGCAAAAGAAACAAAATCAGAGAGATGTATAGTTTCAGAATCATCAGAGAAATTACAAAATTTGTACATTTTTTTAGCATCTATTTCCTTCTTTGTTGAAATGCCACATTGCTAAATATCCTTGTAACTTTGATGCTATCAAACTCTCTCTATTCATGTATGAAACCATTTACAGAACTGGAATGGGATATCTATATAAAATAGAGAGTGGTCCTGTACATCTTTTGCATTATGACAATTTCAGAAAAGCCTTTTACTCGTCTAATTCACTATATAATGTTAGTTACAGAAAGAAAAGAAAAAGAAAAAACAACAACTAGCAAACAAAGCACGGAAAAAAATTGATAGTGACTAGGGCACCGTCTAATAAAGAGTTGCGATTGATCCTAATCGATTGCAAGTCCTCTTTTCAATCGGAACTGTTTATAAGACAGGGCCCAGTGATCTGATCAGTTTTTACACTAAAATAACTTCACTTCAAGCAAAAGAACAAATTAACCTACAGCTCCCAGAGTTATATTATCTAGCTACTCATCAACTAAAATCAAAGAAATCTGATGAAAAGTTTTTCAGACTTATCAAAACTATACCAGGGGTGACACACTTCATTTATGAGTAAGAATAACATGCAGATAGAAATAGCAATGATTCTTAAAAGACATGCTGTATCTCTTTAGGCTAACCAAAACTGTACATGGGCTGGCAAACTTTATTGGTGACAGAGCGCAGAAGCACAGACAGAGGAAAATAGCAATGGATAAGAACATGCTGAAGCTTTTCAAAAAGGTAACTTTTTGCAAGAATGAACTAAAAAACTAAAGGAAGAAAGCACAGGAAAATAACAAGCTCTGATTGACTTCCAGTATAATTCAGATGAATGTCGACATCAATACAAAGAGAATGTTACTCACTGGGTTAAAAAAAGATCTCGCTGAATGGAGCATTACTTACTGGATGAACATAGATGTCTCTGCTATACCGAGTAGAATTAAACTTATCCTGGATATCAATCAGCTCTCTGGCTGTGTGCTTGCTGGTCTCTTTGATATCTCCAATCATGTCAGCTCTGTTAGAATAATAATAATAATAGTAAAGGGGAATCCCCTTTGTTCATCATAATTGTTTATTGTAACATACAACATGAATGTTTATACAATTCACTCCTAGATCCTCATCAAATGATTGGTCAAACATGGTCACATGTGATTCATTATACTGAGACTATCCCAATTGTATGCAAAAGCATAATTTTTTGGTATAATAGCATATATGTAAACATATCAACATCAAAGGTTCGGCACATCAATCTATCATGTACTGTTTATCAATCGGTTTTCTAGCTGTGTACTTGCTTGTTTTCTCAATATCTCCTATCATGTCTATTCTGTTTAATATAAGAGAGAATTGTTTTAAAGGGAAATCCCCTTTCTATTGGTGCTATTTACAATATGGCATGACCTACAGTGAGGATACTTCTTAACCCATACAGTTCAGAGGTTTGACATATTCATTTCTTCATTGATTTCATGACGAGAATAACCAAATATCTCTACAAACTTTGTTATTGAGATCCCAATTAAATTATTAATCTTGATGAATTAGTTTATTTCTCATAAAATTTGGAAATTTATCTACATCTTTTAACAAATTCTTAATTCATGTGCTTTCAGTCAAATTGCATATATACATGTAAATGACGCAACCATGAAATGGAGGAGCATTAAATGAACAAACATCATTGTTACCTATTTGAAGACACTTTTATACTTTATTAAGGCTTTACAGAGATACTTACAAATGGCAAGTTTCCAATTCTTCAGCTGTAGCTTCCCTTGTCTAAAAAAAAAAAAACAATTGGAAACAAGTAATAAATAGGAAGAGGGGCATCCATGGAAAGGAAAGTAATACTTGGACACAAACAATTATAATAAAACAAGTTTTATAACATTAAAATACATGTAATTATTTCCACTTGTGCTTCAATTTCATTGATAGCTATTAGGTAGAGAGGTAAAAAGACAAAATTTAAGAAGGATATGATGAGGCTGTGGTAAATTATCAAGCTGTATGGAGCTTACTCCAGTATGCCACCTTTCTTTTCAAGTTCAATTCAAGAGCAGCTGAAACAACTTAAAATGTTCAATCTTTCCAAGATTATTTACAAAGGCTATTGGCATATTGATCAAATGAATGGTATTTTTTTTCTTTTTACAAATGTGTGTAAATGTTCAAGTGATATCTCCTTTATCTTGGTATTAAAGTCTTTCAACTCACATTATTGACTAATTCTAAAGCACCTTGGAAGCACATAGAGACGTTTTATCATAATGTGATATGCACTATACACAACAAAACATTATCAATATCATTATCATCTTAGCTATTCTCTCAGATAACAAAAAAATAATACCTCTAGTTTGATACATCTATCTATCAGTCCATGTTCTTGATGTTTGCTGTATATCCTAGCTATTCTCTCAGGCCGTTCAGGGTGATCGCTGTAAACGAGTCAAATAAGTAGGCAATGTGAACAGACCCATCATCCAGTCATTCAGAATATGTAATAACTATTACTAAATATAGTACAACCTGCTTTAGTGACCACCTGTCTATAAAGACCACTTTTTTGTTTCCCTTGAAAATGGTTTCTCATTGAAACATGTACTAAAGAAACCTGTCTACAAATACCACTTTTTATGTTTCTCTTGGGCAGTCGCTATAGACAGGTTTGACTGTATTATATTATATGATAGGCAATTTGCAAATACCTTGCATAAACAACATATGAATAAGAATCTCTCTGAATAACATTTGTTAACAACGTTCTTTGATCAATTAACAATTGAATTTGAATTGCCTTTAATGTCTACGTGTATATTGTATTCAACAAAACAAACAAAACAAAAACATGTCAGTCCTACTTACAAGGTTCTGTGTAGTTTCATTCGTTCATCATAAACAAATCCAGTCCTGAAATAGAAGAAGACAAAATCAGTTATCATCAATTTCATATTTACAAGACGAAAATATCTTTGGGAGATTTGTATTATGTATCTCCAATATCAGGGTCAAAACAGTTGTACCATTCTTGATCAAGGATATCCATTCTAAAACTACAAAACAACCCATTGAGTATTCTATTCTGTCCATGATTTGAAATCGCATAATCTATACCCCAAAGAAAAATGACCAATTCTCACAATCAAAGGTAAGAGAATTCCATATCGGGGCTAACATTTTGGCAATTATTGCCTGAAAATACCCTGGAGATTTATACGTATGATCTTTCAACTTTCAGAGCTCCTTAATTCAATGTAACACAATGAGAAATTGTTTTGTAAATCCATGCCGAAATTCATGAATGTTGAACGCTTCATTCTATTTAAAATGACCTTGCATTTTGCACTTTATAATCAATATTTGGGAATGTACAGTCAAACCTACTTTAGTGACCACCTGTCTACAAAGACCACATTTTTTGTTTCCCTTGCAAATGGTTCTCATTGAAACATGTACTAAAGCAACCTGTCTACAAAGACCACTTTTTGTGTTTCCCTTGGGCAGTCGCTATAGACAGGTTTGACTATACCAAAAGCAGTATTCTGTAGCAGATGTGTTATATAGCAGATGATGAGAGAATTGTTACCTGTTAGGAGGCGATGACAACATGAGTTCCTTGAGGAGTCTACCGGTGACCTCACCTACACCAGCCTTCCCTGCTGCATCATCCCAAGGAGGAGGAGGTACATCTGGGGTCGTACTGCTCACGTCTTCACTCTGGATGGGTTCCTCTTTACATGCTATGTTTACTGGTGAGGAATTTAGATTGAGAATGTTTCAGGTCAATTTGATACTTTGGTGGACTGAAAAGCCAAATGTCATTGATTTTATACACAGGTTTCAAAGAAACTACCAACTTTCTCATGCTGTATCTCATTTTCATATCTGGAAATTCTTTGCAATCTTTTCAGGATGTTCGTTTTACATTATTTCCATTATTGAAGTAGGACAACATCTAAACCTGTATAATCAATCATTTTTCTGGGCTCTTCCATTGCACTTGTGTATTCTTGCACTTTGGTGCCTTTGTTAACCACTTCAACCATTCACATCTTCAACAGCTAGAAAAGTAGAGCTTAATAAAAAACACAAAATGCTAAATCTTTATTTCATGTTCTCTATGATTAAAATAGACATCTGATAACAAACCAATATAATGGTAATAATAATAATATCAATTTGACCCAGAGGAGTTCTTCGCTTGTCCATATTCGTCAATTGCTGTATAGCGCCACTAACAGCGCTCAAAATACACGGGGGCGGTGGGCGATTCGCCCCCGTGTTGCTCACGGGGGCGATTGCAAAATTAAAAACCGCCCCCGTGGAATTATAAAATCAAGATTATCTTTTCTGATATAACTTTAACACAATATTGAGCATCAATTTTCAAACCTTAAACAAATGAAATGGAACTTAAATGGTGCTAATTGCTCTTTCATCTCTATGAGTATTACCGATACAAACAACGGAAGCCCGCAGTGCAGCCGTCAGCAGAGGATAATTACTGCGCCGATAGTACCGATGTGACACGCTGACGCCCAATATATGCTGGAGCTGGAGACGATCGCGCAAGGACTAAAACATGAAGAAGTGTTTCGTTGTGAAAAGTGTGAATCCTCTGAAATCTGGTTATTCTAAAAGACCAGCAAATAATGTAACTCGACCTGTAAATCAATATTGAGAAGAAGATCACCAAAGATGTTGCAGGGGCGGATCTAGGCGGTTTAGGGGGCTTAATTGCCCCTCCCCCCTTGGGCTGCCAAGTGAAAATATGATGTGCATAGAAAATTGCTATCATGTGTCCAGACCTACACAGTATTAGTAGATGTCAGTAGATGCTAGGATAACGGGGGTTCAAAACAGCACAAAAAATTGCCTTGCCGCTTTGCGGCTCGTGGACGATGCTTCGCATGTTAGTAGATGCCAGGAAAACATCACTTACGGGGTTCAAAGTAGCAACAACAATAAAAAATCGCCTCGCCGCTATGCGGCTCGTGGACGATGCTCCACATCGTATTTGGGTTTCCTCCGGCCCCCCCCTACCCTTAGCAAAAAGCTAAATCCGCCCCTGTGTTTTGGAAGGAAATGGTAAAGACTAAAAGTAAAGAAAGAATGTAAATAAGGTTGCTCCAAATAATGAGGAGGACATTATGTGCAGAACGGGAAGAAATGGAGAGAATGTCATCACGGGGACGGAGATAAAAGTCAATAACAGCTATATTAAACAAGTAATTTTCTCAGAGGGAAAATGCCGACTTAAATATGATAATGATAAAATACCAAGGAATTTAGGAGTTTCATGGGTACCAATTCAATGGAAATTTGTATTAAAATAAGAGCCCTTGTCAGCACTAAAAGAGCCCCCGTGAGAAGGCTCACGGGGGCTCTTTTTTTTTTGGAAGAGCCCCCGTGGACAAAAAATTAATTTGAGCCCTGGCCACTAAACATGTGTCAAAATATGGATTCTTCATCCAAATGTCAACGAGAGGCAAATAAGTTTTTAACTTTAAATGCCTACTTCCAAGGTATATTTCCAAGGTATAATAGTGGGTTCTTGCACAGCACTCATGTCTCCCAGACTTGACACTCTTGGGGCTTCACAATCATTACCCCAGCTTTAGCAGGGCTGCCATCATGGCCCTCTAGCATTAAATTTTTCAATAACACTGAATTTGAACACTGCAATAATTGTTCAACCACCTACAAACATAAAACAGATAAAAAGTATTTCTACTTACCATCACATTGAAAGCACTTCCAGTAGGGCTTTAGGGCCTTGGTCACATTGTGTATGGTTTCCAATGCACTATGTTTATAATTAAAACATAAAGTAAAAGTAGACTCTAGGACAAAAATTCTTGAATAGTTTTTGCAAATAAATCACAAAATTTATGTCAAGAATGCAATTGAAACAGCTAGGAGATTGATATGTAAAACTAATAACACTTTGTGGCTATAAAGATATGAGGTGAGATATAATCCCAAGTTTTAATCTTCATTTATATATTGCAACATTCATATAAGACTAAATGACTTGGGTGTAATGGTAAATCTACATGGGAAGTGTATTCCTAAATAGTAATTCATTGACTCCATCATCAATCATATAAACATTTATTACTTCTTTTATTATGTTCCAGAACTGACTTGGCAGAACGAAGCCACAAGTTTCACCAAAAAAAAAATTCTTCCACAGAACTATCAGTACAGAGTTTAACAGAAATATGGAACCAGAGAGAAGATAAGTAGAAAGAAATAATGGAAGTTAGGTGAATAGGGAAATATTAAGAAGAGCAAATAGAAGACATGAGATCTTACTTATCAGAGACGTGTTTGATTTGCGATAGAGGATTGGGTAGATCTCCAAGAAGCGTCTTAGTGCACATGGCAGCTGACTTGCCCAGGGCTTCTAAGCTGTATCCACCTTCTAAACCCAACACCACCTTGCCCTGTGCTAACCCCATCAGGTGGTGTGTCATGTGAGCAAAACCATCAGGACTTATGCACATCTCACCCTAGTAATGAATAAAAGAAAAGCTTGTGAATAGTATCAGCAGTTTAGGTTAGATCATTTGAGATTTTTTTTCTGTTGCTTTGACTATAGCCTTGTTTTTATTGGTTATCTGTCAAACAATCTTCATCTGCTTTCTCACATTTTCATTTTTATAGAATGCTGTCTTATTCATTTATTTGATAATTTTTCCTTTCATAGGGTGGAACACCCTAATAGCCAAAGCATGTTTGCATAAAAGTCCACCATTTCTACTATGGATGATAATTAGGTTTTAATGCAATTTGTTGAATCAGTCATGACAACCGCATATACATGTATCTGTAAAGATCTATACTTTGATTAAATTATATATGATGAATACAATTATCTATGGGACTTGACATTCACATTTGTACAGATCTCTTTGGAATGATAACATTATTTCAGTATGGGGAAAACAAATACTAATACATGTTTACCTGATTGAGCATTTCACAAAGATGATGTATTTCAAAGGGTCACTTTTTACCTTCAATTATCAAAACAAACAAAAAGAAGGCAAAAATTAAAAAGTGGTTTACCTTAGGATCTCCTTCAGCCGCATCAAACCCAGCAGACACAAGGACCAGCTGAGGGTTGAACTGAAACAGAAACAGATTAAACCTGGTTAAAGTAGAGGTATCGTAGTTGAGTGGTTTAAGCACTTGACTTGAAATGCAAAGGTCCTGGGTTCGATCCCCGACACAATACCAATGTCCTTTGGCATTAAGGTATTAATCTACATTTGCCACTCCAAACCAAGGAGAGAAATGGGGACCTGGTAGGATGACGGTAAGAATACTCCTCAAGGGGTGGAGATGGTGCATATTGTGCGTGAAAGAATCAGATGACTGGGGTAATAATATCTTTAAAGCGCTTAGAGACTGTATTTTGTATTAAGCGCTATATAAATTCAGATTATTATAACGTCTAATAATAGCTATCCCTACAGACAGGTAAATCACTTTCACTACACCTGTAATCAAAAGTAACCTGAAAAAACCATTACAAGATGAACAATGAATAGTCATGCAGTATTCAGACCCTTTGAAGGTCTCATGAAACATGGGAAACATATTTGCATTATTTTATCTACTTTTGGAAAGAACCATCATCAAAGTACAAACTCAAAAGAAAGTTTGGGACAATATCATCATGTAATTTCATGGACATCCACTATTAAAGTATAAATCTTACATCTGGAAAACATACAGGATTAGAGTATCAATTGAAAATAAAATCCCAACTGTTACATACACCTAGTTAAACTAGCTTTTTAATTTAAATTGTACAACAGTTTTTGTGCTAACCAAGTACTTGATGTCATTCTAGTCAATGATCAGAGATTTAATAATTTATATTTATGGCGTTTTATATCTTAATCATACCAACATTACTCACCTCATACGCCAGAGGTAGAAGCAGCTGTTGAAAGACAGTAAGGTATTCCGCATCACCCATTCCAATCTGTATAGAACAAAAGAAAACATGTTTACAAGCTCATCAATTTATATTCAAATCATCTCTTCCCAGAGGTTCAATCAAGTATGTTTCTGTTTACAGCCACAATGGCATTATAGTGTATATTAAAACAAAAAGGTTTCTAACAGACAGTGAGGGTTGAACACATCCATTAATAAAGTGTAGTACTGTATGCAGTCGAACCAGCTTTAGCAACCACCTGTATAGAAAGACCATCTTCCTACAAAGACCACATTCTTTTATTTCCCTTGAAAGTGGTTTTTCATTAAAACCTATACTGAAGGAACCTGTACATAAAGACCACATGCTTTATAACGACCACCATTCTTGTCTTTCTTGGGCGGTCTTTATTTACAGGTTTCACTGTAAAAATATTGAATTAGAAATACCATACCTTGTTCCATGGCACATTGACATTGTACCCCTTTCCAGCACCTTCTCCAATATGATCATAGTTAGATGCCTCTAGGTGAGGCCAGAAGCTGGTGTTCTCATAACGATGCATGGAGAAGTACATGATACTGAAAACAAAACAAAAAAACATTTATTACTATTTATTAGAATTTATTGGGACATGTTTGTGACAATTATTGGGATAAAAACAAATTAAGGATTCTCTACAAAGTGGTCTCTAACAATCCACTGAAAAGTAATGAAATAAACCAATAACTGATTTGTTATTTGTATCATTTGTCTACACTCTGTACAATGATGTTCTTGATTTTTTTATTTCTGCATACCTTGTATTTTTAAGAGATGTGAAATAAATGAACTTGAAATTGATAAATGTAAGCAAAGTCATTTTATGTCACAATGGTCTTATAATTCAAATTTTAATAGCTGAATCAACTTCTCTTAACAATAAAAACTTGTAACATGTATTTTAATAGTGTGTATTAAAAGCTGTATTTTAATTAGCTTTGGAGAAAGAAAGATCAACATAAACTCTAGTTAAAATGGTAACCTTTCCTAATCATAAATGAAAATGACATAAAGAGCAATCCAACCCTTGTTCATTTGCATGAAAGTAGAAATATAAGATAAACAGAATAGCAAAAGTATGAAATAAATTAGACATTTAGAAAGTTATGAATGTTTGAAATATGCAAATCTCAAATTGGCAGTTTGGTCAGCCTATACCTAGTGATTACAACTTTCTCATTTTTGTCCGATTTCATTCAAACTTTTATCACTCTACTTCTCTTATTTTTCTGTTTTCCTCTAGATTAGTATGCTATCAAGCTTGGATTTCCCACTAAATGATTTTCATATAAGATCAAAGATACCTTGGATCATCTTGTTAAGTCATTAATCCTCATTGCCAAGTCCCTCACAGAGGACTTAAAGCCATCGGTCCCCTGGTTGCTTACTTAAAAGCATAAACATGTTTTCTTAGCAGTCAGGTAAAGCAAAGATACAAACATACCTTGGATCATCTTGAGTAAGATACTGGATCCCTTGACCATGATGGACATCCCAATCAACAATCAGGATTCTGGTTTCGGCAAAATAAAAAAGAGAAGGGAATTATTGCTTTAAAGAAACTTCTAGAAAGCCCCCAAACCAATCCCCAAATCAATTGTGTTCTCATGCTAAGGTCTGTTCTTCAAGTACCGTATTAAAATGCTACCTAATGGTAGAACTATTCTCTCACAAGATACAATAAATATTTTGGCTTATTATTAGCATACATTTATTTGATTGGCATGTGAACTCTTGAAATGAAAAAAAAATCTAATGCCCATATTTCTTTATTCCTATCTCACTAGTCTCCAAGTATGTGTATGATTTTATTTCAGAATATTTGTTTATGATTTTACTAGTTCACAAAACTTCATAATATATCATACAGATTTATGTTTCATATACGACCAGGAGTTTGCGATTACATCTAGACAACTTCTATTACAATGTAATATCACTGTTACTAATCAATGCTGGCAATAAGATGAAGCACGGCTACACCCTAACATTAAATCAATCGAGGCCCTGTTTGAAACCCGACGGTCCATGCAAGCTGAGTCTTACATCTATAATGGTCCTGAGTAGATTTTTTTTTTTTTTTTTTTGGGGGGGGGACCTAAATGAAATAATAAATAGTCATCTAGTGCAACATTTGTTCTTTTTTTAATACCTTTCAACGTTCAACTTGGTCCGAGCTATTTTAGCGGTCAAAGCAATATTGTTGACAAGAGAATATCCATTGGCAATATCCCGCTGGCTATGGTGCCCACAAGGTCTGCAAAGAAAACACATAAAATATCAAAGACTTATAACTCAGTCACAGATGAATCAGACATAGGAGAAGAATAATGCTGGCAAGCAGGGCAGCTTTTCATGAAACCGTCATAAGTACAAGTTCACCGACATCCTATTGAAACGTGTGTTAAACTTAATACATGCATTTCAATAGGATGTCGGTGAACTTGTACTTATGACAGTTTCGTGAAACCCTGCCCTGGCATTCACAGCCACAGCTCCAAACCCAATCTATAAAGGATGCAGAATCAATAAACACCTTCAATAGAGAAAAAAAAACCTCCAAAAACCTCCAAAAACGTCTTCTTTTACCAACTTCACAACTGCGTGTGTGTGTTTTGTAGAATTATTCTATTCATCTATCTACATCTCTTGTACTTAAAAAGCAATTCTTCTCTTATTAGTCAGCATTTTGTATCTGAATTAACAAAAAGGTAGTCAAGAAAGGCACAATATGTACTATGATCATTTTGTAATAATTGCATATCACTCTCATTTTTATAAAGTAATAATAAGTGAATGTAGTTTGAACCTGTTCACCTCATGAATATGACCACTACCATACAACACGTCAATGCGAATATGTACCGGACAGAACTATAAACTCATTGTGGATGGTGATCGAGTCATCTTGACATCATGAATATAAGAAGTTGATTACCTGATAAATGCAAATCCATTCCTGAGCTGAAAAAAAGATATAAATGAATTGCTCTACAGTTATGACAAATATTCAGTTTACAATTTATTCATACTTTATCATACTTATTCAAACATTGATTGTTTATAATTAATGACAATATTTATTTTTTGCCAATATATTGGGCTAACCTTTCAGCACCTTTAACACAGTGATCACAACAAAAATGATGTGAACATTAACATATAAAAAGAAAAGACTCATGAACAAATCATTTTTTCTCTCAGATTGGTGTATAGTAACCATGGTAACTACATACATTGACCTCTACTGACCTCTCCTTTCACCACTTTCTCTGTCAGTTCTAGGAGTCCACCAACAGCCAGCCGAGCAATCTCAAAACTCTCCTGCATACAGAAAAGGAAATAATTTAACCAAATTTTACCATGTTATGTCTAAATGACAGTACAAGATGTAATATGAAAATGAAAACTATTGAAATTATCTTTTTACTCTGACCTCTTTGCCATGTAAAATCTATACTAAGATTGTGATTTATCAACTACCAGGCTTTTAATCATATATCTTCTACTCACATGAGCACAGCAAACTTGTAAAAGGAAAGAAGAAAAATCTTGATTCCCTTCCAAACCCCTCCCCCTCATCTTTGACCAAGAATATGGTGGAGCCTTGAACAAAGTTTGCTGTAAACTCCCAAATCCTGCAATGTGCATCTGATATCAACATCTTGGCTTAACATGTCATTCATCAATAGAAAAGTATTGTCATTCCCTAAAAAGGGTATGTTTACCACAAAACTTCAAACTCACATAGTCAAAACTCTCAACAAATCTCAACAAGTGTAAAGGAGACAGAATCGTAACTTTGAGCAGTTCGATAGAGTCGTAACTCTGAACTGTTTGGTAGGGTCGTAAATCTTAGACAAACCTACTTGTGTTTTCGTAACTGCCAAAATTTGAAAGCAAAAATTGAGAAATTCTCAAGGGTTATATTAGGTATACAGTGAATTTCAAACGCTTTTATAACATGATGTTTCAGAAAAAGGAAGGAATCTTGAGTTCATAACCCCCAAAACAGGAATCCCTCTGCTATAATAGGAATGGTTGACAGTTCAACATCATACAGGAAGAGAATCGTGATTGGTATTTGAAACTTACGTTACATAGAAAGACAGAGTCGTAACTCTGAGCAAGCTCCTTGAGCTCATCCGGTGATAAAGTACCAGATCTCTTCAGAGTATCTAAGTACTCTTGGCTGCAGGAAGAAAAACATGTATACAGCATTAGGATGCATAATCATTGTAGTAAATTCAATATTATCATTTTTTCTTGTCAGCATATGAAGGATGACCTCTAGAATATATGCTCCATGTACATTACATTACAGGATACATAGGCTCTATAAATATCTTGCTTGACATGAAAGGAAATCAATCACAAGACTACAAGAGGAAAGACATTTTTACAGCATTACTTTAAAAACACAAGCACCTCCCCCCCCCCCCCCCCCCAAGGAAACATTATCATGGTTAACATGATAGGGATTACAGGGGAAATGATTTGAGGTAAAGGCCCGCATGGAAGATATCTCAGAATTAATGTCAATACGCAACTTATTTTGTGTGTATTGACTGATCTATTGACAAGTAATTTTACTTTTAAAATTGAAAAATCTATCTACAACACTAATATCTAGTGTCGTTAGCTACCAAAATTACAATGAGAACTTGAAAGGAGAGCCCTTGTATTAAAATCTAACTAAATATTCCCCTTACCTGTGCAAACTCAGTATTTCCTCATCTGAGGCAGGACGGGCCTAGAATGAAAATAGATTTAAAGAAAGTGATGTTGATTTACCTTACAAAACATTCATAAACTGTCTATCTACAAATCTTCCTTTCTTTCAGCAAGAGCCATTTCTTTGAGGGGGTAGCCTTCAAAAGAACATAGAAATGATGGTTTTTATCAACAATAGAAAAGTTAGACAAAACACACTGTCACATAAATGTTGGATTTGATGGAAGCATACATAGCATGATTTTCTTAACTCTTTCAAAGAGAATGTTAAAGATAAACTCCAGTACTGGTAAAAAAAAAAAAAAAAATTCTCACAGAATCAAACGAAACTTACACTGAATGTTCAAGATTACAAATAAATGACATGTGCCAAACAATTTTGGAAGAAAATGTATACTGGCTGAGTAATGAGCATAGAAAGACAAGGAAATCAAGGTAGTACTAGCCCCGACAACATGTGTGTTGTCCCATATATAGCTTTCTATGTGAGTGCTTGTTACTTTACCAAGACTCGGTCAAATTTATTATGATTTTGATGACTCCAGAACCTTGCAGTGCACACCAATACTTACATGCTACATGATCAACTGTTTCTGATCCTTTCCACACCTTTTCTTTCACAATGCAATCGCATTACCAGTACTTAAGTTTATCTTTAATATAGTTCCTCTTTTGGAAGCCACTTGTTTTTGTGTACAGGTACCTCATAACTTTGAGTTGATTACTTTCCGATGGTCCACTGGGAACATTTACTAGAAGTATAACTGGTGCTATGTTCACATGCTTAGAAAAGATCTAGTCATGCAAAAATGGATAAACTGGGTTTTCCAAAGACAACTTCTTTTTTACTTTCTAATTATGGCAAAATGACGGCAAAATGAAGGCCAATAGTTGCTCGTGAACTGATCGCAAACACGACCTCCAATCAACTACTGAAAATTTGAGCGACAAATGTGGCTCTGATCTGACTTCTGCCATCCAGTCTGCCATCGAAAACCTCCTCACCGACTCAACACTCATTGTGAAGTTATTGAATGCCATCAAAAGCAAGGTATTCAACGTAGTCCATGAAACTCTCTGCGATGAGGTGAAAAAAATCACACAACTTAGTAAATGGAAATCACAAGACATGAGAATAGGGTCTCGAGAGAGAGAAAAGTGAGAGAGCTAAAATCCGCCAAGAATGGATCAAAACCGTATACAAGGATAAACTGCTTGATCTTTTCCGGTGTGGAAGAGGAGGATGGAGAATTCACAGATGATCTTGTCAGAAATATCTGCCAAGATGAACTCGACATCGAGCTTGATGTCGCCGACATGGATCAAAGTCATCGGTTGGACCCTGTTCACTCTGGAGGAATGGCATGGAACGTAACGACAGAGAACGGCCAAAAGGAAAGAAGAGAAAAATCAGGCACATCATAGTGAAGTTCACCAACTACCGAGCCCAAGAAAAGATCTACAGTGCTAGGATGACACTTCTAAACTCAGAAGCTTTAATCATGAAGTCTCATGGGATTCCTGAAAATGTATCTATAGTACATGAAGAGAAGAACATCTTCGATCACAACAATGCAAATTAAACTAAATTAACGGGTAACTTACCGATACTCGTGTACATCTATCCACCAACCCTCCAGCTTGTAGCTTCTCCATGCATGCTGCTAATCTCTCTGGACATTCACTCTTCCCATGCTCACTATCACGATAAGACAGGGAAAAGTAAAATTTCAAATTCAAACAAGTCAACGCAAAGCGTAGCATCCCCTCGCAGGGTATAAATGGCCTATATACATCAGAACAAGTTACCTCCATTGGACTATACTATTATATTATTAGGCAAGGAAGTTAATCACATGTTCATATATATAATTAAGTGTTTTTGCATATTTAATGACCTTTCACCTTTGACCTACATACTCAGAAATCGATCTTAGGCTGTTCATGTATTTTGATACCATGAACCTTCATATCAAATTTCATTAAAATTTGTCAAACATTACTCAAGTTATCGAATGGAAACCAGATTCGCATTTTAATGAGCTATGACCTTTGACCTACATACTCAGAGATTGAACTTAGGCTGTGTTTTGATACCATGTACCTTCATATCAAATATCATTAAAATTTGTCAAACATTACTCAAGTTATCGAATGGAAACCAGATTTGCATATTTAATGAGATTTGCATAGTTAATGAGCTATGACCTTTGACCTACATTCGATACAAATTTTCGAAAGGAGACTTAAAAGCTTTCTTCTGTATAGTTACTAGGCTATTGCATTTCCCAATCAAATATAATTTGTAGTGTGACTTTATGCAACTTTGATTATTTCTTTTTATAAACATGTATGTATTTATCAATGTTTTGCGTTTAAAAGTGATTGTTTGTATTACTTGAATCAGTTATTGCTATTGTAGTTTTTTTCTCATAAAATAATAATTCATAATAATTACTTTTGCAGTGGGGCTTACACCCTACAAGCTCTGCTTTTTAGTCGGCCCTCCTTCCCTTTCAATTTCAAGTTTATTTTTTTAATGTATTGTATTGTGCAAATTGATCTATAAGTATATAAATATGTGAATATGTTAAAATGTACCATCATTGTAAATATGAACGATTGAAAGAGGAAAAATAAACGAATTGAATTGAATTGAATACTCGGAAATTGAACTTAGGCTGGGTTTTGATACCATGTACCTTCATATAAAATTTCATTAAAATCTGTCAAATATTACTAAAGTTATCGATCGGAAACCAGATGTGTATTTTTTCGCATATTTAATGAGCTATGACCTTTGACCTTTGACCTACGTACTCCACAATCAAACTTAGCCTGTATTTTGATATCATGTACATTCATGTCAAATTTCATTAAAATCCGTCAAACATTACTGAAGTTATCGATCGGAAACCAATTTGTTACGGACGGACGGACGGACGGACGGACGGACGGCGGAAGGAAGGAAGGAAGGACGGCAGCGTTTCTATATCCCCTCGACTTCGTTGGCGAGGGGATAAAAAGCAAAAAATATATATATACATAGAAATAAAAACAAATCATGAAAGCAGAGTATAAAAATACTAACTATACGAAACAAAATAATTTAGGGTCAGGTACAAACGCGACAAATGAACAAAAAAACAAGCTGAAGGTAGCTTAAAACACCATAATATAAGGGGGTACCTTTCTTTTGGCTTACCTGTGAATGCGAGTGCAAAAGGTCCCTTTTGAATGCTTAACGTTTCCTTTGAATGCTTTTAAAAAAGCACACAATCAATAGACCCCTAGAAATGGGATTATTCTACAGATGATTGACTTTTTTACACAAAAATAGAGCACTCATATACAGCATTGACTTTGCATTAATAAAGATACACATACAACAGAGCCACACTAACCTTCCAATGGGGCAATAGTGTTCCTTGAACCTGTCATCATACACCAGACCAGTACTGTACCAAGACACATAGCAAAGTGATGGGGATCAGTGAGGGATATAATAGGGACTTTTAGATTTGCGTGGACTGATACGTGTGACGTCCATTCAAGGCAGTGCATTAAAAGGACGTCGATCGTAGCAATCCCCATTGTTTTCGTGCGAATCTAAAAGTCCCTAATCATAGAGATGATCAAACTTTCATTCCAACATTAAAATATCACATTTTGAAATATAAAAAAAAGAGAGAGAGAACAATAAATATCAAATGTATCCAAAAGGAATAAAACAAAAAAGAATTTCACTAAGCAAAGGAAAAGCACAGTGTAATCCAGGAACATTTGGATAGAGGTTCAGATACAATAATAGGAATGCAACTGGCAGGATCTCTTTTTAAAACTGTAGCGCGGAGCCCTGCATCCCCTTACCCATTGTTGCAGATAGATAATACATGGAAATCATTATAATATTTAGAAAATAGGGGCTTGTAATGTAGAGGTTGAAGGAATGTGAGGAGAAAGAAGGAATTACAATCTTTTTCCATACATGGAATAGAAGTAACTAAAAAAAGTGAAGAACAAAAAAAATTGGAACATGAGAGAAAGAGAGAGAATATATCAGTATGAATAGGAAGCAGGAAGAGTAGGAAAGGAAGTAGAAATAAATTTTTATGTCATACCATGTGTCATAACATAAAATCAAAGAATTAAAGGGCCACTCTAACCCAACTAACATAGCCTTTCAAGTTTCAAAACATGAATACACCTCTACTTATTAATATTCCAGCCTCTGATTTTTTAGAAAATCTCTAAATTGACGATAATAGCCATCCATTCTTCACAGTTCTCATGCTTGCTGGGCTACGCCCCTCGAAAAAAGGTACATGTAATACGGTCATGTGGCTTGATGACGCATTTGACGTCATTGTGGGCATGTCCGATTTGATAATTTGATAATTTCATAATTAGGAATGACGAAATTGCCAGAAACGTACTGGGATTATCAAGTGCATATTATTTTTCGGATAATTTTTTTTTTCCTTCCAATTGATATCATAGTTTGCCCTTTTAAAGACATTTTAATGGCTAAATCACCCTCCTTTACACTGGAGAGGCGCCTGCAGTGACGTCAAATGCATCATCTCCGAAACTGGGTTGTTTTTTTTCCTGCGCGTTCTGAGTCATCATTTTTAAAGCTAGATTCCAGAATTATTGATGATTTCTAAGAAAAATCAATGTCATGTTCGGAATCTCCGTCAAAAATTATTCTACATGTCTTTTTTTTTTAATTTCTTAGCCCGTTTTGGTTGGAGTGGCCCTTTAAAGGGGGTAGACTGTGAGATCTCCAGTGGAATACATCCCCAAATCATGGGATAGAAAGGGTATTAAATCAGGCAGATTCAGGGGCGAGAACAGTTGATATTAACATATGTTCCAACTATTTGATACACAAGGAGCAAATTATCTTTCAACAGTACATACACAACTATACTGAAATACAGATACCGGTATAAATGTATATGACATTACAGGCAGCTTGCAAATAAACCGGTCAGTTTTAACCCAATGTTTAGAGGAACCGGGTGGTTCCTGTATTAAGGCTATGCGAATGGGAGAATTCAGTTGTTAATAGTTAACGGAGAAGATTTTAATGTGTGTAACCCTTTAGGCAAGTAAGATCATTATTCATATCATATGAGGAACAAAATAATTAAAATCATCTGTATGTTTTTCATTTCATCATTTTATTTCAATGATGCCAAATGTTCAGGTGGTTTTAATAGGTTTTTTGTCATGTATAAATTCAATCAACAACAACAAAAAACATAATATAGACGGAAGTAAAATACATGATGTCTAATATGCTATACACTGCGGGTGTTTGGAAAACGAAGACCGAAGAACGAAGACTGGGGACCATGTGCGCGCACGTACGTGCGTCGAGGAGTCAATCCCCGGTTTTCTGTCTTCGTTTTCCAAAATACCCCAGGGTGTTTTGGAAAACGAAGACAGAAGACCGGGGACCCATGTACTATGCGTGCATGCACTTGTACGTGTAGTGCACCCACGTGGGGAGAGAGAGAGAAAGAGAGAGAGAGAGAGATAGGAAGAGACGATCCCATGCACTTGTTCGTGTAGTGCACCTACGTGAGAAGAGAGAGAGAGAGAGAGAGAGATAGGAAGAGACGATCCCCGGTCTTCTGTCTTCGTTTTCCAAAATACCCTAGGTGTTTTGGAAAACGAAGACAGAAGACCGGGGACCCATGCGTGCATGCACTTATACGTGTAGTGCACCCACGTGAGGAGAGAGAGAGAGAGGGGGAGAGAGATAGGAAGATACGATCCCCGGTCTTCGATCTTCGCTTTCCAAAATACCCCAGGGTGTTTTGGAAAACTAAGACTGAAGACCGGGGACCCATGTATTATGTGTGTTCGGCGTTGATAATAATTACAATACTACTGAAACACTGTCAGAATGATAAAAACGATGATGAAAAAAACAAAACAACAATGATAATAATAATAATAATATAATAATAATGATGATAATAACAATATTAATAATAATAATAGTAATGATAATACATAACAATAATGATAAAAGATGATGGTAATAATGATAAAAATAATAACATGAATAATATTAGCATAACAACTTATGCAATTAAAGGAAAACCAACAAAATAAATAACCTTTATAGACAGGTGGCTGCTACAGACTGGTTCTTCACACCTAATCTATATCCATGGGAACTAATTTTTGGTGCAGGAAGGTGTCTACTAAAGAGAGATGGCCGCTAATTAAGACAGAGATGACTGTATTTTCATCATTTATAATCGCATACATGTATGTGCGCCCGGCCAAATCGAGGAGAGAGAGAAGGAGACGATCCCCGGTCTTCGATCTTCGTTTTCCAAAATACCCCTGGGTGTTTTGGAAAACGAAGACTGAAGACCGGGGACCCATGTATTATGTGTGTTCAGCGTTGATAATAATTGCAATACTACTGAAACACTGTCAGAATTATAAAAACGATGATGACAAAAACAACAACAACAATGATAATAATAATAATAGTATAATAATAATAATAATAATAATAATAATAATAATAATAATAATAGTAATGATAATACATAATAATAATGATAAAAGATGATGATAATAATGATAAAAATAATAACATTAATAATAAGCATAATAGGCCTATGCAAAGAAAAAACTACAGAGAAAAAGTGTATATAATGGCTACCCAGGGGAAACAAAAAATGGCCTTTATAGACAGGTGGCCCTTGTTACTTTTGTAAATAGTAGGGTACCAAAAATAGAGATGAGATGAGTCTGTAAAACAGGAGGAGACCTGTGATGGTTAACCTCGTGACACGGACTGCCTTTTAATAAATATAAAACATTGTTGAATATTCGCATGCAAACAAACAAAGTCACATAATCTAAACACAAACACACTACTATAGTTATAGTTCCTAACCTACTAATATATAGGTTAACCTCCCAAACTTAGCCATTAGATGAAATAGCAAACCTGGCTGCGGCCAGATCAAGAAGAAAGGAGAAGTGACGATCCCCGGTCTTCGATCTTCGTTTTCGAAATTACCCCAGGGTGTTTTGGAAAACGAAGACCGAAGACCGGGGACCCATGTACTATGCGTGTTCGGCGTTAATAATAATTCCAATAATACTGGAAAACTGTCAGAATGATGAAAACGATGATGACAAAACAACAACAACACTGATAATAATAATAATAGTAATAATAGGCCTAATAATAACAATAATAATAATAAAAATAATAATAATAATAATAATAATAATAATAATAATAATAATAATAATAATAATAATAATAATGATAATTTAATAATGGTTATGATAATAATGATAATAATAATGATAACAATATTAATAATAAGCATAAGAACTTATGCAATGGAAATGACAGTAAAAAATTTCTACAATGGCTAGCGAAGAAAAAACGTGAACTAAAATGACTTTGATAGACAGGTGGCTGCTACAGACAGGTTCTTAAACACCTAATTTATATCCATGGGAACCAATTTTTAGTGGCCACTATAGATAGGTGTCTACTAGTCTAAAGAGAGCTAAGACAGGTTTGGCTGTATTTTCATCATTAATAGTCGCATATGTGCACCAGGCCAAATCGAGGAGAGAGAGGAAGAGACGATCCCCGGTCTTCGATCTTCGTTTTCCAAAATACCCTGGGGTGTTTTGGAAAACGAAGACCGAAGACCGGGGATCTTACAACAAAGGTTGTAGTTTACTACCGGTACTCACAAATTGCATTTGCCTTTATCATGTATTTCCAGTCCGGAGTCAGGGTCTCAGACTTGGCTTAGAAGGGGGTGTGCCGCTCAAACCTCGAAACCCTACCCATTTCTGAGGGACATTTGGGGGGATTTTACTCGAAATAAAGGCCCATTTTTCACAATTTTCGGGTGGTTGCTATGCAACCACCCGAACATGCAACCACCCGAACATTTTTGAAAATTTGAAGAAAAAAAAAGACCCATGTTTATGGATTTTGTTTGTTAAAAATGGGTCCAATAGAGCGGCACGCCCCCGTATGTCTATTATGTGAGACCCCCCTCCCACTGGATTTCCATATTCCAACTACCTATAATCGTATACTTCCAGACCCACTTTCTTAATTAGTTTAAGATATTAATATTTCTTGTTTAATCATTCTAATATAACTCCAGTTATCACTACTGTGTCAAGAATGTTAAACAAATTACTTGTATTGTGCATTACGTTCAAATGTGATCACATCCTTCCTCTCTTCACACATGACTGCACACAACCAGCAATAAGTAAAATCAATCACGCCCCCGTATGTCTATTATGTGAGACCCCCCTCCCACTGGATTTCCATATTCCAACTACCTATAATCGTATACTTCCAGACCCACTTTATTAATTAGTTTAAGATATTAATATTTCTTGTTTAATCATTCTAATATAACTCCAGTTATCACTACTGTGTCAAGAATGTTAAACAAATTACTTGTATTGTGCATTACGTTCAAATGTGATCACATCCTTCCTCTCTTCACACATGACTGCACACAACCAGCAATAAGTAAAATCAATCACTTGCCTTGTAAAATGTAACAATGAACTCTTTTATTGCTTTGTTATGACAGGTAAATTAGACACACAACAACACTGTATATAAACAAGATACTACTCAGGTCGGTTGTTCTTTCTCTGATCAACAAGAAATAATTTGCAAAAGTTGTTATGCTTATTATTAATTTTATCATTTTTATCATCATTTTTATCATCATCTTTTATCATTATTATTATGTATTATCATTACTATTATTATTATTATTATTATACTATTATTATTATCATTGTTGTTGTTGTTTTTGTCATCATCGTTTTCATCTTTCTGACAGTATTTCAGTAGTATTGTAATTATTATTAACGCCGAACACGTAAAGTACATGGGTCCCCGGTCTTCGGTCTTCGTTTTCCAAAACACCCTGGGGTATTTTGGAAAACGAAGATCGAAGACCGGTGATCGTCTCCTCCTCTCTCTCCTCGATTTGGCCTGGCGCACATATGCGATTATTAATAATGAAAATACAGTCATCTCTGTCTTAATTAGCGGCCGTCTCTCTTTAGTAGACACCTTCCTATCAGTGGCCACCAAAAAATTGGTTCCCATGGATATAGATTAGATGTTTAAGAACCAGTCTGCAGCAGCCACCTGTCTAAAAAGGCCATTTTGGGGGGTTTCCCCTGGGAAGCCATTATAGACACTTTTTTACTGTATTTGGTTTTCGTTTGCAAAAGTTGTTATGCTTATTTTTAATGTTATTATTTTTATCATCATTATTATCATCATCTTTTATCATCATCATTATGATTATTATCATTATTATTATTATTGTTATTATTATAATATTATTATACTATTATTATACTATTATTATTATCATAATTGTTGTTTTTGTCATCATCGTTTTCATCATTCTGACAGTATTTCAGTAGTATTGTAATTATTATCAACGCCGAACACACATAATACATGGGTCCCCGGTCTTCGGTCTTCGTTTTCCAAAACACCCTGGGTTATTTTGGAAAACGAAGATCGAAGACTGGGGATCATCTCATTGACGCACGTACGTGTGCGCACATGGTCCCCGGTATTCGTTCTTCGATCTTCGTTTTCCAAACACCCATACACTGCTTTGAATCTGAATACTCTAGCAAAATGATAGAGTCGTCGACAAATGGATGGACCCCCCCCCCCCCCCCCCCAAAAAAAAAAAAAAAAAAAAAAATCTTCAGCAAATTAGCGCTTAGAGAATAGAGACTTTGGTGGAAAGCGCTTTATAAGCACCATTTTTATTATTATTATTATTATCATTACATTGTCTAAATGGTAGCTGGATTTCTCAAATTTCTGCACTTACCCAGTAGGTCTTGGTGGAGGGGAATCATCTAGTACCTGCAACAAAGAAAAGGGGGTAAAAGCACCATGATGCTAATCACATGTTATATAACAAGGATCAATGCACCATGTGTTTTCCACAATACTTGATGAAATAAGACACTTAAAAGTACTGTCCTGCCATTCCCTGACTCGTTCTTTCATCGCAACTGATAGAATGCAAAACAGAGATTAAGTGACTGGTCACAATATCACGCAACTCGGTCCAACTATGAGCTTCAACAACCAACACAAACACTGGAATGAATCCATAGGTGCATTAATAATACAGAATGCTGGTGCATACATGTAGCATACATTGCAAATTACTATGCATATGAATGAAGTTTTAACAACTCTTGATGAAATCTTACTTCTGCTTTTGGAGCATAGACCTCAAAGAGAATCCTAACTTTCCCAGAGGGATCCATTCTGCTATGTAATGCATGAAGGTAAAATACGCCAAGCCTAGAAATACTGTGTGTGCCAAGTACCTGGTAATGCAGGGCAATTACGGCCAAGGTACACTCATTCAGGAGGTTCCAGGGTCTCTTTGGTTGACCGATCCCATTGCTTATCTGTTTACAACAGCACTACAATTTAAGACCCCGTTCTCACTCACTTTGAAAGTGGTCTTAGTTAGACCGCTCCAGACCGCTCCAGAGGAACGGGTCTTGAGGAACGGTTTGCGAGCGTTCACACTCCGAGCAGTTTTTATGGCTCAAACCGCTCCACGAGTCAAAGTGGTCTTGTTGCTATGGCAGCTCAGGTAGGCGGGTCAATTTTTTCACGCGCGGAATACAAACCGTATGTACCATACTACATGTTTCGCACCGAAGGTCACTAGCTCACTTCCGTTCAAAGTACGCTTTCCGTTCACATTGCACGTTAGAGCGCTCTGGAGCGCTCTTAATAAGACCCGCTCCTTAAGACCACCTCGGAAGGTGGACTTCTGGAGCGGTCCAGAAGTCCGCTTCCTGGACCACTTTGAGCGTTCTCACTCACCTAAGAACCGCTCCTGAGGAGCAGGTCTTAGAGCGCTCCAACGAAGTGAGTGAGAACGGGGTCTTAATGACAGGTATCCAGGCCATGAATTGTGTATTTTGGCTATTTGCACAAACGTAAATGTATGTATGTAGTTTATTATCTGCAAAAGAAAAAGCCAAACAAAAGCAGCAACATGTACTAGGTGCCCCCCACCCCCTCTTTGGTTAAAGATAAACTTGAGTACTGGTAATGCGATTGCATTGTGAAAGAAAAGGTGTGGAATGGATCAAAAAAGTTGATCATATAGCATGTAAGTAATGGTGTGTAATGCAAGGTTCTGGAGTCATCGAAATCATCATAAATTTGGCAGAGTCTTGGTAAAGTAACAATCACTTACACAGAAAGATGTATATGGGACAACACACATGGTGCCGGGGCTAGTACTACCCTAATTTCCTTTTCTTTCTATGCTCATTACTCAGCCAGTATACATTTCTTCCAAAATTGTTTGGCAAATGACATTTATTTGTAATCTTGAACATTCAATGTAAGTTTCGTTAGATTCTGTGAGAATTCATTTTCTTTTTTTACCAGAACTCAAGGTTATCTTTAACTGATCCCATTGCTTTTGTACTCTCCGTCCTTTTGTGCTCATCTCTTTGTGATTGGCACCATTCTTCATGTCCAGTGTCTCTGCAGCATACCAATGGTTCTGTGTCAAACTACACATACATGTATGAGCATAAAGTAAAAGTGCTGAAGTATTTGGATTCTGTATCCCGTATTATGGAAATACCACGTCAACCTTTCAATTAGCTCTTATCGTATGTGGAGATGTGAACCCCAACTCAGGCCCGTCCCCTAGCATACATGAAGAACATGAACAACAACAACAACATGAAAATCAAATAAAGACGAGCTTACATCTGAGACAATATAATGCTTCAAAAACCAGCAAATAGAGAATCAACCAAGATGTATGGAATACAATACAGAACTTGGGAATGGCTAGGCAGCGGAAAACTCATCACTGGACAAAAGGACAAGGAAGAAGAAGAGAAAGAAGAAATATACAGTGTTCTACCTTCCAAACAGAGGATTATTCTATTCAAGAAATGCTTAATGACCAGGGGCCATATTCTGAACCCTGTGTTATCTCTAATATTGTTGTATCTTTGGAGATAAGATAAAGTTGGTATTCTGAACATTGTTGTACCTTCTGTGTTATCTTTTGTCGTGTCTTTTCTCTCATCTCTTCAGCCGCGCCTGCGCTCATACAATGGTGCGCTTGTAATTGTACGTATTATGGTGTTTAATCCTCATTTGCATATGCGCACAAGAGATAATATGTCGAGATAATTGGTATTCTGAAAGTTGTTGTATCTTTTATCTTATCTTATCTTGCATGGTATTTACAACAATATTTACAACAGGTAGGGGGATGTTTTATCTTTCATGGTGAAATCATGGCGGCAATCTTTCTTGCCCAGAAAAAACTTAGTGCCAATAGAGGAGTAAAAAGAAGGTTGTGTGTTGACTGGAGACATCACAGTTGAGAAATTGCTTAGAAATTAGATGATAGTATATGACGATTTTAATGCTCTTATCTCCTTGATGTTTGTTGAAAGCGTGACTTGTCTTCATGATCCATGTGCCACATGCACAGCGCATAATGACGCTGCGCATATATAATAAGCGCTCAATTAACTAATTACGCCAAAGATTAGTATGCGCTGGGCGCATCTTCAGTATGGCATAAAGTACTCCTATTAGTAGACCTACTTATCGTGCTTATATAAAACCAATCTTGATTGGTATAGGGCCGATACAAATGGGTGTGTCAAAGATAAGATAGAGGCGGTCCTGCAAGAGATAACACAGGGTTACAACAATGTTAAGATAACCAACTTACAACAATATTAGCCCCTGTGTTATCTCTGGGGGGGGGTAGTGAGCACAATTTTTTTTTTTTTTTTTGGTCCTCGAAAATTTTAAAATTTGCACCCCCCCCCCCCTTGAGCGCCAGGGGGGGGGGGGGGCCCAACCCCCAAAAAAGGTAAAAATCCCGTGATTTTGCATGATTTTTTTCTCAAGGGGGGGGGGCCGGGCCCCCCGGGCCCCCCCCCCCCCTGGATCCGCCACTGTATGTTATTACCAATACCAAAGAAGAAAAAAAGCCAGTCAGTCACTCAATAGTGTCGAACTCACATACCCTGGTCTGACAGTGAAGTCTAGCAAGTAAACGGGTTTCCTTGCATAATTTGAATATGAGGACACTGCTAACGTTTAAATTTCACAGATAGGACATACATGACATATTCATAATTCCTGCAAAGTTCTACAGCATTTGAGGTTGGCTGCAAAAGGGACATAGTACCTTTAAAGCCTCAACCCCTGCGTATTAAACCCACCTGATAATGTTGAAGCTATGTGGATAATGATGAGACCAACACACCTACCCAGGGAAATATTGTGTATTATATACCTCACTTAAGAAATCCAGCCAGCTGATTGGTCGAAATTGCAGTCGTGGTTTTAGCCATTCCCATCAATAAACGAAAAATGCCAAACCCATGTAATAGTTCTAGAGCAGGCCTTCTCAACTAGTTTTTTAGACGTGCCAAAACGAAAAGAATTTGTAGTTGAAGTGCCACCTTGTATGGTTGACTGTGCTGCGAGGGAGCGTAGCGACCGAGCCAAAAATGGGTGGGGTCCAGGGGCGAAGCCCTAACAGGGGTAGCAGGGGGAATAGCCCCCTGAAGCTGGTGGATTTAGGGCTTTCTAAAGGCCCAAATGGGGCATTTTTAACACCATTTCATTCCACAATATTGATGTGAAAAAATTATTACAATTCCTGGGTACAATCACACTGGAGGTATACATATATGTACATGTAGTTTTTTGTGTGTAATAAACACGGGAAATGTCAAAATAAAGTGAAAATCAAACAAACAAAAACAAGATGTTTCCAGTGTTAAAATTGGTATCCCATCGTGGCGCGCGCCGCCAGTTGAGGAGGCCTGTTCTAGAGTAAATCGGTAAAATCCCGGCAAAATTCCAGTTACCATGGTTACCGGGAAAATAGTTCATTCTTGCTGAAATACCCAATGGTTCACATGTTAAAAACTGGTTTGAGCGAGAGCGGATACCATACATTGTGTGTGTGCGAATCGAAGTCCCCTCTCATTCATAGTGTACACACACTTTTGAGTGCTAAGTCTATGGACGTGGATCAAAGTCCCCCGGCCCCGCACGCAGACGCAATAAAGCTAGCTAGCTGTATAGAGGAATGAGAGGGGACTCGGATCACGATAATGCTCTTATAGTTTCCAAACAAGGCAAAAATGACTGAAGAAACTCTTCCTAGATTTCAACTTCTTGATGATGATCAATTGCAAGACATGATTAATTCTGCTGACAGCAAGAACACCAGAAGGGTACGTGAAATTCTCCATAAAAATATTGAGATTATTTAGTTCTAGATCTAGGCTACCTGCAAGTTATCAACAGAGACCTCAATAGCGAAACAAACTTCCATATTCAGAGCTGGACAACGTAGATCTAGACTGCATATTTATGCGTGCAATATCAATGGGAAGGATTTTAGCACACAAACTCGAGTGGAGCGCGATCGTAGGTCCATGATCAGACACCCTAGACTAGGTCTCGATAGCGTAAACAAACTTGATTACCATGATTGGTAAGTCGCACATGTATTCTATGACCCATTTCGGTATATAAAATTATTAATGACTGCTTTAATTTTCGAGACATAGTTGTTTTTATACGCTCTCGGGAAGGTTAACTTACATATTTTCCTCCCAAGAACCCCAATGAGGAAGAATATTTGAATCATTTCATAACTGAGTTTTTTAGTTGTACACATGACCAATTTAGCCATTGGGCTGCAGCACAAGTTTTTAATGACCCTTGAATTGAATTAAATGTAATTTAAATGATAGGTATCCAGGTCATGAATTTTTATTAACTTTATTTGCACATATCTAAATGCATTTATTTGATTTATCATTTGCAAAAGAGATCAAACAAAGCAGCAAGATGTGATAGGTGTCACCCCCGTCCCCCCCCCCCTCTCTCCTCCAAAAAAAGTAAGCTAATGGATCAGTTTGATCTTTTTTATAAATCTCTTTAACAGTTGATAACAGATTACCGTATTTGCCGGCGTGAGGGCCGCAGTATTTTTGGAAGGGAAAACATCAAAAAGTCGGGGTGCGGCCTTTGTGGCGAAAGAGTAAAAAAAAAAAAAAAGTAAGTCAAAACCGGCACGAATTTGCACATATGGGACTACGAACAGTACAATAACTATACCACTATGGTACAGGACATTTCCACACATCTTACCGACAATTTTATCTTGCATTGTTGACATGAGGACGAAAATAAACTTCCAAAAACAACATCTGCCGATAGATCTTGATCTAAGTTCGTGCCAATGCATTGCAAAAGTAAAAGAGGGGCCTGTTTAACTGAGCTGCCGCAAAGCATCAAGAATGCGAAGTCGCCATTTAGAATCCATTTCAATATATACACAAGAGAAAACTGCAAGAGATGGCATCAGGGACGGGATGGCCGACAGGTCTAAGGCGGTGATTTGGGTCATATCAACATTTGTAGGTGAGGGTTCATATCCCGCCTCCGACAATTTTTTTTTTTTTTTTTAATGTCAAAATCGGGGGTGCGGCCTTATCGCCCGCAAATACGGTAATCAATATTTTATTTTATTATTTCTTTATTGCAACCAAAACTTGTGATTGTATTTTAAATTAACAAAAAACAGATAGATAACAATGGTCGAATAATGTTCACAAAGTCAAATTTCCCCCATTAAAAACTATGAAAGAAAATTACCCCCCCCCCCCCCCCCCCCTCAGCAGACAATCAACTTCAGTAGGGTGTACTGTAATTATGAAAAAAAGGGGGGAAGAGTAGTCATTTGAAGGCATATCCATTGTTTACAGGAGTGCGCTAGTTTAAGTGCCCAATATTTAAAAATATTGAGCCTTCACTGGGAGAATATCTGTCAGGTTCAACAACCTTTTCAACAGGGTCAAGGATTTATTGAGTGTCTCTTCGCAATAACACATGTATTTTTGCTGTAAAGTCCTCTGTAGGAATAATAATAATAGGAAGTAGGATAGTTCATTGAGTATCGACAGACAATATGCAAGTCTAAACTGAGACCTCAGTCACACTGCCATCCTGATCCCATATCTATTTCTATTCAGAGTTTTTGTTCAGCCTTGTCCAGTCTGGTGATGATCTCATCAGTGTGTGACTGGGTTATTTGGCTGGTATACTACTTGGTAAATCAGTAAATATCTATTAGATATTGACATGAACCCTGTACCTGTCCTTGAAGTTTAATATGTTTGTGACACAGAATACATAGCTTGGAAGCTTTTGGGGTGAAAATGAAATGGACCTTGAGACACAGGTTCTACATTAAACTTCCTGTCTTCAGCTGTTCTATTTACATGTAGCTGTTCAAACAACATTACCGTCTATTGCTTGATGTTATCATAAATCGACTTCAAGTTGGACTTAACTATGGCAGGCGGTTCATGCCACTGTGTACTCTTACCATTATGATCTTTAAACAGTTTTTTTTTTTTCTTCAATGATGAATTATCAAAAAATATAAATTCTGTAGATTTGTGACCATAAATTGTACTTCCCTTCAGAGACCAATGCCAGTAAATGGTCAGAGCAAACAGTGGCATGAACAGCCTGCCAAAGTGAAGGCCAACTTAAAGTTGATCTTAGTCTTTGTGAAACAACCCCCATGTCCTAGTTGGTCCCCCCCCCCCCTCTTTATTCTCCCATCAGTTCCTCCTTGCAAGATGGTGTTTGCTATTAAAGCTATTCTTCCATCTACCGGTAGTTCTATGCACAACCACTTCAGCTTTCTTCTTTTCACAATTGTGATGAAGTGATAATGTTCCTGTATTATCTCTCTCACTTTCTTGTTGGATGTATGCAAAGTGTAGTGGACATGCAGAAGCCTTCTCATACAATTCATCTAAAAAGCATTGATTTACTTTTCCATCTCTGCATTCAGTCTCCATGTTTTACAACCATATAGAAAAACCGATGTTACCAGTGCTCTCAAAAGTCCCAATCTAAATATCATTGTAACGCTCAAATACCTGAGTTCAATACAACCAAAAATATGCTAACGTTATAGGGAAAGTACATCCTAGAGTCAAGATGGTTTTCATATACCGATAAAGCAGAAAATGAGAGAACAGATAGATGTAAGTGTGAAGAAGTCTGATGAAGGATAAGAGAGTTTAATGTGAAGTTTTAAAGTTGCAATGGATCAAATATAAACTGGAAACTTTGCAAGAAGCATTCCAAAATTCATTTTTAACAGGGTCTGCCAACAAAATAATAGAGCACTAGTGTACCGGTAAGTATCTATCTTTATACCACAATCAAGGTAAATATATTTTTTAATTCAAAATTCTCAGAATCATCTAACATGTTATGATTTCAATCTGAATTTCACTTACCAAATCAGCCATATAAACATCGATATCACCATCTCCTTGTTCCTCTCTTTCTTTTCCTTTCTTCTTAGCCGCCCGGAGAGCTGCTCTCTGCTCGCTTCTGGCAGCTTTCGTTGATTTCTTTCCACGTCTACTTCCATTCTGCTGAAGAACAATAGAACCATGATTTATGTTTAAGCTGCAAAATAAAAAAGGGGGGCCATTCTGGCAGATCTGATGATTGCACTTTAGGCTATTAATTACATTGATCAATTGATTGACTATTAACCTGAATGCTTAGGAAGCAAGTATGTAATTTTAAAACTAGCTCCAAAGAACATTAAGCATTACATCCCATCCAAGGGACCAAAGCCTTTATACATATGGGTACTAGCTGGTTATGAACCTTGGATTGTACATCAAAAGCTCCAGCAAAAACTGCCACTTGGTAAATTTCTAACACTATCAAGAGTACCTGAATTTTTCACTTCAACCCTGGCTTCAACACTATCCCCAATTCCATTACCAGGTAGTCTGACATGGACCATATCCCTACTCCTGCCCCTAACCTAAAATCACTTGTGACACAAACACTTACCATGTACATGTATCTTTGAAATAAAGACTGAACTGAACTGAAAACTTGATAGTAATAGCTGGAGCAAATATTGTTAGATTAATGAATCTGTGCCACGTATCCAAGACAGAAGTAAAGCTCTTTCTCTTTTGTCCCCCACTCCCCTCCCCCCCCCCCCCCCTGTGTGTGTGTGTATCTCTCTCTGCCTTCCACCCTGCCTCCCTCCCTCATTTTCTCTTTTTCTGTCTCTACATCTTTGCAGAAAGACATCCAACATCACCTCAATTCAATTCAGACACAAATCCTTTGTGGTTTGAAGACTTACCTGCGCTGACTTGGGTTTCTCTGTGCCTTTAGGAGCTACAGACGAAGGTTTCTCGGTTTGTTTTCTTCTCACCGAGGGTCCGCTCCCCTTAGCGCCCTCTTGTGGGGAATCTGAATCAGCCATCTGGATTGTGACCTGATGAGTACAAAATAAATACATTCAGAATCGTGTTTTGGGGTTAATTTCAGAGGTCACAGTTTTTTAATCAAACTTGTCTGTATTGAAGCAAAATCGCTTTCAAGGTTTCTAATATGAATATAATGGTGGAACAGGTGAATACCATCAGTAGCTGCATTTACACTGCAACCCAGAATCATAGACAAAAACAAGACAGAAAATTGAAATAAAAAAATCCACCTCTTGAGTGTGGTTTTTTTAAACGCTTGTCAAGGTTCACAGATTTTTGCAGTGAGTGTAAAAGCAAACTTTGGTAAGATACCGATTTCCGCTAACGTGACTCTCCTTGCTTCCGCGCTAACGCACGGCACCAACATGTGGCGCATGTGCATGTGCATGCGCACAACTCAAATAAAAGATTGGTATGAGCAAACGTCAACAGTTTTTCAGAAGTGTAAATGGAAGTCCAAGAAATCAACAATTTTTCAAAATGGTGTTTGGGATGAGTAAATGGGCCTACAGACATATTAATTGTAATATTCTAATATATAATCAAGTGCAGTGTTATGAGATGATTAAAACTGCTCCTAATGCTACAGTAAATACACAGGCACAGGTTTTGTCTTACATGACAAAACAAACAATAGTATCAAACAAGCTGGAGGGTGTTCAGAACAGAGGGGTAAGATTTGTCATCGGTAAATACAGAAATGACATCTATGTATGAGACCTGAAGAGTGAACTGAAATGGCAACCACTACAAAATCAATGTTTTGTGATTCTTCTTCAATTTATCAAAGAATTTATTTGTGAACAAGTTGCCATTACCACCTAAATAATTACACAACCCCAAAAGATTCAGAAACGACACCAATAGTCATCTCTCCTTCTTCAACTTACGATACAACACATGGATACCTAACGTTTCACCTTCTTTCCAAGAACCTTTTGGCCTGGAATCTACTTTCCCCCCACATTTATTTTACCTTCAACACCAGACTCGGGGAAGCAATCCAAAGAGGGCAGTATAAACATAGTCCCTCCCTGGAATCGTAAAGTGATTGGACTCAACTCCAAAGAGTACCTGACTACACACACACTGCACTCTCTCTCTCTTTCTTTCTTTTTTCTCTCTCTCTCTCTCTCTCTCTCTCTCTCTCTCTCGATCACTGGCGTTCTTATCGGTCAACAATATCCAAATTTGCCGTGAAACCTGAGAGTTAGAAAGTGTTAATAATAATATAGACCTAGTCTAGAATCTAGGCCTAATGTCTAGAATAGGTTTAGCCTAAAGGATAACAAAACTTCATTGTTCAGTCCCACAAGCTTACAATCTTGTACTGTATGGAAATCTAATAAATCTTATTTTAGAATTAGAGTAGGCGCCACTAGGTCTAGTCTAACTTACAATAATGATAGATCTATAAATATGAACGGCATTAGTTTACTCGGTTACGATTCTAAACGAATGGATGTCAATATGTAATACTGGTGATAACTTACTGAACGTTATGTTGAGATAAATCACCAACTCGACGGGACTTCTGCAAAATTTTGTCTTTGAAGAATGAAATCCGTATATCCGCGCCGTTCGTTTTCACAGCGCCCTCTGTCGGCGTTGAAATATTCGTCATGCATGACGAGATTGATGATGCGTGATGATAATCAAAAATGATGATGGTGTTGATGAGTGCATGTGATGAAGAGGAGGATGGTGATGATGATGTTCATGATGATAATGGTGTTGTTGATGATGACGATGATAATAATGGTGTTGTTAATGATGACGATAATGAGAATGATGATGATGATGATGATGATGATGATATTGTTGATGAGCGTGAGGAGGATCAAACAAGGAGGGCACTGTCTTTATTATTTTGTTTGTTTGTTTTACCTGACTGATCGAATAACTAAGAAATTACTAACTAAAAATGTGTATGCTTGTAAGTAGGCAACTAGGGGACCGACGGCTGAACGTCCTCTCCGACGGACGTGTTGATAAGGATTAATGCCAATTAATAACCAAAGGGAACTTAGCGCATTGACCTGGTTTCGAACCCAGGACCTCCTGGTTATGAGAGGATGCATGAGGACGGGTGATAATGATCAGTGGCGGATCCAGGGGGGCGGGGGGCCCGGCCCCCGCCCGGCCCCCCCCCCCTTGAGAAAAAAATCATGTAAAATCACGTGATTTTTACCTTTTTTGGGGGTTGGGCCCCCCCCCCCCCTGGCGCACAAGGGGGGGGGGGTGCAAATTAAACTTTTTTTGAGGATCAAAAAAAAAAATGTACGCACTACCCCCCCCCCCCCCCCCCCCCCCCCCCCCCCCTGATCGAATTTTTGGCCGGCGCGTTTTTCATATTTTCGGGAGCAAAAAAAAATTGCTCTGTACCACACCCCCCCCCACCCCACCACACCCCCCCCCCCCCCACCACTGAGCGACTTTTCGGCCGGCGCGATTTTCAAATTTTTGGGAGCAAAAAAAAAAAAGTTGGGCCCCCTCCCCTAAGAAATTCTGGATCCGCGCCTGATAATGATGGTGTGAGTGGTGATGATGATGTGCTGTTGGGCTATTGTCGATCCAGTGGATAAATCTTCTGTGAACCATAATTAAATTCCCTGTCGAACCCCTCTCGCAGCAGTAATGTCCTTTGGCAAGACAGGGAGGGGGTGGGAGAATTATCTTTGATTTACATAAAGACATCGAAACGAGCATACAAAATTTGAAGTGGTGCCAAAAGACCATGTAATCAATATTTTCTACCAATACTACATAGGTTTTGTTCGACTGACAATTTATCCAGCATAATAATTTGATCTTATTAGAGGTGCCGCTCTCGGGGGAAGGCACAGTGTCACCACACTTTTGCAAATAAAGTCAAAAAGTGCCCTTTTTGCACCTAGGAGAAGTGCCCCTTTCTTTCAAATAAATAGGCCTACCCTTTTCCACTTTTTCATAATTATTTTCACCACTGATAAAATGTCCCCTTTTATTTTTGAATAGTGCTAATTTCATTTTAAAACATGCCCCTTTTACTTTTTAAAAACTGCCCTTTTTTCTTCGGTTCTAGGACAATTACCCCCTGGAAAATCATCCCCGGTCGATTACTAGCGGGTCAATTACCCCCAAGGACAACCACCTCCTGAGGACAATTACACCATAGGAAGATTACCCCCCCCCCCCTTCACCTCTGATAAGTGCTCATATCTAAAATCTGATATGTGCCCCTTTTACTTTGACAATTGTCCATTTTCCTTTGTAATAAGTGCATTTTCCCGTATAAGAAGTGCCCCTTTTCATCTCTGATGAGTGCCCCTGTGTAGGTAAAAGAAATGTTCTTTTTTGTTTAGTTTTGGAGAGCACCCCTTTTACTTTGACAGTCTGCCCTTATTCCTTTTTCAATAAGTGCCCTTTTCTCTTCGGATAAGTGCACATTTCCCCTAATTTTCATGCCGCTTTTCACCTCTGTAAAAGTGCCCATTTCAGATTATGATAAGTTCTCCTTGCTACTTTTGAAGTCGTTGTTCTGTGATAAGTGATAAGTGTCCATATTTAACTATGCTTATCTCTAGTGCGCTTACAAATTGTGCCTTTTTGTGATCATTTAAAGTGCCATATATCTAGATATATCTAGTTTGAAAGAATCGGAGTTGCTTTGTGTAATAACTATGAATCTTTTTCCAGCACTATTATGAAAGAAATAGGAGCCGTGAGGGGGCAGGGGCACAATGCCCCAAAAGTACAAACTGTGCCCCTTTAATAAATAATATAATCGTGCTTTTCAAATCTATCAAAAGTCCCTTTTCCAGCCCAAGGTAATTAATCAATTGTGCTTTGTTCAAGAATATAAAGGTTTAGACGATTGAAACTCAGGGCAGCTGCATTTACATTACCAAATGTCATTCATGGAAGAAAAAATGCATGCCATGATAAAATGTTGTTATCACTCCTAATCTTCCCATAAACAACTGATTTCTTGAAGCCTCCCAAACATGTGCCCCTAATTTAAAGCGACTGAGAGCAATTTTTCTCAAATTTCTACCAATAACTCGCCAGCTATAAATAAGCTCGCTTGCATACTTAATGAGTTTATCTCATTAAGTCTGAGCATGTTGACGGTCTTGTTCATTCTTTCATTGTGAGATTGTGGTTAAAACCACATTAACATCGGCTATTTCTTCTGAGAACAAATCAGATACAACGTGACCTCAAAAATATTCAACCATCACACATAACAGAAAAAAATTGTGCAGTATTTGAAATATCCCTGATTATGTATTAATTACAATTTAGGAGAAAAGCAATGTTTACACATTTTTATTTTTGCGATGAGGTTATCCTTTTCCATTAAGTCCTTTTGTTGGTGCTCCCCTCCCCCCCCCCCGGACTAAACCTAGCCCATTCTTGTACTTGGTACTAATTGGTTGTAATTGTTCCTCCAAAAGATTCCTAGTGGAATTTAAACTGGAGGTCGTGGTGGCAAAGGGTGGACTTAAGGAGATTTCAGAAGTGTTACTTTAAACTTTGCTGAGTCAGTCAGGGATACTAATCTAATCAGTTGTGCGTGGAAAAAATGAGTTTATAGTACATCTACTATCTGGTTGATGGTATTTCAAACTTAAGGAGATCCAGAAGTGCTACTTTAAACTTAGCTGAGTGCTACTTTAAACTTTGTATCCAGTATTCCAAGTTAGGGTGTTATTTATGGATGGAAAAGTTCATGTCGCATCCGGCATCCGTAGGCCCGTAGGTCGTCATCTCCCAAAATATTGTGCAATAGCGAAAACCAAAAAAGTAGGCGTGGTTGAATGCAGGTTGCGGTTTCCGAGATTTTCCTTTTGCACGCATATTTATATAATATTGACTGGCCTTGAGGGGTATATCAGAAATATTGACCAAGCTCAGATCATATTGCCCCGAGTCGAAAGACGAGGGCAATATGGTCTTAGCGCGGTCAATATTTCTGATATCCCCCGAAAGTAAAGGCAGTCAATATTTTTATTGTTATCCAAATCAGACATCTAGAGCAAATACAGAAATCCACCATGACAATCTCAAGAACTGAACAAACTTTTTCAAACCAGCACTGTGCATCCAGTGCTTGAATTTGATTTCGATACACTGCAAATAGTGTGCATTTGGTGTGATTATTACGTCACAATAGATTGCGCGCAAGGTTCTCGTACGCATAATAGATGCGATATGCGAGACCGTGGAAAATACCAAGGTATATTTTCACTCGTCTCTACACGCAAAGTCAATACGCGCAGGGAGACCAAGGAAAATACAAAGAATATACCCCTCCGTTCCCACTGCTAGTGAAAACTAGGGCAATACGGTTTTGTAAATGACCAGCTCAGATGTCTGATACGGGTAATAATATATATTACGTATCGCGCGACGCGACGCTCCGACATACAAACAACGAGCAACGAACGAGTGAGGAACATACTGCAATTATTCGTTGACTTCGCTTTGGGACATTACAGACGGTTATGGCAGCAACATTCCAGCCGGGCACTGCTGGCATTGCAGCATCACAAATTGAAATTTCAGTTTCGTGCAGGTAGGAATTCGTGATAATTAATTTTCCATCTTGGGCATGATCTTGAACCAAGAACTAGAGACAAATCATTGTGGGTGCCCCATGCATGTAAATACGCGTCAGTAGTTGATTGAGGCAATGCAATGCGGATATCCGATTCCACAAATCACTTTCATTAGACTTAGAGTTGTTATAATTAATACAAGTATGAGGTGAGGCAAACTGGAATTTTGAAATTAAGTGCTCCTCAAATAAAGTAAACTAATGATTTCTGACACAAGTTTAAAAACACTGCACTGGTGAATTTGTCTAACTTGTCCAGTTGTTTCATTTGTTTTTTCCATGAAATGATGCAGAAATCTTCTGGACAAAGATGTTTTGTCAAAGTCTGATCCAAGTGAGTATCTACAATTTCACATATATTTCAATTATTATACACACAAGCGTTGCTATGATAACAACAGTTATTGATAAAGATATGAATCTCTTTTATTTATGATATATGGTCAAGTGAAATTGCCTAGTAAAAATGAAATGAAGTAATGAGTATGGTAAGGGAAAAGTTTTCAGCCACATTTGAATCAAACTTACAATGCAATCATTTATATATACTTTGGGAATTATATGTTCTTACGTTGTAGTCTATGTTATTGTTTAAATGTTACATCAATGTTATCTGTGTAAATGAATTGTTTATTATTTGTTTTTGTGTCCTTCACAGTGTGTGTACTCTATACCACTCAGCTGGGGTCCAAACAGTATTATGAGGTAATTAAAATATGTTATTATTTTGTTTTTCTTAAGAATAATGGACTTAGAATAGATAAGCTCATATTTATTTGTATTTATTTATGTCTTTTTATTATGAAATGAGGAAAAAGAACCATGCAAAGGTAGATTTGATTATAATAATTCATAGATGCAGGTAAACATCTATGCAGGTAATCATAGATGCAGGTAATCCTCCTCGCTTGGTTCCTTACGGAACGTTGAGGAGTACTCCCGAAGAAGAAGAAACAAAATGAGCCAGCAAGAATAGGGTGTATGGTTACAAACAATACCGGTATATAAAATATACGGTATTGGATGATTTTATTTTACATGTACCTTTTTATAAATTTTTCTTGAGGTATTAATACTCCATGACAATATGATCTTGTATGCTGAAAAAGACAGGACATTTTAGATTTTATTTGTAGATTCATTCTGAATTTTTTTTTTTGAATTCTTCATGATTTGATCTTTTCTATTTTCTTTGTTCATCCAACAGTATGAAAGAACAGAACCGATCCAGAATACTCTCAATCCTGACTTCGTTCACAAATTTCACATGACCTATCACTTTGAAGAATGTCAAAGACTCAAATTTGAAGTGTAGGTTTTTTTTCTCCATTTATGTTTATCAGTAACATCTCATCTCTTCGGAGCCCTTATGTAAAGGCAATAAATTAGTTACATTGTCACAGGCGTAATGCTCTTGTGGCTCTAAAAGATACAGTCAAACCTGTCTATATCGACTGCCCAAGGGAAACACAAAAATGTGGTCTTTGTAGACAGGTGGTCACTGAAGCAGGTTTGACTGTATTTAATCAGAATAATCAAAAGCAATAACTGTACCGGTATGTATTTGCACTAAGATTTAAAAATTATCTTAAAATAGCCAGTAAATTTCACTTAGCCAAGATTTAATGGTACCTTTGTTATTATCGGCAAAGAAGATGAAGTATTTATTCTGAAAATGTTTTTTGCTTATCTCAATTTGCTTTTCTTCCAGATATGACGTAGATTCTCCAAAGTCGAAACTTGATGCTCATGTAAGGAATATATATTTTTATTATCTTTTTAACATGAATATTATATTATTGTATGGTAATGATGAGCTATTGGGTATCATTTGAATTAATTATATTATCACAGACATCATTTATTGTTGTTTTTTATGTGTATTTTTTGTTGTGGGAGTCTGTGAGAAATGGTGTTTTTAAAAAATCCACATTGATTTACAGCAGGACTTCTTGTTAAACTTACTCTGATTTTGTATCTATTGGATCATCAGGATTTCCTGGGAAAGCTTGAAATGACTTTGGGTGAAATCCTTGGCTCAGCAAACAACAAGGTTGAGAGGAAGCTGATGTGAGTATAGTTTAAAAAAATAAAATGGTGTATGTTTGAAGGTTAAACTTATGATCTCCGTACAAAATATTACTATCGATGCCTTCTTTAATTAGACAAGGTTTTTATGTAGGTCTACAATCTCATGTTGCAAGGAAGTATATACATAAATCAGTTAAATGCACACAAAATGAACACACAAAGGATTCAATGTGAAGTTGAATATAAAATGCATAGTTTCCAGTACAAATGAAAGAGATTAGATTGTGCATAAATTATGATGTTAGTAATGATAACAATAATGATGATAATGACATTTTGGTCTTAAACTATTTTAACCTCAGGGGAAATTTATGTCATAAAACATTCATTTTAATTGGTTTTATGCTACCAGTACGTATTCTCAGGTTTAACCATATACAGATAGATGTAAATTATAAAACTGGTGTTTGAAAACTTAAAACTTAGTCAATGAAACTGTCACTCATCATTTGAGGGTTGGATACCGTGCAAACTTTGGGTAACCCATAGACTACTGAATTCTCTTATTCCATAGGCTTAATAAAGGGCCCACTCGGTTCCAGTAGGCAATGGGTTCAGATTTCATGTATTTAATATAATAAACTTTTTAATTCATTGATATCTTTCGCCAGATATCCAAACAATCAACCATGTGGAAGTATCATCATATCGGCAGAAGAAGTCAGTGACTGCAAAGTAAGTGATTTAATTATGGTAACGGTATGATCGCTAATTCTGGTTTTGCCTCTTAAATGAGGTGAATACATGTATGTACATTCTGTATTTTCCTGTAATTTCTTGTGAAAATTAAATATTTCACATGTTCTTTCTTTCCCTAGACACTGTTTCACAAAACTGCCATTAGTGCAAGTTCACAGACATTTTTTTGATAAGCCTGTTAAATTTGATACATATGTTTTAGTGAGATGTCAATGGATTTGTACTTGTGACAGTATTGTGAGACACTGCCCTGGCTATCTGTGTAACCATGATGCTTTAAATCATTCTTTTTTTCTTATAAAATGTAGAATAATACCTTTATTTGAAGAACTAAATGGGAATATAAAAAGAATTGATGGGTTATCATGCTTTGTTTATCTTGTCATTTTGTCTCACCATCATTCACCAAGATATGCAAATTTGCGGCAATATAGACATGTTTGACATTAATCCACTGAGTGGCTTGTTCTTATTTTTGTTTCTATCAGGATGAAACGCAGCTTCGCTTCAGAGGAAGGAAACTGGACAAGAAGGATTTCTTTGGCAAATCAGATCCTTACTTGGTATTCTACAAATGCAATGAGGACATGAGGCAAGTTGACCCTGTAGCTCAAACAACGTAACAAATCAAATGTAGAAGTTGCAAGGCACATTGACTGCACACCTTTCCGCTGTAGTATGACTGGACTTATTCCATTTATTCATGATGATACTAGTTGGCAAATGAGTATTTTGATCAACAGTAGAAAAACAGAAGCAAATTTTCCTCATTTTCTTAAAATTCATCTAAGAGAAGACTTATGCAAGATATATTAATCTGTGTTTGCCACTCTCCACCCAGGTGTAGTAAATTGGTACCAGGTAGAACGAAATGATATATATATATATATTATTCATTGATTATTGCTATTATGATTATTATTATTATCATTATTGTTATCAATATTATATAACTATTATTAATATCATTATTATTATTATTATTATTATGAACTTGTGTGTTTCAATTCTACAAAGGGCTCTGTAGATTATTCCAGTCTAATTATTTTACATTTTTCTTTTATGTTGTAGTTTTACAATCTGCCACAAGACAGAAGTGATCAAGAACACTCTAGACCCAATATGGAAACCTGTCTCACTCATGGTTAGAGTTCTTTGTAATGGTGACCTTGATAGAACCATTAAGGTTGAATGCTATGACTGGGATAGTGATGGAAGGTATGTAATTTATACTGCACGTCTGCACCAATATTTGTTTAAATTATTTGAAGTAACACGCTCTGTAAATTTCAAGCATATATATTTGCCTAGTGCAAACTGTTGAATATAAGGGTGCATTCTATCAACACTTTTTCACCCTAGAATCACGGTTTTTAAAGACGTTTTTGTTTTTTCCTTCTATCACCTTTTCTTATGTAATTCTTTGTTTTCATCATTCTATCATTATTTCCTACCATTCCTTATGTTATTCCTTGCTTTTTCATCTTTCATCTTCTCTTCTATTTTTACGTTATCTATTTCTTATCAATTTTTCTTTCTGTCATTCCTGACATTCTTTGTTTCTTCCTTCTTTCACCTTCTCTTATGTTATTCTTTGTTTTAATCATTATATCACTTTCTCTTTCTGTATTTCCTTATGTTATTCTTTGTTTCTTCCTTGTATCACCTTCTCTTATGTTATTCTTGTTTAAATCATTCTATCACTTTCTCTTTCTGTCTTTCCTTATGTTATTCTTTGTTTCTTCCTTGTATCACCTTCTCTTATGTTATTCTTTGTTTCAATCATTCTATCACTTTCTCTTATGTTAATCTTTGTTTTAATCATTCCATCACTTTCTCTTTCTGTCCTTCCTTATGTTGATTCTTTGTTTCTTTCGTCTATCACCTTATGTTTTTCTTTGTTTTAATCATTCTATCACTTTATCTTATGTTAATCTTTGTTTTAATCATTCTATCACTTTCTCTTTCTGTCCTTCCTTATGTTGATTCTTTGTTTCTTCCTTCTATCACCTTCTCTTATGTTATTCTTTGTTTCAATCATTCTATCACTTTATCTTATGTTATTCTTGTTTTAACCATTCTATCACTTTCTCTTTCTGTCTTTCCTTATGTTATTCTTTGTTTCTTCCTTGTATCACCTTCTCTTATGTTATTCTTTGTTTCAATCATTCTATCACTTTCTCTTATGTTAATCTTTGTTTTAATCATTCCATCACTTTCTCTTTCTGTCCTTCCTTATGTTGATTCTTTGTTTCTTTCGTCTATCACCTAATGTTTTTCTTTGTTTTAATCATTCTATCACTTTATCTTATGTTAATCTTTGTTTTAATCATTCTATCACTTTCTCTTTCTGTCCTTCCTTATGTTGATTCTTTGTTTCTTCCTTCTATCACCTTCTCTTATGTTATTCTTTGTTTCAATCATTCTATCACTTTATCTTATGTTAATCTTTGTTTTAATCATTCTATCACTTTCTCTTTCTGTCCTTCCTTATGTTGATTCTTTGTTTCTTCCTTCTATCACCTTCTCTTATGTTATTCTTTGTTTCAATCATTCTATCACTTTATCTTATGTTATTCTTGTTTTAACCATTCTATCACTTTCTCTTTCTGTCTTTCCTTATGTTATTCTTTGTTTCTTCCTTGTATCACCTTCTCTTATGTTATTCTTGTTTTAATCATTCTATCACTTTCTCTTTCTGCCTTTCCTTATGTTATTCTTTGTTTCTTCCTTGTATCACCTTCTCTTATGTTATTCTTTGTTTCAATCATTCTATCACTTTATCTTATGTTATTCTTGTTTTAATCATTCTATCACTTTCTCTTTCTGTCTTTCCTTATGTTATTCTTTGTTTCTTCCTTGTATCACCTTCTCTTATGTTATTCTTTGTTTTAATCATTCTATCACTTTCTCTTTCTGTCTTTCCTTATGTTATTCTTTGTTTCTTCCTTGTATCACCTTCTCTTATGTTATTCTTTGTTTCAATCATTCTATCACTTTCTCTTTCTGTCCTTCCTTATGTTATTCTTTGTTTCTTTCGTCTACACCTTCTCTTTCTGTCTTTCCTTATGTTATTCTTTGTTTCTTCCTTCTATCACCTTATGTTATTCTTTGTTTTAATCATTCTATCACCTTCTCTTATGTTATTCTTTGTTTTAATCATTCTATCACTTTCTCTTTCTGGCCTTCCTTAGATTATTCTTTGTTTCTTCCTTGTATCACCTTCTCTTATGTTATTCTTTGTTTTAATCATTCTATCACTTTCTCTTTCTGGCCTTCATTATGTCATTCTTTGTTTCTTTCTTCTATCACCTTTTCTTTCTGTCTTTCATTATGTTTTTCTTTGTTTATATAATTCTATCACTTTCTCTTAATTAAAGTGACTCGGTGACATTGTTGAAGGTTGATGAAAAAAATTGCTTAATTTTTGTATAAAATGTTACTTACTATATTCCTTCTACTATACTAACCCTCTGACGTGCAAAAATTCCTGAACAAATTCTCAAACCACAAAGATATCTATGGTTTTCTTTGAAGGCGTCTATGTGAGGCACCCTCTAACAGTGATTAACAGTAAATTCTCCCAACCATTTTTGAATTTTCCCAACCGTTTTTCCATGAGAAAAATGCATAAAACAGGCTATAAAAATCTGTGAACACTTAACTGTCTGGAATGGAATGTAGAGCCATTTTATTCCTTTGTGACGATTTACATTCACCAAAAATGTAATTAAATTGTCCTTGTCTTGATGCTGAACAGGCTTTGACAAGTAGCAGAAAAGAAGTAGAATAATATAGTTGGGAGAATTAAGGAATCGATCAGATCAGTTTTTCCCAATTTGTACCATGAATAATGATCCGTTTTCACTCAAATTTTCAGATTATCTTTAATTGTACATCTAGCATTGAATTCACTACCTTAGCACCACTATCTCTCATCTGAACAATGTTACAAAGTCCCTTTAAGATTACGGCGATCTTCAAATACCATAATTGTACTCTTTGTAAAGAAAAAAGATACAGTAAAGTAAGAATTTCCAGACAGAGAACAATAAAAAGAGGAGTCAGTCTGGTGGAATATGATTATAAAACAAATAACGAGTGAACAAATATTTAGTTTTGTCTTCGATTTCCGTAGCGTAACGAAGCGAACGCAGTTAATTGTATATTATTGCAATCTATGCTCAAAACAGCAGCCACAGTCGGCCATAAACAATGCCAGAAAGCGCGTGCCGAAGTTGGGCAGTGGCTGGGCTCGAAATGAGCTAGAATCAGAGTTGATGACAAATCGCTTGAATGCTCTCCCGCAGTAACCGTGTTTTGTAACGGCGTTTTGATTCGTGATTCATGATTGTGATTCTAGCTTCAAAAAATCGCTTGAACATACCCCTAAGGCTGATATAGGCAATTTAATAAATGAAACAAAATTACCGGTAGTCATCAATATAACATGAATTCATATTTTGATTAGTTTATGAACTCATGCTAAATACATGAAACGTATGATAGTGAATGAGAAATGAGAAAGGATGATGTGGTATTGTTGAAGACATTCATTTTTAAATTATTCTATATTCATGAAGTGATATATCACATCAGTTCCAATCTGTATCCCTGTACCGATGTTTGAAAGTAGGCTGTTCAACTTTACAATTTGACTCACAGAAAATAACAATCATTTTCATCAAAACTAATGATATTCATGATAATACTCATCGGATACTATGAAGACTTGGCTAGTTGAATCTAATTATGAAATATTTTGCTTTGTCTTAATCTATTTGGCATTTATACATGCAATATGAATTTTTATTTTTATTTTTTAATTTTAACAGTCACGACCTTATAGGAGAGTTCAAAACAAACATGAGGGAGTTATCTAGTGGAAGAGGAACATTTGATGTAAGTTTATCAGGAAATTCAAGAAGTGTACTGTATGAAAGGTTTATGAAAACTCAGGTTATGAACCAAATATATAAGTTTAAAAATTACCATGTATCACAATATACAATGGATTTTATTCCGTCAAAACTTTGGTAAATGTATTGTGTTCAGCAAATATTATGCTGCGCCTCTTACTACCTGCTGTACGTCATTGAGAATTGCTTAACAGTACAATACTCCTTTGTAATTTCCACAACATGACAAAATTCAAGAAAGTCATGATGACACATTTGTATATTTATAGAAAAACAGGATACCTTGTTCCCCTTCTTCCTTTACTCACTTGTTGTTTTTGTGTTCTAATTCTTTGTGCAGGTCATCAATCCCAAGAAAGCCAAGAAAAAGAAAAGCTACAAGAACTCTGGCACGATTGAACTGTTAAGTTGTGCCATTCAGAAGAGAGCAAGTTTCCTCGACTTCATTACAGGAGGGATGCAAGTGAATTTCACTGTGGCGATAGACTTCACTGCATCAAACGGTAGGTAGAGAGTGATAATAATAATAATAATAGGTCCATTTATATAGCGCAGCCACTATATGAATATACTATACTACGCTTAATACAAAGTATCATATTATTACTCCGGCTGTAGCTGAGCTGCCATAAGAAGGCGCTAAAGCATTAAAGAAATTTCTTCCTATGGGGTACCCATTAACTTCGCCTGGGTGGAGAGTGGCAAATGTAGATTAATATCTAGACATTAGTACTGCGGTGGGGCTCAAACTGCAAACCATGTGATCCACAGTCCGGTGACATATCCACTCAAGATAGGATTTTTGTGTGTGTGTGATTTGACACATATTCCAGTGAAATGCAATGTGTGCTTTATTTTTATTGAAGATATAGAGTAAACGTTAGCATCAAGTTGGGTTTTGGTTAGGTTCATTGTTAGGGTTAGGTCTTGGGTTTAAAGTTCGGAATCTTGTTATTGCAAGAAATTGACAGAGCATTTGTAAGAGGTGCATGTGTCAAAATGACATATTTAACTTTATAATGTTCCAAATCCAAAACATGAATTTTTTCACATTCGTATTACCATTACTGATGAGATAACTATTTTACTATTAGCATTGCTTTTACTGTTAATATGATTAATAATATAACTGTTACTATTTCTGTTAATATTAGCAAGACCATTGCTATAACCATTACCATTACTTTTACTATACCATTACCATTACCCTTTACTATTACCTTTTACCATTACGATTACCATAACCTATCACTATTACCCATTGCAAATAGCATCACCCATTTACCAATTGCCATTACCAATTACAACACACCGTTTACCAATACCATTACTATTACCCATTTCAAACACTGTTATCCATTACCATTTACCCATTATGTTTATCAATAAACTTTGAAAAAATAGTGAAATGCAGTCCATATCGTATTCTAAATAAAATGGCTCCTTAGTAGGTATAAATCACTAGATTTTCTCTTCTGTCATTTCACAGGTAACCCAAGCCACGGGAACTCCCTGCATTACATCAACCCCTACAGTCCTAACCACTACGAACAAGCTATCATGTCGGTCGGAGAAATCATTCAAGATTATGACTCTGATAAACTCTTCCCGGTCCTAGGCTTTGGGGCTAAGATACCTCCGAATGGGCAGGTCTCACATGAATTTCCTGTGGTAAGTTCTCATCGTAGACTATCACTCCTGTCGACGGATAGTCACGTGAAGCCCCTCCTACCACCTATCCTCTCCTACCGGCCCTATAGTTCTCTTTAGAACTACAAGCTCAAGAAAAATTATCAACGGTCCTTCTCAGGACTACACACACTCAAGAAAGAAAGATTACCAACAGTCCTTTACAGGACTTTCCAATCCTCCCCCTCTCACATGGTGCACCCGCAAGCCTACTGTATATCTTCATCACCATGCAAGTCGATACTTATAAGCAGCATCTAGACTATCCCTAGGGAATTTTATATATTTGTTTTAGGAGTTCAATCTAGATCATCTTTTGTTGTTGTGGGATGGGACTATATGTGAAGTTAGATTTAATCAATCAACCCCAAGAAACAAGAAATCAAGTAAGATACATTGCAGATTATGAACCTTAATTAGTTCTTTAACCCAACATGCTAGGATGATAAAAAAAAGCTGCCATATTTACACAGCTGGGCTATGCATTCTAAAAGCTACAATCGATCAAAGTTACTGTGGGAAATGATTGGCTGAGGAGGATCAATTCATTAATTTGACCTAGCAATTATTTGTACATTCTTGCTTTGCAGGCACTCTTTCTTTATTCAGCCCTGTCTTGAATTTTTCTTTAGAATTAAAAAAAAATGAATTTAGTGAATGAATCTTTTTATAAATAGTTTTTTTTTAAATACATTTATGACAGACTTTCAACTCCCAGAACCCATTTGTAATGGGCCTGCCTGGAATCCTACAGGGGTACAAATCCTGCATCTCTCAGGTTCAGCTCTACGGTCCTACAAACTTTGCTCCAGTCATTAACCATGTATCAAGGTCAGTATTGCTCCAAGGGGGTGTTTCACAAAGATCCTAAGTCGAACTTAACTCCAAGTTGGACTTAAACTTTATTGGGAGCCATTTGTAGCCTTAAAATAAAATATATTCAAAAGTGCAAATTGAAGTATTTTAGATTATTTTGAATTCCACATCTAGAACATGAAATCTCCTTGATAATGGAAAATATGAATGATTTGAATCAACATTTTATGCCTTTTAAAATAACTTTTACAAAATATTTTCATAGATGCTAACAGCTTTCCATAATTGTTAAGTCCAACTTAGAGATAAGTTCAACCTACAATCTTTGTGAAACATCTCCCAGATAAAGAGTTTTTATACTTGTCAGGAGCAGTCGTGTCAGTTTAAATCCCTTCAACTATCAAAGGAATAGTTTACAGAAATCCTTGGTGACAAGAGCATTCCTTTGCTGTTGCTCCTTATCCATGAATTCTTTAACATTTTTGTTATGGAAAGGTATGAATATGGAAGAGGGAGAAGGGGTGTTTTCTTTTTATGTAAGAATTCTTTTTAAACAATAATTTATAAATATATCTCTGATATAGCAAGTGCTTAACATGTTTAATGTGGTCTATATCTTACAGGTTTGCCCAGCAGTATCCAGATGGTTCCAATTATTTCATTCTTCTTATCATCACTGATGGAGTCATATCAGATATGGAGATGACCAAGATGGCTGTTATTAGTGTAAGTCTTAAAATCTAAACTGTCCCATCTTTAGACACTCCGAAATACCTACCACCACCATCATCATATGTGATCAATATCCTCTAGTGATCAGAAGGGAAGTAGGAGGTAGAAATGTATAGTGTTTGGAGGTGAAGGAACAAAATATCCAACATTCCCCACCCCCTTCCAAATTTCGTTTCATTTGCTTGTAAATTCTATTGTGTGCCCAAATGAGTCCATGTAAAAAGGAGGGAGAAAACACATTCTTTCAATCAAAATTTCCAATCCCTGTGAAGATATTCAGTTTGGAGTGAAGGAAAGTTTGAGATACCTCAGTGAGACCGCCTCAGAATTTACTTTTGTATGTATTATAGGAGATAAAAAAGGAGATATAAAACTTTTGAAAAGCATAGGTGATTGAGAATAGTGATGCTCTCAAGTTGATCTTTTTGTTGCTAAAAGTCTCCCAATTGCCCCTTCTATATTATGCACTGTTTTTAATATCTTTCTGTCTATCTCTTTCTCTCTTTACATAGGCAAGCAAACTACCCATGTCCATCATCATTGTAGGAGTGGGGCCAGCAGAATTTGATGGTAAGCAGGTGCATCACCCTGATACACTTAATTGGTCATGGCAAGTTTTTTTGTGAACGCAAAGAGAGATTACAGAATATGCAAATGTTGAACCCTATATTAAAACACATGAATCACTTTTAGAATTTTCTATTTCTTCCTCAATTTGCACTTTTGTTGGTGACACGACATTTGCTCCTGCGACAATTGCTCCGGGCTTTATTTCGTCTAAGATGTAGGGTAAGGGTTAGGGTTTCAATAGGGTTTTATGTTAGGTTTAGGGTTAGGTTTAGGGTAGGGTATAGTGTTGAATCCAGGGTTGAAGTTAGCCATTCGATTAGTGTATGAAATTTACAGCGGAGCAATTGTCGCCGGAGCAAATGTCATGGAATCCTTTTGTTATCACAGCTATTTATATCATATGTGGCTAATGCATACTGTAATGACCGGCGAGAGCTTGATATCATGTGCTGTGTTCACTTGAAGTAAACTTGATTAAAAAACGTAAAGGTCTTAACCCATTGACCACTAGAACTTGATGGCTCATGTAAGCCTATGAGAGCAAGAGAATTCAGAATTCAACTGGTTAATAGACTAGAGAGTGACACACACCTGTAGGTATACCAGCAGTTGACAAAAGTGATGCATATTTTAACTAACACAATGGATTTAAAATTAGCCAATTATTTCTTTACAGGGGAAATTTAGGAGAGATCTTTATGATGTTTTTATTTTTTCCTTCAAAACAGCAATGGAAGAGTTAGATGCCGACAAGCAAGCTTTATCATTCCGAGGTCAGACGGCTCAGAGGGACATTGTGCAGGTAATGAGTGTGCTATCCTCATTGATTTTAGGATCAACAACCCCCCTGAAACAATCCCCCTCCCCCCCCCCCCCTCCACGAACAACTATCCACTAAAGATAATTACTCCACCCCCCCAACAGTTGCCCCTAACAAGTACCCCTGCTGTCAGTGGACTGTTACAGGGGTAATCAGGATAGTTGTTTGATGGGTAATTGTTCTTAGAGGGTATAGTTGACCTAAGGAGTAGTTGCCAAATTACTTTGTATAATTCTAATGCTGTAGCAGTCAGGAGACAATTTACAAGTTCAGGCGTAGTGTATTTAACCATAAAAAGGAGCTCTTCTATGCCTCTTTTGATATGTAATATCCTCCTTCTAAAATCTAACTTGTCCATTTCAATTTTTAACTTAAAAAGAAAATATTGAGAATTGTCTGTACTTTTGCTGGAAAGAGGTACTGTTCATTTTGTTTGTAAGGTTGGAATGCAGTCAGTTTTCCTTCTTGTTTTATAAATTTAAATAAGTGACTAAACATTTATACAATTGCAAGATTATGTGCTGAAATATTATTGTATTTTGACATCATTGGTTTGTATTATCTTTAGAGGTTAACATTTGCACATCTCTTTCTGCACTTAATATGACCTTCCAAGTCACCTTTCACCTTGACTTTCCCTTCCCTTACATCCCCACCACTATGTCCAGTTTGTGCCTTTCCGTGACTACATCAGCAGTACCGGAGGGAACGTGGGTCTGAGTCAAGCCAGACTAGCCAAGGATGTCCTGGCTGAGGTTCCTGATCAGGTCCTAGGCTTCATGAAGGCCAGAGGAATCACCCCTGATAAGTTACCCAAACCTTCCCATCTTTCACAGGGTCAAGTGCCTTCTGCTCCACCAATCTAGTCTCTACATCGATCGCAGGTCAAAGGTTCATCGGTATTCATCTTGCCCGTTCAATTGCTGAAATCCACCTAAACCCGCAGTGCATTTATCACGGAGCATTAGGTCAATCCAGTACTCATACGCATTCCCTAATTGACTTGGATACATGGATATAAATGTATTAGTTAATTCTGCATAACTCAAAATCTCATACCGGTAAGTCAAATTTTTCCCAAAGACGAATTTTTTTAAACCAAACTATGCAAAACATGTATTATTTCCCTTCCTTAGTCAAATTTTGCTTAAGTCAAACTATTTTTTGCTGTCCCAACAGATTCAACTTATGTAGAGGTAACTGTATGTGCATAGCGTTCTTACACAGGTATTCCTTATGTAAGTGATGCATTGAAGGGACTATCAATGTTCAGTATTCATTGAAGGACAAATTTATGAATCACGTTGCTTGAATTTCATGTTAGCAAGCCAAGTGTATGGTATAAGTTGAAACATATTGCTGAAATAGACCTCTTGTTGGTCAATGTCACTGATATGATTTTGATATATAATGATAATGAATTCTCGATCAAGTCTGGACCAATTGTCGTCCAATAGCCTTAACATCACTCAAAGGGTCTTATTTATTGGAGGAGCTTGACTGATAGCCTATGCCTTTGAATATTTGGGAGAGGAAAAGTGAGTGTCTAAACATTCAGGTGAAGACTACTGCAAAGTCCATTCACTTAATACATGTATTCACACAACGAATATATATCTTTTTTGGGGTGATTTTCAGACATGTATTATAAGATGGGATGGGTTAAAGCCTTAATCTTGCTTATATCGTTAATATGCAAAAGAATATTAACCCTTGTTACAACAAGATGTTGTTTATATGTTAGGATGTATAGACCAATTGTCGGTTAGTTGGTTTAATTGGTTATACTAATATTGCTACTTGGTTTATAACTTTAGTTTTTCATGTTTGATAGGTGTTAAATCGTTTTTGTTTTACCATGAATTGTTACATCTTGAATGATTTGTATTCGCAATTTAGTATTTGTTGGCTGAAAACGACCTGTAGTATTATCCCTAATCCCATACAAGTATGTAGAACCCTTTACCCTTGTATTCTATGAAAGCATTATGTACTGGCTACATGATTCAATTATAATTCCAATTGGCAAACAAACCATATAAAAGGTGTGTCTTTGCAATATATTCCTCAGGTAATTGTATCCTTTATGGACCATAGAGCACAATAGGAAACTCTTTGCACCCTACACTAATTGCACTTTATTAAAACATATTTTTTTGTGTGTATAATTTCAAAGCAATAATGATATGTCTTGCTTATCCTTATGAACATAACCCTCCCCCCTTTCTCAAATGGAACATGTAACTGAAATTAAGATTATGATATCTCTGTTCTACTTGAATGATAGCATCGCAGAAGAATGAAATGAATGTTCATACAGGCATGGTCCATGATACATCTAATGTTAGGTGGAAGAATGAAGAAGGACAGTGGATTTTTATACAGCATTCAATCTTTTTTTCTCCCTCCGTATGTTTTGGTATGGTTTTGATCTATGACAGAATATATCATATATTTTTTTAAGCTATTTGTTTAACATTTCTGCATTGCCATGTTTTGATTCAAATCTTTCAAACCTTATATAATTTGTATTTATGGATACAATCTTCTTAGTGTGGTACATTGTACTATGAGATGGGTTAATGATAACCAGTCATGTGGAACCGTAAGACTTGATAAATATCAAATTGGCAAGTGATATGATTGTCAATTTATGTTGTTTATGGGTGTCAGTTCTACTTAAAAGTTATTGGCTATTATATATATTATGAGATAATGACGTGGATCCTAATCAAATGATTGGTTGAAAGCGTACACGTGACCAGGCATTTATTTTGCCTAAGGCGTAATTTGGATAATGACCGGTCATTATCAAATTCTAATGACTGGTCATTAGTAAAATTAGGTTATAAAACATCATTTTAAACAACAAATAAAACATAATCTTATAAAACCTTGTGTGGGTCATTCTTACTAATGCCCTCACTGCTGTGTATTATTTGTATACAGTCGAACCTCCTTTAGCAACCACTTGTATAGATCAGTCTTTATATTTGGGTTTCACTGTATGTCATTTGTATAGTAGAAGTATTATGTATATACTTATGAATAGATACATGTTATTAGATATATGAAGTACTCTTTCCTTTCAGTACTTGTAAAGTGGAACATATAAACAAAAATATATATGAATATGAATTATAGATATATTACATTTTTATCTTAATATGACAGGGATATTGAAATTCAGAGAAAAATAGTCGGTACTTCGGACTTTCTTATAGAAAAATTATATATCATATGTATGATTGTAACAGTTGGTTTGTCAGTAGTGTCTTTGCATTTCAATCAATAATTCTATAATAAATTCATGTCTTTGCTTTGATATGAAGTTTTTATCTTAACAATTTCTGATGTACATAACAAAAACGTTTATATTACATTCATGTATAAATATTTTGGATTATGAGATGAAAATATAAGGTGAAGCTTGGGATTCTAACGAAACACTAAACTCTGCCTTTTGCTACTATAGCCTATACCTATGTGTATTTCAAAGAACACTTTCCCAGCCATTTCACTGTTTTTGTTTGATATAATACTAAATGAAAAGCAAACATTGTTTGATGGCTTTCATACTGAATTTGCAAGAGGTTACTTTCCTCTGTACAAGGATGATGTTGTGCCTAGTATGCAGAAATTCAGAGCCCTTGTGCTCTATAATATTCTATTACAACATAGTGTGCCCTAGTTTTCATTTAAGTCATTCTAATCAATTATTGTTTACCGTGGACAAAATCAGAATTGAGATAAACTTTTTTGGGGGAGGACTTTTACAAAACGTGTCTACCTGAAAATCACACTTGAAATTTGTTTATTCTTTGAAACACATGTTGCATGTTCTGCTTTTATGTCTTACTGATCATGCTGCCTCTTTAATATATCAATGTGTCTTCTTTCTAATAAAAAACTATGTTCTTTCTGATTTAAGTTATATGTGTATTAAATAAATGTATTTATCAGGAACAGTAAATTATTGCTTATATGGGAATCAAATAGTTTTTCACTGTTCACAGACAAATTAATGTATTTTATCATGGGTTATATTTAAACAAATTAAAACAAATCTTGAAATATGCTTGGAAGACAGTAAATCAGTTATGTTTTGTGTTATACAGCAGGGTGATTTAGTCTTTTTAAAGAAAATGTTAAAATGCATTTACGTATTTGATATGTAATGAGAATAATGATCAAATATAAACAGTGGCTTAATTAGGATTGACAATGCAGCGAAGCTATTCTCGCTACCGCAACTACGTTTTTGGGTCATAGAGGGCAGCACCAGCCAGTGGTATATTTGGTCGAGAACAGCTGGAATGTCTGATAGAAATTGTAGTTTTGGAACCAATAACTGTGATCAACAGATTATGATGGTGCCTATATATGTAGATCTCCTTTAAAATCATCGGGGTAATTCATGAAACCTGAACAAATAAGGAATTAGTTGGCATTGCTGTTCTATGGTAGCAGGAAGAAACTTATTGGCAGTAGGGTCAATCAAGCTTTTGTTAGTTTTGTAGAGATAGGTACTTCCTCTTATTGCATAACCATATATCAGTTTTAGTCTCGATTTAAAGATAAAGTTGAGTTCTGGTCATGCGATTGCATTGTGAAAGAAACAGTGTGGAATTGATCGCAACAATTTGATCATGTATTGGTGTGTACTGCAAGGTTCTGGAGTCATCAAAATGATAAGAAATTTGGCCCAGTCTTAATTAGTAAAGAATTCAGGCACTGTACACAGAAAGATGTATATGGGAATAAAACATGTGGCATAAAAACGGGCCTCATTTTTAAGCTGTTACTTGTCATATTTAGAATATGAAGGCATTTGAAGAGCCATATGCTTTTCAAGGAACTTTTTTTATCTGATGCTCTTCCACACTTTCATGATAACAATAATGATAACACTCACAGATTATTTGTCACCTCTCCCCAGAACTCAACTTTCTCTTTAATCTAGCATTCCTCTAAATGATAGCATTTCAGTCAGGTTTCTTCTTGATTCAGACTATGTTTAGGTTTAAGATATTGAATCGGTTGTTTGGCATTAATTAGCGCTGACAATTTTTGCTTCATCATTATTGTTTTTGGTTATATATAGATGTATTAGTCTAGGTTTAGGTTTAGGTGTAATGTTTTAGAGTTTAAGTTAGAAACTGTAGAGCGATTGTTGCTAGAGTTTGTGTCAATTACTGTTCTGTTTTGTAAATCATACAACTTTCTTTATATTTATTGAGATGTTCATATATCATCAATTTATTTTGTTATATTCTATCGATCATTAAATGCAAACATTTTCTATTAATCTTGATTTCTTTGAACTTCATGCTTGTCTGTCATGTTGGATGTGATATTCTAATGTAGGTACTTCTTTATAAAGATGTTGAAAGAGTTGGAACAACTGATATACATTTCTTTTTTTGGGGGGGGGGGGGGGGAGGAGGGGGATACAAGTTTACTTGCATGAGCTTTTATTTTAAAAAGTGACCATCCTTTCAGCTGCAATGTGTAGTACAATTTATGAATGAAGAGCAAATCTAATACTATTTTGTCAACTACAGAAATAAAGGGATGATACAATACCTCATGTTTCATTGACAAGTTATATCGAGAGCTTTTCGTCTTTATTTAAATAAAAACATCACATATACACAAAATTATAGTGGCTATGATTAAATAAGCTTGTGTACACTGAAGTTAAAAATGTTAAATTTTTTCCAATAATGATTACTGGATCATACACATGAAAGATTCCTTGATTTTATCAATAATATCTTGTCATTATCAATATGAGAAAAATGTTTTGCCATATAAATTCCACTGTGGGTATAATCTTTAGTTTGTTTAATAATAACTTTGGAGTGACTGTTTGTAATAAGACCGATCGAGCCAACAGCATAATATTTATTATCTCTTGAATATATGATGTTGAAGTCTGAAATTTTCCATTCTGTGGTCATTAGGCTGATCTGAGTCATCGTTTGAGTGCGTCAATGTATGATGCGGTCAAAATTATCTCTCGATGCGGTGTACGTATTTGTATAGTGGGATTACCATACGGACAGTATTGCGATATCTAGAGCGGAGATGGGCGTGGCTTCTTGTAATCAGTTGTGTTGACATATCATCAACACGCACACTCGACCGAACTATTCATTGCCTGCCGCTCTGTAAAATCCATTGGACTCTGCAAGATGGCGGGTACTGGTACGTTTCAACCGGGAACTGCTGGGGTAGCAGCATCACAAGTCGAGATTTCAGTGTCATGCAGGTATGGTTGAAATTTAGTCGGCGCTTTCTGCACCTCAAACAATCACTTCAATTTGTTCGGCCCCACATGCTATAAAATGTGTATAGTCTACGAGTACGATTGATACATGTCTGTAAAAAAAAAAAACACACACACACGCATAAATGACATATGGCCTAGCTACATGAGCAATCTATGCAGTCTGCTTAAAGGGGAAGTCCACCTTGGTAATAAGTTTGTTTTAATACAAAGAAGAAAATGAGAAGAACAGATCAGTGAGGCCGTAGGTTTGAGAAAAATCGGACAATACAGAAAGTTATAGTTTTTTTTAATCAAGGTCTAGGTCTATAACTTTTCATGAAATACTTCAAATCTGTGAGTCAAATTGGCAACAGCAACGCAGTCTCTAAATATAACAGCTAAGAGTCTTTGGATCCTGTGGATCATGTAGATCCTTTTAATGTATATACATTAATCATTTGTATGCTGGTCTGTTACACCTGCTGTTTATTAACATAGTTTTTGTTTTAAAATATTGATTAATTATTCAATGAAATATTATATTTACTTTGCCTTCAAACAGAAACCTCAAAGATAAAGATGTTCTTTCAAAATCAGATCCAAGTGAGTAAACTATATATGTTTCATTTTATATTTAATTATTGTTCTTTAAGTTGGGCTACTGTGTACAGAACCACTAACTTCATAAGTATGCATAAGTATGCAAATTCATGTGGTTTCTTCTGAATCTTCTCTTTCAATAACGGCAATGTTCACATTTGGGGGGTTGTTATTTTATTTGTTGCAAAAATTCATTAACACCTTTTCTCTATCTAGATGATTTTATAGAGACGTGAATTATTTATAATTTCAGCTTTTGTATTGTCATGCAGATAAAGCAGTATGCTATAAACTATGATGCTCTTTAGTGCTTTTGAGTAAGAAAATCTTTGTTTTCTGTTACAGTGTGTGTTCTCTACACCACACAGATGGGATCTAAACAATTCTATGAGGTAATTGTTTTTTGTTTGTTTGTTTGTTTGCACTTGATTTAAAAAGAAAAAAATATATCTTATTATTTATATAAACTATTGCAGTCCTCTTTGCAAGAAATTATGTTTAAATGCACATTAACTGCTTGGCACAGTGAAATATTTTCTCACAGTTACAGCCAGCAATGATTCTTTTTAATTGTTGCACTTTTCATTTTTCCTTTCCATCCTGAGAATTTCTTGGAGACTGTGACCACACTCTTAGTATTAGGTTTGATAATTACACATGAGTGCATTAATTAATCCTGTTATAATTATTGTTTATAAAGGGTGTCGTGTTATTCAGATATTTCCCTAGCTAGCTCATAATTCATATCACAATTTCTAAAGTAGTTTCAATTAATGCATGCAAAAAAAACAATTTTAATTCTGTAGTTATGCACAGTACCGAAAGTGAACAATTTGTAGATATCTGTTGTTAAAAGTAGTTTCTGTTTTAATAAAAAGCAGCAGATCCATGAGGGGGGAAATGTTTGAGGATTAAAAAAGCATTTTGATTTGTCTATCACATTTTTAGTTATAATTGTGTAAGTTAAAAAAAATACAAACGAGTGGAAAGAGGTTTAGCTTAGGAAAGCCAGCAAACAACTCTTAGGAAAATAAATATTCAAAAATTCAACAGCTAGTTCTTTATAATCATTCTTTTTCTTTTGGAAATCCAAAGTTTTTAGTCTTAAGTTTGGCAATAATTTTTGTTCATGTACTGTTTTTAGCCCATGTTTTTAGCCCTTGCATCTGTCATTATGATTAGATTGATTCTAATCATTAAATGTTCTCATTCATGTTATTATTGATTTGTAAATGCTTTGCAGTATGAAAGGACAGAACGAGTCAAAAACAACCTAAATCCTGATTTTGTTCAAAAATTCAACATGACCTACCTCTTTGAAGAGTGCCAAAGACTCAAATTTGAAGTGTAAGTCTCTCGTCCATCCTCCCGTCTTATTTGATTTATGAAAAGGAATTGAAGTATTTGCTATCATCTCATGTAATATCTACAGCGTAGTTTGTTTTATTACCTAATGTACCGTAGTTAGTTTTAGAGTGATAGTTTGGCTACAGCATCAAACTTGTTTGGAGAGTAATTTTTGTTTTTGATGGTGCCATATTATCTTGTAGACTTAGATAAGTGACCCCCCCCAAAAAAAAAAAAAAAAATAAATAAATTAAAAAAATAGTTTTTTTGTACTGTAGTGCTGTGGTATGAAATTGCACTGTCATCCATCATCCATCTATTCACTGTAGATCTTTTGATATAGCATTACTTTTGCATCTAAAAAATTATGCATAATTAGCTTTTTGCTGCTACCGTATTTTCATCCATCTAAAAGGTCAGTTGATTGCTTTCAATGTTTTCGTAGTCTGATACAAAAAGCATGGTCACATGATACCTTCCCATGATACAATATACCTTTGAGTTTCAGACTGCTAATTTTGGAGTCATCAAAGACATATGATACATGTTGAAAATGTTTCTTTTTGCAACTTCATTAGTTAGTTTGTAAGATATGTGCATAGAGATTTGCCGTCCTTATTTCATGTCTCAAGTTTTTCATGTATTAACTGGTATGTACTCTACATCTTTTTCCATTTTTCTTCGTTTAGGTACGACATAGACTCACCCACATCTGTTCTGGATGCACATGTAAGACACTTGAATTTTTCATGCACAAATGAAAAGGAAGGCATGAAAATCATCTTACGACTCACATTTATATATTAAATATAAGTACATTAACATGTCATAAACAAATAACTACAAATAACATGAATAACATAACAATGTAATATAATTTAGTCTCTCTTTTGAGAGCCAGAGGAATGCCAAACCCGTATTATTTGTACTCCCTTGGCTCTCAACAGATATTTACTTAAATATATTCTAGAAAATGTACATAACAACAATCAATGGCATATAAAAAGAACAACCCGTACAAAAAAATGTTCAATGGTATACCAATGGTATACCATTCGGAAGTACCACTGAAAATACCATACGCATACCATTCACAAACACCATTTAAATACCATTCGGATACCATTGAGATTACGCTCGCAACGTATGGGCACCATTCATCTACCAGTAAAATACCATCAACGTAATAATAATTTTTTGGATGCTCATTTGCATAATCACCAATGGTAGATGAATGGAACTTTTTACACCATTGAAATTTGAATATGAAATATGCAAATTTTGTACCATTAATCTACCATTGATTAAAGACCCTTTCCAATCAAGAAACAGTACTGTTTGGATGGGAAAATAGATGGTGGGTTAGGTGTCCTGACACTTCAGAAACATAAACATTGACTATATCACCCATTAAATAATTTCGGAATGGACCATGCATCGATCTAGTTCCAGTCAGCTAGTGTCCAAATTTTCTTTCTGTGCCCAAGCTCTAGCACCTTGTTATTAGTTTCATGCAACGGATTTTCACTTCTATAACATATTGCCATAGTCGTAGTTAGATTTGTTATAGATATAGATATCGAATTTGTTATAGTCAGTCAAACGTCTTTTGATTAACTTACTCTTTTCACTTTGATGTATATATTTCATATGTATTGTAATTTGTAATTTTATTTGATTTGTTTTGTTTTGTTTGATATGTTATTGTTTATCATTGTATTTTGTTTGTCTAGGACTTAGAGATGTCGGTAAGCGCTTTATAAGCACCGTATTTATTATCATTATTACCTTTGAAGCACCATTCATCATACAGAAAGTACACTAAAATACCATTTACCAGTCACTACTATTTACCATTAAGTAATTACCATTGAAATACCATTTAAAATTTAGTAACTATACCATCAAAGTACATGTGCCAATTATCATTTCATCACTATACCATTGAAACACCATTTACCAAAGACATATGTTCCACTGTATACACCATTCACGATTTAGTCAGTATACATACCATAAATTCAAATTCATTTCATTTCCACTTAAAAAAACATTTACAAATCAATAATGTATACATATAAATAATAGTGGCGGGGTCATAAAAAGCACTAAATTGGCTTGTTGAAAGTGACCCCTTAACAAATAACAAGAATATACATAACATATTATACATTGTAAGAAAAATATCAAAAAATTATTACAGAAAAATCTTAACAAAAACATCAAAATTTGCCAGATAGGAAACATCAACAAAATATTATCCTTTATGAATTCAGTAGGTGTTGTTTAACTAATCGTTTGAACTGTTTTACGGTCTTACTATTTTTTAGATGAGTTTGGAGGTTATTCCAAATAATTTGACCATTGTAAAAAAAAAAAAAAAAAATTTTTTTTTTTTTTTTTTTTTTTTATAGTATTGGAATTATGAATGGAACAATTCAAAGTAAAATAATCATCATACATCTTAGGAAGAAGTTTATGAGACAGTTGAAAAATGAAAATTGCAGTATTAAAGGTTAATAAACCATGGATAGGTAGGATTTGCATTTTTTTAAATAATGGTAGAGTGTGAGAAAGATAAAAAAGAGTGTGTACTAAGGCGAATCCCACGTTTCTGTAATTAATAATTTTGTTCAATAATTTAGAAGTGAAACCCCAAACAATATTACAATAATTAAAATGGGAAGAAATCAGGGCATGAAATACATTTTCAAAACAGTCTGAGGTAATAAATTCAATCTGAATAAAACACCAATATTTTTAGATAAAGTGTTACAAAGATGATTTTATGGTGGTTCCAAGATAGTTTTTCATCTACCATTACTCCTAAAAATGTTGTACTTGACACCCAAGTTTTTATGCCTCCGCCACCGAAGGTGGTGCCGGAGGCATCATGTTTTCGGGTTGTCCGTCCGTACGTCCGTCCGTCCGTCCGTCCGTCCGTCCGTCCGTCCGTCCGTCCCGTTTGACCGTTATCACAATATCTCAAGAACCATTTAAGATTTAAACTTAAGACTCGGGAATAGTATATATCACCATAGGAAGATGATCTGATTAGATTTTGGAGTACGTAGGTCAAAGGTCACAGGTCACAGAGGTCAACTTATGAAATTCCTTGTATTGAGTTTGTTAGCGCGATATCTCAAGAACCATTTGAGATTTAAACTTCAAACTTAAGGATAGTATGTATCACCATAGGAAGACGATCTGATTAGATTTTGGAGCACGTATGTCAAAGGTCAAGGGTCACAGAGGTCAACTTATGAAATTCCATACATTGAGATTGTTATCATGATATCTCAAGAACCACTGGAGATTTAAACTTCAAACTTAGTGATAGTGTGTATCACTATAGGAAAACAATCTGATTAGATTTTGGAGCACGTATGTCAAAGGTCAAGGGTCACAGAGGTCAACTTATGAAATTCCATACATTGAGATTGTTATCATGATATCTCAAGAACCACTGGAGATTTAAACTTCAAACTTAGTGATAGTGTGTATCACTATAGGAAAACAATCTGATTAGATTTTGGAGCACGTAGGTCAAAGGTCAAGGGTCACAGAGGTCAACTTATGAAATTCCATACATTGAGATTGTTATCATGATATCTCAAGAACCACTGGAGATGTAAAAACTTCAAACTTAATGATAGTGTGTATCACCATAGGAAGACAATCTGATTAGATTTTGGAGCACGTAGGTCAAAGGTCAAAGGCCACAGCACACATTATGAATGCAAAAACAGCTTGTGATCGCGTTATCTCAAGAACCGATTGATGGATTCATGCCAAAATTAGGTCATGTTTGTTACTTGCAGAGCCAATGAACTGAGTAGATTCTTGGTTCATAAGGTCAAAGGTCAAAGGTCATGGGCCCATTATGTATGCAAAAATAGCTTGTGAACGCATTCTCATTAGAACTGACAGATGGATTACTATTTAACTCAAAACATCTTGCAGAGCCAATGAACTGAGTAGATTTTATGGTCATGAGGTCAAAGATCAAAGGGTCATATATGTATATGAGAAATTGCTTGTAATCACAATATTCTGAGAACCTGTCAATGGATTACCATTGAACGTGAATTCAATTTTTTTTTTTCTGTTTTGGTTTGTAAAATTGCTCTATAACGGAGGCATCATTTTCGACTGCGCGCAGTCGAATTCCATCTAGTTTTTTATTTGAATAATACAAATTTAAATCCATTGGAATTTTGGTTTTAGTTCCAAACGTAATAGAATTAGTTTTATTAGTATTTAATATTAACTCATTGGATTTCATCCACATACTTAAATTTGTTAATTGAGTATTTACGAAATGAAATAAAATTGTTGATAAATAACTTGATAAAACTTCTAAAGGTGTGCCCCTAATAACCGTAATATTTTAATTTTTGTAATGAAATAGAATGATTTATAAGCTGCTTTAATTAACAATAACAGGCTGTTCAACTCTTCATGTAAGTAAATGTATAATAATGTACATCACAGAGTTATGTAAGTGGGACCACAGGCACAAAACAGCAGTTACTCATGGTAAAGAGATACATATCAGATCCAAAATTACTCCAAATTGAAGAAAAAACTAAAGATCCTTCATTGTTCCTGAGGACTAGGGTATTATTCCTTGCAGTTTGTCAGCTTTTAAAAGTTGATCATGAAAAAAAAAATTCACGAAAAAAAAAGCGAAATCACAGAGCAAAATGTAGATCAAAGTATAAGGTACATCTAGTTTTCTCAAAGTCACTACCAGTAAAATACCATTCACCATACAGACTCTACTATTGAAACACCATTCACTATCAGTCACCTCATTGAAACACCATTGACCATGCAATTCAACCATTGAAACGCCATTCATCATACAGACTCTACCATTGAAACACCATTCACCATCAAACGCCACCATTGAAATACCATTCACCATACAATTTCATCATTGAAACACCATTCACCATACAGATTCTACCATTGAAACACCATTCACCATCATACACCACCATTGAAACACCATATTCACCATACAGACTCATTGAAACCACATTCACCATCATACACCACCATTGAAACACCATTCACCATACAGAATCCACCATTGTGGCACACCATTGAAATACTATTCACCATACAATTTCACCATTGAAATACCATTTACCATACAGACTCTACCATTGAAACACCATTCATCATCATACACCATCATACACCACCATTGAAACACCATTCACCATACAGACTCTACCATTGAAACCACATTCACCATCATACGTACACCACCATTGAAACAACATTCACCATACAGAATCCACCATTGGCACACCATTGAAATACCATTTACCATACAATTCCACCATTGAAACACCATTCACCATACAGATTCTACCATTGAAACACCATTCACTATCATACACCACCATTGAAACACCATTCACCATACAGAATCCACCACTGGCACACCATTGAAATACCATTTACCATTGACGCTACCTTTCAAACACCATTCATTTACCATTAGGTTTTTTTGTAAGGGAAATCACAGCCAAGATTGAATATCAATTATTTATCAATTATTACAAATTTCAGATAAAAACTGTATATTTTTGCTAGCAGACATAGACATCATACTGGATGTCAAAGAAAAGAGACAAGAGAGAGAAAGAGAGAGAAAAAGAGATAGCTAATGAATTTCCTTACTTCAATATAGCTGAAGTGAAAGGGAACAAGAGATGAATATTATACATGACTTCCGGATAAGAATCTCATGATATATATATCTGTAAAGCGCTTAGGCACATTGTTGGATCGATGTATTGAGCGCTGTAAAAACAACAGAATATTATTATATATTATATATTATGATGGATCTACAATTGTCATATGAGAGGAATCACTGTTTGACGTAACATCTGTACTCGAAAGTGAAACAAATATTTCCCTTCTCACGCCAGTTTGAATAGGACAGAATGAACATTTTCTAAGGGTACTTCTGTTTTCAATTGTGAATTTTGAAGGGCTGTCAAACAAAACAATTAATTGCCTACAAAAAGAGATTATTTGAGTTTGTATGAATGTTGGAATTGAGATGATGAAATGGTTTAAGTGGGGGGGGGGGGGGGGGGAGGAGAGAGACAGCAATGGAGAAGGAAAGAATCAAGTATGCAAGAATGATGTACATGTATTTAATATTTCATCTCTTTAGGATTTTCTGGGAAGGCTTGAGACAACGCTGGGAGAAGTCCTGGGCTCGATGAACAATAGACTAGAAAAAGATCTCAAGTGAGTACTGGTAATCCAAAAATGGTCTGTATCTTTACTTCTTCCAGAAATGTACAGATCAATTGTCAGGGTCAATAAATAACTTTGATTCAAGCCTGATTAACATGAAAAGCTGAATGAAATGTTATATGTTCTAGTCGAAACAACGCAAAAACTTGTGATATATCTTAAAGCCACACTGTCCTACTGGTAGCTATACTTGCTCCCTCTATATAGAAAACAATGCCTAATCGGTGACCATTGGTCCCCCATGATCCTCCTTTTCTGCTGTTAATTGAGAGCTGAGTTGATGAGATAACCACCTGTCCAGTGACCTTGCAGTGTGGTCTAATCCCTCCTATAAACTATGGTAGTACAGATAAGCTTTAATAGAGAAGTCAGATTCTATATTCTTATTTAGAAAATAATGCTTACAACCTATGCACAGCTTTCATTAACTCCCTTAATGCATATTTGTAAGATTTCTAGTACTTTTCCCATTGCTTACTGGAACCAGGTGATCCCTGCATTAAGCCTATAGTAATTATATAATTCAGTAGTCAGCAGGTAAAAGAAAAGTGAGATATGGCCAAGTCTATAAATAGCCTTTATGTTGGATTTTTTTTTAGCGAAGTGAATCAAGTAGAATATACAAAGTGAAAAATAATTCTTTATACTCCGCCACTCCATGTACACTCTTGTCAAATGGATTTTAATTTACTCTACCAATCCATTATATTTGTTTATTTGTAATGAATTAATTATTTATGTTTGTTTGTTTGTTTTTGTGCAGAGATAAAGACAACAAATCTTGTGGAAAAATAATAATAACAGCGGAAGAAGTCAGTGATTGCAAGGTAAAATAAACCCCAAAGTTTTATAGGATTACCATTTTTATCATAATACATAGATGCATTGATAAAAGAAGATTAAAATAAGCTATTTTTGTAATATAATCAAACTTAATGCACCAATCTCTGTAAATAGCCTCATTACAAATTATTGTAAAGTGCCTCATTACAAATTATTGTAAAGTGCCTCGTTACAAATCTTTGTAAATAGCCTCATTACAAATTATTGTAAAGTGCCTCGTTAACAAATTATTGTAAAGTGCCTCATTACAAATCTTTGTAAATAGCCTCATTACAAATTATTGTAAAGTGCCTCATTACAAATTATTGAAAAGTGCCTCATTACAAATTTTTTCATTCACCTGTTACAAATAATGGCATTCAATAGTCAGAATGCAAATTGCATGCATTACATGTTGTTAGGTAGGACAAAAATTAAGTGTTTGTCCTACCTAGCAACAATTAATGTATGCAATTCACATTCCAACTATTGAAATACAATTATTTATACAGGTGAAAGAAATAATTTCTGATCAGGCACTTTACAAAGATTTGTGCATTAAGTTTTAATTACATTACAAAAATGGTCTATTAGAGTAGAATGCATTTGTATTTTTGAATTCAGATGGAGATAAGGACTCAAATAATAGAATACCTGGGGGGTGTTTCACAAAGACTAAGATTGGTTGTTCTCACCATTGGTCTTTCAAGGGACATCGAAAATCTACAGAATTTACATTTTTGATAGTTCATTGTTGAAGAAGAAAAGTTAATATTTACATTTAAAACCGAGGTTATATTTAATACTTGGAATTATAGTATGGTATGCGATTTATGCCCTTAAAACGTATTAAACCAGATGTAAAATTGGAGGGGAAAACCCTTAGAAATTATGATTTTCAGATAATATTTTTTCGTTCATTAATGAACCATCAAAAAATGTAAATTCTCTAGATTTGTGACCACGATTTGTATGTCCCTTGGGAAACCAATGCCAGGAATGGTTAGAGGAACAAATGGCATGAACGGCCTGCCATAAGGATATAGTTCAAGTCCAACTTAGTTTCTTAGACTGATCTTAGTCTTTAAGAAACACTCCCTGGACATACATGTTTAACATTGTTTTCAGATGACTAACACATATATCTCAGCAAAAAATAAATGTCAGTGGTAAGTTCACTGTGCATGATGATACGTATGTGGTAAGGCCATATTGGTGAAGCAATAAATCATGAATATCATTCTTTTACATTCATGAACTGTTTTTCTCTTAATATCATGAAGGATGAGGCCCACCTCAATTTCAAAGGAAGGAAACTCGATAAAAAGGATTTCCTAGGAAAGTCGGACCCATTTCTTGTATTCTACAGATGCAACGAGGATATGAGGTGATTACATGGACTTTGAATGTTTGATTCAGCATTAATGCTGCCGACATGTTTTTAAAGTTGTAAAGTTCTGGCATTGTTTGCGATTGTGTCTTTGATAATGAATAATAGCTAGGGCACAATGCTTGGTTCTTGTATAGTGCTCGTGTTCATCACAATGACAATTCCGGTGCCCCAGCATTATTAATGCATTCAAGGCCAATAAATGAATATGTAGCGCTCCATGCAGCGGATTGGGTACCCATTAATTTACACCAAGATGGAGAGTGGCAGATATTAATTAACATATGGATTGCTTTCTTTGACTCTCTGCATGGTCCCTCGTTGTCCACACTTGCAATTTTGCACAAAGCATCATGTACCAAATAATGGAAGGATGCACTTATTGTATTAAATAGAGGGAACAGACAGAATTAAATGTTTGAAGTAGGGACATATTTCTATTCAGTGGGGAAAAGTACTGTTTGTGTTTATGACTACTGTACTTTGGACCCTAATGTAACAGCCATGTAATAGTCATGTATTATCAACAGCAATATCAGGCTTATTATTGACTTTATTTCTTTTTATACATTATGTTTCGAGAACTGATAATGAAATATGTTTGTTCAATACAGTTTTACAATCTGCCACAAGACGGAAGTGATCAAGAACACTCTAGACCCAGTATGGAGACCTTTCTCAGTCATGGTTAGAGTTCTGTGTAACGGTGACCTTGATAGAACTATCAAGGTCGAATGCTTTGACTGGGACAGTGATGGAAGGTAAATTTGTTGACACGGCTTATTTAAAAAATAACTTTGAAAAGTGGAGTATTTGGGGACGATTACTTCAAGTAGTCAAGTGGCAAGTGAATCTGTCATAAACCTTGACTTGTGTTACATGGAATGGATTTCACATGATATTTCTTTAAAGATCCCCTACTCCACTATCTTTGTATATTCTTGCCATCCTTTTCTTCCCTGTTCTCCCAATCTTCTTTGCATAGTTTTGCAAGAGACTTTGATTACACCTCCTATATCAGACTTTTGAGGTTGTAGGCTCCCTACCACCCCACTATCATGACACTCGTCTCTGTCACACGTAATATTTCTTCCTCTCCCAATCTTTATTTATTTATTTATGGACGCATGTTCACGATTCATTGGGGTTAAAAAGAATATGGTGTAACAAATCATTTTCAATTTTACAATCCATTTGAATTGACTACACATGAAAAGAATGTTTTACCAAAGACAAGTTGCAACTTGCAACTATTATACAGTTTAAAGAATGAACACACAAAGGTGATGAAACATAAGAAAATAGAGCTTGAATTGTTACAACACCTTTCAAATATATAATATATGACAAATTAAATTCCTAAAGGGCTTTGAACTATTTACACTATTTACAAAGAACAAGACTAGTCAAATGTCTTTTAGATCACAAGAGAATTAAATGATATATAGATTTATGAATATGTAAGTAATATCTTTCATCTGTGAAATGATAAATACAATTGCATTCTGTTTGCTTACAATTTAACAGCCATGATCTGATTGGACAATTCAACACAAACATGAGACAGCTGACGGAAGGCAGAGGTTCCTTTGAGGTAATGACAGTCATAATTATCATCAATCAATATTCATAAACAATGATTAAAGCACTTTATCACGAGGTGGCAATGTGCTGAATAATGTATCTGATACTACCAACTTTCAACTGTAAGATGCTCGTGCAGTCAAGGAGCTAGTTTTCCCTATTAGGAATCTATTTACTTCATTACCTGGGTTGAGACAGGCAAATGTAAATTAACTCTTCATCTTCTTTGGTTCAATTACCAACTTCCACTGTAAGATGCTCAATCAGTCAACAAAGTTCTTCTTATTTGGAAACTATTTACCACATCACCTGGGTGGAGACAGGCAAATTTTGTAAATTACCTCTTTGTCTGCTTTGATCAAGTAATGGAACCAGAGGTGGATGCCACAGGTTCTGTTATCACAAATACAGTCATTATGGAAGACATCAGTTAATTTAACTTATCGTCATGAAATGAAACATATAAAAAAAAAAAAGGTGTTCGTAATGGATTATTGCCAATTGATAAACAGCTTATTGTCCAAATTTTTGGAACGTAAACTCATTTTTTCTTTATGGAGGTTAGGTTAGCTATACAAAAACGATATAATTATGGGACATATACCCTAAGAATGGTGTTCATGATCTTCCAAAAGACATTAGTTTCATGCAAAGACTCATCTTTTTGTATCTTTGCATCTTTTGTTGTGTGCATGTTCAAACCACTCTGTTTGCTGTAATACAGTTTTTAGTTTAAAAGAAGGAAAAGATGATATTTGATGCAGGTATATGTAATATTTCTGTCTTATCTGTTAGCTCATTAATCCGAAGAAAGCTGCAAAGAAGAAGGGATACAAGAACTCTGGTACAATTGATCTTGTGAGTTGTTCTGTGGAGAAGAAGCCTAGCTTCTTAGACTACATCTCAGGTGGAATGCAGATCAACTTCACCGTTGCGATTGACTTCACTGCTTCCAATGGTAGGCACAAATAATAAAATGCAAATTTCAAAATTGGATATAAATGTCTTCTAAGTCCTTTGTTTGTGGTTTTGATTGGTTCCAATATGCATTTATGTGTGATAGAACATGCCGCAAAAGCATATAGAATTGAATGCATATGTTTCACATGATTGATAATATTTGCCTGTGTTAATCTCTAAGGTTGTTTTTATTGTCCTTTAAGATATGGCAAAGGTTTAGGAAATTTGTGAAGTTGATCATAAGAATTTTTAACCATTTTTGTTCTAAGTCAGTTAACCATTCTCATATTTATATGTTTCTTTGCCGACAGGTAATCCCAATCGCACCAACTCCCTGCATTACATCAACCCCTACAGTCCTAATCACTATGAACAAGCCATCATGTCGGTCGGAGAAATTATTCAAGATTATGACTCTGATAAACTCTTCCCGGTCCTAGGCTTCGGGGCTAAGATACCTCCAAATGGGCAGGTCTCACATGAATTCCCAGTGGTGAGTTATTGGATAGAAGTATTACATGATCTGTCTCTTGTCTCTTGTATTATATACAAGCTGTATTTTTATTTTAAATTTCAAAAGACTCTCATGTAACAAATTGTTCTACTTTATGTATTCTCATTTGTAGTATTAAAGCCCGTCTGTACTAGTTTGGCCTTGGTCTAATTGACCTCCCTGCAAGATCACTGACAGGTGGTTATCTTATCAAATCCGCTCTCAATTAACATAAGAAAAAGAGGATCATGGGGGACCAATAACAGGCACCGATTAGGCATTGTTTTCTATATAGAGGGCGCAAGTAGTGCAGTGGGGCTTTAAAGATCAATGACTAAGCAATCTGTGATAGCTAGACGCTTCTGTTTTCTTCTTGTGTCCATTTTTACAGACCTTCAATGCTCAGAACCCTTTTGTATGCGGTCTACAAGGTATCCTTCAAGCATATAAATCCTGCATCTCTCAGGTCCAGCTTCACGGTCCTACAAACTTCTCACCAGTCATCAACCATGTAGCAAAGTAAGCAAGAGAAGAAGTTGTATCGTAGTGAAGATACATCTTTTAAAGCACTCGTTGTTCCTTACGCTAGTGTTCCAGTCTGTGAATTGGCATTTGGTCTATACTTGTTTGTCTGCTACCCAGTTAGTCTATAATGGTCTACACCTAGCTAGTCAATCCCCATGGATTAATAATCATTAATCATTTGGTCTAATGACCATTTATACTAATTTAATCTGGTATAATTTGGTATAATCCCCAAGAAGTCTACTACCCATTTGGTATATAGTTCATTTAGTCTAATAACCAGGTAGTATAATACCCTGTTTGTTTAATACCCATTTCGTCTACTATCCATAAAGTCTAATATTTGTTTGATTATTTTTATTATTTATGATTAAATGATAATTATACCATGTTGAGAGTAGACAAAATGGACATTAGGCCAACTGGGACCTAGACTGACTGTAAATAGGACTAAATGAGCAATTGACCAAATGGGTAGTAGACTTATTGGACATTAGACCACATGGGTAGTAGACTCATTAGAGATATTAGACCAAAATGAAATTAGACCAAATGACTAGTAGCTTAAATGGTCATTAGACCGGATGATAAGTAGACGAAATGATTATTAGACCACACTCATAGCCACCATGCTGTGTTGTAAATCTGACCTCTCATAATCAAAGAAATTCTTCCCCTACAAGTATCCCATTTACCAGTTCTTGATCAACATAGGGAATACCGGTACCGGTATGTAATATTCTTGAATGTAAAAGTCAAATACCTATTGGAAAACTCAAAGGTTCTATTTTTTTTAAAAACTTCACTGTTTTTCCCCTTCTTATAGGTTTGCCCAGCAGTATCCAGATGGTTCCAATTATTTTGTTCTTCTCATCATCACTGATGGAGTCATATCAGATATGGAGATGACCAAGATGGCTGTTATCAACGTAAGTACAGATGATCAAATTTATATCGGGGTATTATTCAAGGTTATCTCGATTTAAATGTATTTTTTTTTAATAATTCATTGATTTTCAAATGTACCAATATGTTTTGAAATTTACTATTTTAAGTTTTTTGTTTGTTTGCTTAATTTTTTTTTTAATGTGATGTAGGAGGGGAAGGTACATTCATCACAAATTGTTGAAATGATTACATAAAATTATTGTTATGTTTAAAAAGGAAGTGCCTGCAGATATTGCACTCAAAAGTTAATACGGTATCTGTAACAGGGTATCAAATCAGAATTTTCAGTATCCAAACCCCTGGCCCTATGAGGCAAGTTCTCTGAAACTGGTATTTACTGTTCGAGTAGAACACATTTTCTCATAATTTTAAAAGGCTGACATTATATTGAGGATGATTCTCTTCTATTTCTCTTCACAGGCCAGTAGGCTACCCATGTCCATCATCATTGTAGGAGTGGGCGCCGCAGAGTTTGATGGTAAGCACCAAATAGGCAATTACGCACAACATCACATTGACATTAGTCACACTATACCACTTCAGCCAATTTGAAATGCCCACACATATAGTGATTACAACTTTCAAAAATTCACAACTTTTTTTACATTTAATCAGATTTAATTGAAACTTTCATCAGTTTGCTTCTCTGATTTTTCTGCTTTCTTTTAGAGAAGTTGTCTATTTGGGTTGATTTTCCTTTTAATACAAACGAAACCATTTCAGACGTTGAGCTTCAAACATTTTTCGTTTATGCACTGTTCCTACTACCGTATGTATTACATCTCGATGTAACCCACTGAATTGTATCTGTAAACAATTATTTTACATGGTGAATAAATAAAACAAACAAACTAGAATAAGTCGATAGATGTGGCGCTAAGAAAGGAAAATATGGAATAGTAATTGATTCCCTGTTCTGTAAAAATTCAGTCTGAGTATATACACGTGTAAACCTGTTTCATGTGTCATCTTTTCACTTTCAGCAATGGAGGAGCTGGATGCCGATCAGAAGGCTTTATCTTGCCGGGGTCATGTAGCGCAGAGAGACATAGTACAGGTAGGAAACATTTGTATCAATTCAGAATAATAATAATGAATGATAATAAATAATAATAATAAATAAATAATAAATAATAAATAATAATAATGAATGATAATAAATAATAATAATAAATAAATAATAAATAATAATAATAAAAATGGTGCTTATAAAGCACTTACCACCAAAGCCTCTAAGCGCTAGAGATATATACATGAAGAGTAATTTAGCTGTTCAATATTCTTCTGTTCACTCAAGATTAAGTTTTATTGTCCATAATATTACTTTGTTTCCAGTGGTGTTACATGCAATATAGGAATAAACATGATATTGTGTGCTGTGCTCTATATAATTATTGAGCTATTGTAACATTAAAGCCTGTCTGTACTAGTTGGGCCAAGGGGGATTAGCCCTCCCTGCAAGGTCACTTACAGGTGGTTATCTCATAAAATCAACTCTCAATTAACATAAGAAAAAAAGGATTATGGGGGACCAACATGCAGGCACCGATTAGGCATTGTTTGCTATATAGAGGGTGCAAGTAGCTATAAGTAGTGCAGTGGGGCTTTAAAGCTGCTTGCTTAATCTTCTACATCTAAACTTTTATCTTGTATTTCCAGTTTGTACCATTCCGTGATTACATCAACGCTACAGCAGGGAACGTGGACCTGAGTCAGGCCAAGCTGGCCAAGGATGTTCTAGCTGAAGTTCCAAACCAGGTCCTGGCCTTCATGAAGAGTAAGGGGATTCCTCCAAAAGATGTCCCTGCGTCACACCAATCTCTCAATGCTGCTGCACCTTCAGCACCCCCTCCTCAATAGAGGGATTAGCACAGCACTAGCACTAGATTTCCCCCTTAAGCAGTTGCTGAATATCTGCAATATTTTTGAAAGGTTGACACATGAAACTGTAATAGGAAGGTTGAACGACCTAAAAGGTACTATATCCCATTTGCAGGAATTATGAATATGTCACGTATGTCCCATCTGTGAAATTTAAACGTTAGCAGTGACCTAGTATTCAAATTATGCGTAGAAACCTGTTTACTTTCTAGACTTCACTGTCAGACACTATTGAGAGACTGACTGACTTCATTTTTCCTTTGGTAATAAAATCCATGAAATGAGCTGTAAAGGCTACATGAGCATTTGTCTACGTCATTAACGAACTTCATGCAACGGCCAAATAAAACTTAATGAATCTTTGGGCTGCACAAAACATACACAATTCGGTACAAAGGTCTGAAAATCAGACTATTTACTATAAAGATTGCAATCCTTGAAGTCGATTCGACAATTAACGGTTGTTATTTTCCCATTAAACCTTTTCATTTCTGTGGGCCTGCAAATGGGACAGAGTACCTTTCAAGCTGAAGGAATAATAGAGAGCAAACAAATCAAAGTTTTTTGGAGTGTCTGTACTATATGGTTTTGATTATAAATCATCATTCAGCAACATTTCAAATTTGTCTAGGTTATTGTGTATGTTGGATAGGAGAAGTTTACGAGAGTCTGGAATTTTATGAACATTTTTAATCAGACCCCCAGGGGTTTATCATATTACTTTTATTACCTGAGTTTATGTTTTTGTACTTAAGATTTTGTAATTCCTGTAGATAATTTTTTGTGGTATTTATGCAGTTACACTTGTTATGAACTATGTCTCAATATATGTGTCTTGAATCTTTATAACCAATAAATGTACATCACTTTGTAGATTTGCTTGTATATGTAATTTAGACCGAAAATGGAGTCTGAATTTTAGGAATTCATAGTTTCAAGGTGCCTTTTTTTTTGTTACCAAAATTAGCAGATAGTTCTGTTTTTTAGCTTACAGAGTACTTAACTTTGAGTATTAGAAAATTGAAAGGCGATGGGATGACATATCCATATTAGACACATTTATATATCCTCTGAAATGACTTTTTATTTGAATTTCATACAACAAAAAAGATATGACAACTATTATTTGTCACATTTCTCAGAAACAAGGAATTCAGATTTGTAGATCTGTTTTTTAATAAACCTAATGTCAGATCATTTGTAAAAACAAAATATATTGATACCAATTACTTTAAATTAAAAAAAACATACTCAGGTGTATTATTTCCTTTATGGATGATTTTGAAAGGTGTTTCATTACTAAAGTTTGTTATAGGTATTTAAGTTGTTCAGGAGAGTTGAAATAGTTCATGCTCTAAATTTTCCAGAAGAAATACAGAAATCATGAACATTGCTGAAGTCATGGAACATTATCTATGTGCTTATATGTGCTTATGGTAAGAAGAGGAGTCTTGAAACAAACCTGGGGGTGTTTCATAAAGCTGTTCGTAAAGTTATGCATGACTTTACGAATGACTTACATATGAGAAGCCAAATGGGATCCTTTATCATTATTAACTGCATCTACTAAAGTTGAACTGTGCAGATGTATAATAACATTCTTATTATGACAAACATTTTTGTTGCAAAGTATATTTTTTGCCATAATTTAATTGAAGTTATTGGAAATATAGTCACACTTTGTTAAAACATCAGGAAAAACTTTGGGCATCCTATCTGGCACTACATATACAAGTCGTTAGTAAAGTCATGCCTAACTTTACAAACAGCTTTATGAAACACCCCCCCCCCCCCCCCCCCAAGGTTCCCCAAACCTTAAAGAGTACCAATCACCAAGAAATATTTGTTCTGATTGTTAAGGGCTCCCTGTCGCTAAATATAAATATGAACTTCAAATATGATTTCTAGAAAGAGATCATCATCAATAGTGATCTGTCAGTTTATGACAGGTTCAGTGACCCAATCAAGATTTTATATCAAGTGTCTCTTCAAGTTACTTGGTCTTGAGCCAGAGATATTACAAGTTTAAATACATTTTCAATTTGCATTAATGCGACTTGTGAGTCGACTACCCCATTTAGGTTCCAGACACAGGATTGTAAGAATTCTTTATTTTCGTCATATTTTGTATCTGCTAGCACATAGAATGCCAGGTCATTTAAATTTTTAGAGGTTGATTTTGTACACAAATAATATTTCTAGCTGATTGGTACTTTTTAAGGTCACCATTTTCGAATTCTCATCAGGCGTAAAGAGACCAAACTTTTTGAAACAAATCTGTTTTTGAACAGATATTGCATTTATGTGATAAATTAATTCATATCCAGATGTTCTGTATCTATACTATACATAGAACAGATTAAATGATGCTCAATCGAGTCATTCTGTGAAAAATGAAGGAAATTCATATACAACTTGAATTGAAAAGAACAGTCTTGTATCTATTGTCAACTGGTAATATATTATATCACCAGAGCAGGAGTTTATGTCATGAATAGTACTAGTTGATATGTTTGTGTTTCATTACATTCTGATCCAGCATGTATTTGAGCTTTTATTTACAAAAAAGATATGTGTGAGATATATATTCAACTTCCTGGTTCGATGTATAGCTATTGTAGACATGTAAATGTAAACATATAAATATATAATTGTACATGTGTAGTAAGTGTTAGCGCAGTTAATGAATTACATACATTATATTTAAAATAAATTATACATGTATTTTCAACAGCAACAAGCTTTTTTTATAATTCTAAACCAGATCATGCTGTAATTTTCTTCTGGTAACATCAAGATACAATTTGTAATCGGTCATAAAAGCTTTCATATAAATAATAAATTAATACAATTGAGATAGTGAAGGATATTTAGAATTTTGAAATGGTCTTATTTTATTTACATGAAGATTCAATATATTGTATCGATCAAAGTCAACTTGATGTGTATTTTAAGATTTATCTGCCATTTTGAACTGCCACTTTAAATTGTATAGTAAATGCTTGATTCCTTTGGAAGCTTTTTTCTTTTTAAAATCTTTTGCCCAAAATAATGCTTGCCTTTATTCTTCAAATTCAAAACAGGGTAATAGATTTCATTTGAATTGTGTCAAGAACAATGGATCAACCGGTATTAATTATGATTGGACCTATAGTACGGCGATTTAGGTCAATGAACAGATTTAAACCAAAAGAGAAAGGCATTATCTTCAAATTCAAAACAGGTTTATGGATTTCATTTATAATTGTGTGTCAAGAAAAATGGATAAAACAGGCATTATGATTGGACTAGTACGACGACCGAGGTCAATGATCAGATTTAAATCAAAAGAGAAAGAAATTTTAATTGTCAGTAAGTATACTTCATTACTATTTGTTCTTGTATGTACCTGTATATGTGGTAATGATTTTTGTGCCTTTTCCATAAATTTTAACTACAGTTCTTTCCTGATTTTATCAATTTTTATACTATGCGGATGTCAGAAACCTCTGTCTGTTGCAAATGTTTGACAATAAGCCATTTCAGAACCGGATACTATCTGTACAGCATGGGCAGATAAAACCTGTACATTTTGTAAACCCACCAAAATGAATGCTGGATCCATTATTCATTTATGCACATTTGGTACATTCTATGATACACAGGAAGAAGTATACTATTCCAGCAAGAGGGCAAATAAAAGGTATTCATGAAGCACTCCATCACTTTGGCAGTCATTATTCTAAAATACACAAAGCGGGAGTTTGGGGGTCATTTGTACTATCTGTGCTATCTCTAAAGTGGCTTACACCTTTTTCAGCCTACTTTCTTTCATGCATTCTTACTTTTGCCTATGGTTGTGTAGAGGTACTTGTGACATGAGATGGATCTCTATTTCACTATATACATGTACATAATGTAGTGAATGTAATATTCACACATGGGACTTGGATTGCAAAATGCAAAACTATTTGCAACGAGACCCAGAATATTCTTCACAAAAGAATTTAAAAAAATTATACCTTGCAAGTTGTCAGATGTAATTTGAATGTGCTTAACAATTGGGCTCTATTTTGCCCTCTACAACTTAATTGTGGTGTACCACAAAAGTCTCTTGAATTTTTTATAACATTTTTTTTACATAAAATAATTTTGTGTAATATAGTTTAATGTACATGTAAAAGGTATCTCTCAAAGGTATATAAAAGCCATGAAATCATGTATATTAAACAGTAAGATAACTATATGGAGAATTTTTGTTTGTCTGATTTTTCTTCACTTTATGAGTAGTAAAACTGTACGTATATTATTCTCCCTATTAGCTAAATGATTTTCCCTCCCCCCCCCCCCCAAGAAAAATAAAGGCAACTCTAGAAAAAATATCCCTTTTCATTAAAAAAAAAGTAGTTGGGGTGTAGGAAATGAGAATGAAACTCATCAACTCAAAAGCCAGGGTACACATCACAAGAGGGAAAATATTATTCTCATGATATTTTGAATGGGATTAAACAAAGAATAAAAGAATACAAACATACATTTCAGATCACTAATCACCTCATCATGCTCATTTATTCAAACAAATTCCGAATCTTCCTAACAAGACCTTGCCTAGTCCAGATTTTGTCTGTTTTTATATATTTTTTATTCTTCAATCATCCCATTCATCCCCAAAATATATATACCCAGCGAGGGTGAGAATGAAAGGCAAGGACTGTCTCCATTTTAGCATTGAGGGTTTGTTATTTTCTCTGCTGAGTTAATAGGCGAATGAGACGGAAACAGTCCAGGCAGGGATTAGACTTTGACATGAATTTATTCCTCCTACTCGTGTATCTGTACATATCACACATGTATATCATGATGGAGACATTGCTTCAAATCACCCAACATCCACCCCCCCCCCTCTCTCTCTCTCTCTCTCAACAACTCATTCATAGTGCATCAAAATCACATCCAACTTGAAACCTGCAATCATATGGGCATTTAAAACCCTCTGTTCTATACTCCTTACCAGAGCAATCCATTAGTAACCCTAATACATAATTTCACCATTGTTCATACATGTATTGTACGAGCAAACAATACCTCAAGAATATGGTGTATGCAGCTTGTGTATGTGTGTGTGTTTTGGAGAGGGGGAGGGGTGGGGGATGGTGACCTTTGACACATCATCCTCATGCATACATTGTGTAGATAACTGCAAGCATTCATCATAATTATCGAGTGAACTGGGTATACTAGCATCCATTCAACTCTGGTTGTGAATCACTGATCGAGGTGATTTATTTCACTCCGGCATACATTCCCCAGACCCCTCCCTGTTTACTATCAAAGCCAAAAGAGTAGCAGCGCCAGATCAGTGCAGTACTACTCAAAAGGTACCGGTAATTGATACTCTGTTATCTGTTATGTTAGTGATAGGTATGGTATTGTCATGGCACAATGAAATCACTTGGAATGAATAATTATCATTGGTGTTTGCACATATACAGAGTGAGTCAAAAAAAAGTTTACACCTAGAAAATTGCTAATTATTTAAAAAATCATCGATGAACATTAAACTGTTATATGTCTTATGAAAGAGTGTTTTATCCCAAATCATTTAGTACCATTTTTGTGTGGTATGTGTTCACGCTTGGATGAACAGAAGACATTGTTTGCGAGAGTGCAAAAATCGAATTGCGCCAAAGTTGCCTATGTGATGTATGAATAAAACAATTGGGATTTGGGAATTAATTCGGTCTTTGCAGATCCAAATAACACCGTTAACAAAATTAATCATGCCACACATATCAAATATCGAATATCAAAATATCAAATATCAACGAACATTTGTGCGCGTGTGTGTGACTTTGCCCTTTGTGAAAAACATATGCAATGCATTTCATTTGATACATTCAATTCATTCTCTCACTCTGCTAATCCCAACATAATACATACAGTAGACAAGTCGATTTTTGCACTCTCGCAAACAATGTCACCTGTTCATCCAAGCGTGAACACATACCACACAAAAATGGTACCAAATGATTTGGGATAAAACACTCTTTCATAAGATGTATAATAATTTACTGTTCATAGATGATTTTAATAATAATTAGCAATTTTCTAGGTGTAAACTTTTTATTGACTCACACGGTATACATGTATGTATAACACAGCCCGCAAAGTGCAGGCATTAACCGATGACTTGTTCCACTTTCGGTCTGTCATGTCATAACCACTGACTTACATAAAAGATAACATAGTTTTCAGAATACCATCCTGAGCAGAGCTGCTACACTGCTGTCTTTGGTTTAGACGGAGGTTCAGAGAAACATATCACAATGTAACGAAAAGTAACGGAATGAACTTGAATCGTTTCAATTCAAATTTAATACCAACATGGGTCCACAAGTATTTGACCACTTTTCTCTCAAATGTATTTAAGAGCTCTGAATATGGGCTAATGATAACATTTATTCCAGTAAATCAAAATCAAAGTTATCTTCAAGCCTGCCTGTCAGTTTAATAATCCAAGCATCAATGACAACATTACAGAATTACTATATATTCACCATCTCCATTTAATATTATTGTTCCATAACTTCCATTACCATTACAATGATACGTAAATGATGTGTTTTAGTTTGTCTATATAATCTTGCAAGATAGAGTGGCAATAACAAAAGGAATGCTGATAAAAAACAATACCGAAAACAAAATGGAAACAAACATTGCACTGAACTCCACTTTCTAATGACAAAAGCCAGTAGACAGACCATGTAACCCAATTACAGTCACTTTGAACTATATGTATTTAGCATTATTAAACAATTGGTTTAAGTTTACATTAATATGTATAATAATTCTTCTAGCGAAATGACTACCCTTATAATTTTTTCTGAATATTCAATATTTGTTACAATTCTTTTTCTACATCGTTTTGTCAAATGCACAAAGAATGTCTGTAAAAAACTACATTTTACTCATATTACTTTTAATGATGTCATTCTAATGTTAAATACTACCTTGAAAGGATACTTTGTATCTTCCAATTACAATGAAATTACATTCAAACTAGGTCTACCAAAGAAATCTCTGCTCTTCTGGACTATTAGGCCAATAAAATGGCTTATGAAGAAAGAGGTACAACACAACAATATTGACCACACTGTAGAGGATAAATTCAGTGATGATGTGGAGATATGACCTCATGCTTAGGTTTAACCGGTAAATCAGGTATGGAATGATGAAATAACGAAACTCCAGCAGCTGTTGAGGTATGGTAGCTGCAAGGAGGCAAATGAAGAAGACAAGCTGCCAGAGTTCACTCTTGTGGGAGAGAGAATCCCGGATTGACCAGCCAGCAAAGATGTAACCAGGAATAAGAATAAACTTGACATACTCGTGCCTCATGAACACACGCTGCCAGATGTAGAAGACAATGTGACGATTGTCCGCAAGCAGGAAGGGATGCACGTAGGTACAGCGGTAAACAGCTAGGATCATTGCAGCGGTGATGCTGAGGTATGTGAGAGGATGATAGATAAGACCTTTAAGGAACCTGCAGACTTTGCTAACAGACACCGAGAGTGGCAAGGAAAAACCAGCTGTGAAAGCTGCAAAGTAAAAGAGTTGAGGAAGGTTTAGGGTTGCCTCATGGTTACTTCGATCCCCAACAACGATGCCCTTGTTTATGTAAACAAAGGCAACAAAGCCAATGGTGACACACCCATACGGCCATACGAGTGCTGCCAACTTGAAGATGTTGGTAAGGGATCCTATAAAGATGAGTCCTCTTTGAACCGCAGTCACAAGTGCATCCAAGACAGTCTCACTTACAGGGGGCTTCTGCTTGGCACTCTGATCCATTAATTGAGCTACCGTAGTGCCTGCCATGAACACCACCCACACAATGTTTGTCTGCCGGAAGAAGAATGCATCCACGGCCAGGACGGATGCCATCAAGTGGTTGCCACGGATACAGAAGAAGTATGCGAGGAGAATGAAGAAGGTGGAGCCAACATCGGTGTAGTACAGGAAGACGAAGAAGTAAAGGAGAGGAAAAGATGCCAACACCACAGCAGTTAAAATGATCTTCACCTCATCAGTACGCTGTATGAGAGCAAACAATGAAAGAACACGAGTCAGTTTCCGACATTCATATCAATCAGTCTCTACACTTCGTGCCTTAACTGCAAAGTGACATTAGAAATATCAATATGTCATCTCCATAGAGGCAATTTGGTAAGGAAACTATTGATAAGCAAAAACCAAACCATTTACTCTTACAGAGAGAACATACATGTACATGACAAAACCTACAAACATTTAATTATTCTGAAAATAGGCTTATTAATATTTCATTTGAGCTAGATGAACTGATAACCTTCTGACAGTATTACAAAAACTTCTATCAAGCAAAACGATAGTAGCCTGTAGTATCCCCATAAGTACCCTTATGGCCAATAGAGATCATAAGCACACTGCACAATTTTTAAATCTTACATTTTTGGGTTGGTGGATGACCCGTAGTTCGTAAAATAGGCTTATTGATAATTAGTTTGAGCTAGATGAACTGATAACCCTCTGACAGTATTATCAAACGAACTTCTATCAAGCAAAACAATGGTAGCCTGTGTAGTACCCCCAAAAGTACCCTTCTGGCCAATAGAGATCATAAGCACACTACACAATTTTTAAATCTTACATTCTTTGGTTGGTGGATCACCCGTAGTACGTGGTAGATGACAAACAGGCATCCGACAGCAAACAAGACATTGAGGGAGCGAAGAACAGTCACAGTGCAGATTTCCGTCAGACTACTTTCAAGGAGAGCGGCAACAGGTTTCAGAAGGCCCACAGACGCCAGGTACAGTCCTGGCAAGGTGGTGATTTTGGGGTCCCACTGTCATGAATTATACAAGGGGGAAAATTCATTACTGTAAATCTTGATTATGCAGACAAGTGACTGTAAAGGAAATTCCAACCTTAAAGGGAAAGTCCACCCCCAAAATAAGTTTGTTTCGATAGAGGCAGAATAATAAGAAAATCAGGTGAGTGAAAGTTTGAGCAAATTCTGAATGAAAATAAGAAAGTTATGAATTATTGAAGTTGTGATCAATCAAATACAAATTGGCAACTCTGTGACTTATTATACGAGCTCTCCTTCATTTGCTTTGTGCATAATATTCCATAAAATCATGTTTTCTTCGTTATTGATGACGGAATATATATTTGTTCCTTGCAGGGGGAGTATAGAAACATATTTGCAATTATTATATTTAGGGTGCATGTATGGTTGAAATTTTTCTTGAGGGAAAATGAAAATTTTAGATTTTTTTAGTACTGAGCAAATGGAAGTTGAGCTCGCATGATACGTCATAGAGTTGCCAATTTGTGTTTGATTGATCACAACTTAAAAAATCCTAACTTCCTTATTTTTAATCGGAATTTGCTCAAACTTTCACTGACTTGTTTCTCTCATTTTTCTACTCCTATTAAAACTAACTTAATTTCAGGGTGGACTTCCCCTTTAAGAGACAAATAGTGAATACCTAATCTAAACTAGGTGATAATGATATCAATATCATATTTCATATCATCACCTAGTTTGAAAGTCTACATTGTACTAATACTATATCTTTGGAATGCCGAATACGTGACAGGGCTATAGTATAGTAAAATTGAAAATAATAATTACAATAATTATACTAATATATTTTGTAACAATATTAACCCTCAGGCATCAAAATAGTCTAGTCTAGTCTAAAATTAAAAAGATCTAGACCCCTAGGCACGTAGAACTTTAACTTACAATTAGCGCATGCGCAGATCGTTCATCCGATCTCCGCTTCATTTTCGTAAGTTGGCGCCTAGCCTAGCCAACATGGGCCCTTCAGATGGCTATCGCTGATCTCCATTCACTCAATGTTATAAGATATTTGTGCGAGGAGCAAGCGTACGATTTTCCAGTTTTTTCGATACCAAAATTATAATATTTCAGTCAAACCCTCTATTGAAATTGAAAATAATAATTACAATAATTATACTAATATATTTTGTAACAATATTAACCCTCAGGCATCAAAATAGTCTAGTCTAGTCTAAAATTAAAAAGATCTAGACCCCTAGGCACGTAGAACTTTAACTTACAATTAGCGCATGCGCAGATCGTTCATCCGATCTCCGCTTCATTTTCGTAAGTTGGCGCCTAGCCTAGCCAACATGGGCCCTTCAGATGGCTATCGCTGATCTCCATTCACTCAATGTTATAAGATATTTGTGCGAGGAGCAAGCGTACGATTTTCCAGTTTTTTCGATACCAAAATTATAATATTTCAGTCAAACCCTCTATTTGTTATGATTTTTTCACTAACCTAAGTATTTCACTTAAGTTTAAGTTTTATTTAACTATTTCTTAAGTTTGAACAATTCTCATTTTCGTCATATTAAGGTACAAACTGGAGATTTATTCTGAGATGTTCGTTGATTTTTCTATTTTATGTGTTTGCAATGCTGTGTGTGCGTCAGTTACGTGTGAAGTGCGTCACCTGTTTAAAGCAGGACATGTCAAAATCTCTATGGTGTGACGTAATATTACATATTGACTTTTCCATTGAACTTAAGTTGCGCTTAAGTTAAGTAGGCCCTCTCTCACTTAAATTTGAAGCCACTCGAGCGGATCGGCCAATGAAAGCACGTAAACTCACTGTAGATCTACAGCGCTCAACGGCAAAGTTCTTCGTGCTAGACCTCTAGATCTAGATCTAATTAACAGTAGGGGCGCTGGTCCAAGAATGAGGATCGTCCTCATAAACGCGGACAAAATGCGTCCTCATAAACAAGGATCGTCTGTATTTTCGTGGACGTTTTTTTCATCGGCGCTCTGCAGGTTTCGAGTTACCGAACAATTTGGCAATGCCAAATTTGGATTCCCCAGGGGAAAATAACCGTAGTTGACCGTCTACTTTTATGGGTTGTCCGTCTTCCCAAGGATTTATTGCTCATAATGTGAAGGTCTCTGTACAAAGTAGATGTAAAATGCATCAAGAAAATCATCCTGGAATCCATTTTTTGCATCTATAATGTGCTGATAAAAAAATATGGAACATCTGCTTTTTTGCAGACGATCCTTGTTTTTGAGGACGCATTGGTCCACGATTACAAAGACGATCTTCGTTTATGAAGACGATTCTTATTCTCGGACCAGCGCCCCTACTGATTAATAAGATTAAGCAAATAAATAAATAGATCTAAGTAACTGCTAATACTGCTATTACTATACTGTTGCTGCTTATGCTGCATGCTGCTACTAGTACTACTAATACTAGGGTCTACAATATTATTTTTATCATTTAGATTTTAGACTTATAATAAAAACACGAATCTAAGCACATGGGACTGAAATGAAGACATTACCTCTCCAAATGATCCATTGCAATACTTCTGTGCCTGAGGAATATGGAAAACTTCATCCATATACGGTAACGGCTGTGTTTTGTCTACTTCTGTGAATATCATAAGCGTGACAGCAACATGAAGAGAAGCTACGAAAAACACGAACACGTCGCTAAATTGAGCCATCTTGACTTCACTGGTACAGTGCACACTCCAGCAAAGCATCTATATAGAGAGTCAATGCTAATGCGTATTGACCTCTAGTACTGCATACTTGCTGTGAGGTAGCTATTATTAGACCTATACATAAATATACACACCACACAATATTGCATAGACTGCACACCATTTTTACCGATTGGACTGATCGGCAAATTTTACACTAGACTTACAATTTGAATTTTTAAATTATTCTTTTTAACATTAGTAAGTTTAAAAAAATGTATTTTACTGTTATTTAGGTGTCATCAATTGTCACTACAATACTGATTTAGAGTGAAATTAGTTGAGTTTTGTACAGTGGTGTTTGAAATTTTGAGAATTAAAAGCACAGCTTTTACTACACAGCCAGGATAGTGATGCTCGTATGTGTGGTACAGTGTACGTGTACAGTGTACGTGTACGGATCAATTAAATCGATGACCACACAGCCACCCCCCCCCCCCCCCCCCCCCCCCCCCCCCCCCCCGCAACCGATCCCTATGCACATTTTTATGCTACGTTCCACGCACATTATTTTTCATTTGTTTGTATCATTTTGGAGAGTGAGTGCCTGGGTGTGTGTAGGGGCGGTGGAGCGACGTCCAAAATGGGGGGGGGGGGGGGGGGGGGGGGGGCACCAACAAAAAAAGGGCACTTTCTGGAGAAAAAAAAGGGGCACCTCGAAAGGGTAAGGGCCTTATTGGAAAAGCGCGGTATAAGTAATAATAATAATATACAATTTGTTAGACATTGGTATATACCCCTATAATTGTGATTACATTATCAGGCATGATTTTAATATTTGTTTCTCTTTATACATCGTATAAGATATTGCTTAAGCATATCATACCTTGTAGTTCTGTGTGATGGTCTGCGAGCGAGGAAAAAATTAAGATTTGTGAGGTCGCATAGCGAAAAATTACATCTTATAAAGATGAAAAACCCAATCCTGATGGGCCATCAGGATTGGGGGTTATAAGCACATTCTCATAACAAAAGACTGAAAAGAGCTTTGATAAGTAACATAGGCCTAATTATGACATCTATAAATGCGAGCGAGCGTAGCGAGCGATATTTGGGGTATAATTGCTTTTAGTCGCTTGAAATTAGGGGCACGTTTGATGAGATAAAAAGGGGACACTTATCGAAAAGGATGACACTTATTAGAAAAGAAAAGGAGCACGTGTCAAAATACAACAGGTAATTATCAGAGGTGAAAATGGGGCACTTCTTACACCTTAAAATGGGGCACTCACCCAGGATGAAAAAGACACTTATGAGAATGAAAAGGGGGCAGTAATGATAAAGGGAAATGTGTATTTGTTGAAAGAAAGGGGCACCGATCAGATTTTAATAGGGGCAATTACCAGAGAAGAGAAGGGGCACTTATGAAAATGAAAAGGGACTATTTGCATAGCTGAAAAATGGGCATTTATGAGAAGGGGAAGGGGCTCTTTTTTAAATGGGGGCACTTATCATAAGGAAAAGGGGCACTTATTAGAAAGAAAAGGGGGCACATGTGAAAATATAAGGTGTGCTTATCCGAGTTAGAAAGAGGTAGTTATTAAAAGGGGGAAGGGGCACTTGTCAATGTAAAAAGGGCACCTCTCAGATTTGAATAGGGCAATTATCAGAGGTGAAGGGGGCGCTTATCAAAAGTGAAAGGGGCGCTTCTCGTACCTGAAAACGGGCACTTACTAGAGATTAAAAAGGGCACTAATGAGAATGGAAAATGGACACTTATTGCAAAGAAAAAAAATGGGAACTTGTCGAAGGAAAAGGGGTACGGGTATATAAGGGACACTTATCAGAGGTGGAAAGGGGAAGGGGCACTTTTAAAAATGAATAGGGGCACTTGTATAAGTAAAAGGGGCACTTTGTATGTAAAAAGGGGCACTTCTTACACAGCTAAAGGGGCACTTTTCCTATGTTAAAAGGGGCACTTTTGGGTTCTTGAAAAAATGGGGGCACTGTGCCACCCTGCCCATCCGGGGCATATTCCGACGATTTTTTTTTTTTTTTTAAATGTGAAACATTCTTGTTACATTGCATCACGGTGTTTTCACTCTAATTTCTACAATATAGGATTAAAAGACACCACATTGTCGCAAGTCATCTTGAATGCTCATCTGAATTTCTTTTCAACTAATGACATGTCTTTTAGACTTTAGCTTTGAGCTCCGTAGTCCTAAGAACAGAGAATAACAAATAAAGATGACAATGATAATGATGAATAATGATGATGGTTGTGATGATAGTGGTGATGGTGGTGGTGGTGGCGGCGTTGGTAGTGGTGGTGGTGGTGGTGGTGGTGGTGGTGGTGGTGGTGGTGGCGATGATAAATAATGACATTTCTTTTAGACTTTAGCTTTGAACTCCGTATTCCTACAAACAGAGAATATCAAATATGACAATGATAATGAATAATGATGATGATTATGATTGTGGTGGTGGCGATGGTGGTGGTGGTGGTGGTGGCGATGGTGGTGGTGGTGACAGTGATAGTGATGAATCTGTAAATGGTGATGATGGGTAATAATGATGGGAGTGATGCCAATAACAATCGGAATGACGAAAATTCTGGTCATGGTTCGATATAAACATGGTCCCGGTGTCAATCGCTTTGCTGTCTCAATTTCTGACACTTTCTAAATTCTTAACTTCACAAAGCATTACATTTTACCCTACCCTTATACCTCACCCGAAACCAAATGACAAACCTAACCAGTGACTGGTCCAAGGGGCAAAACAAATATGGAAGGGAAACAGATCTTACGAAATGGTCTAAAAATCGTTCGTAGCAGTTCGTAATGGTATTTGTGACCGAGGCTTAACATACTCTTTAAAAACTAAATAGTTAAATCACCATTTAAAAGGGCAAAGGAGTGCATGCACAAAATTAATGATTTTAACAGTTTAAAAATGCCAGATCCAATCTTTATGGAGTGAGATCCAGCATGTTCAAAGTGTTAAACTACCTTTTTGAAAAAGTGGTCACTCCTCGGCCTTTTTAAATAGTGATTTAATATTTTAATTTTTACAGTGTAGGGAAAATAACATGTAAAAAACGTTTTAATCTTCGAGTCATTGTTCCATTTTAACTCATGCAGTTTATATTATGTGCTTTGTAAATTTTACGTTGATTTTACGTTAATAAATCGGTGAAAATGGGTTAGGTTAAGAGCCTCTCCCAAAATACTCACCACATTTTACCTATAATATTTCACCCATCGAAGTCACCTAACCCATATAATTAATTTACTAACATTTGGTCTGCCTGACTATAGTAGTCGGGTCTAGCCCCAAGAGACCCCTCGACAGATCACAAAGTCAGGTCGATTTCACCCCAACTATACCCTTTGCACCAAACTTTGTCAGTAGGACGTAGTGCAACTCGACATTACTAAACCAATTTTGGCAAATGTGGTATCATTTTTCTTATAAAAAGATTCCACTTCTCCTGGTATCAATGAAAATTTTCCTACATGATTGGATTTGTGGTAGGCCCCTTTTTTTTGGGGGGGGGGGGACTCTTTATTTTAGCGTATGTCCGTTCTTTGGGGAGGAGCTTAATATGGTGGTGGGTGGGAATGGGGTGGTAGCACACCGGTGATTGGATGATACGCAAGCTAAAGGGGAAGGAGTCGTATTTTCTTGGTTCAGGTTGCTCTCCCCTGTTCACTTCAATTAACCACCCTCTCTCTCTCTCTCTCTCTCTCTCTCTCTCTCTCCCTCTCTCTACCTTTTTCTCTCTACCTTTCTCTCTCTATCTTTCTCTCTCTCTCTCTCTCTCTCTCTCTCTCTCTCTCTCTCTCTCTTTGCATCACCAGGTACACCCTAATTTATGTAATTTGCTTGTACATATACTTAATTGTCAGGGCTCATAAGGCATCAAGCTTTGCTTATCTCGGAACCCTTGCCAGTTCTGTTTAAAATGAGTTCATATTTCTTAATGTATACTGAAAAATAAATGAAATGAAACGATAAAATAATTATAAATAGGTCTGTGGTCGCCGAAAATGTGACATGTCAACCAATGATCATAGTAGTAATAGTTTGGTCGATTTTTGCCAAAATATTTTAGATATCATGTTCTGAAGAAAAGAAGAGATGAATTGGCATGTTTAGAAGGTGTAAATGCTTCCCTCTCCAACTTAGAAAACTTTAAAATGTATGATTAAATATTTCGCAGGCATCGTTACACATCCATAGCAAATCATTTAGCTTTGCACAATCACATAATAAATTAAAGAAACAAACTCTAACAAAGTGTTTATGACCCAGGCAATTTATTTAAGAGCCATCAACATAATTGTAAAAACGTAGTACTGTATCAGCAAAACAAGTAAATGGAACAGCTTCGAGAAAAAAATTATTTCGTAGTGCTTTGTTAAAGGTAATACAAAGTTTTGGTATGGGGTCATAAATTTGGTTCAAATGAACATAATTATTGGAAACATATGCGATCCTACAATATTCAGTGATTGTTGTCGCGGTTGAAATCGAGTCTAAAGTTATGACATTGTAAATAATAAACTCTTTATGTTGTATAGCTCCCTCTCAAGGTCAAGATATTAATTAAGCTATAAAACGATGTTTTTGGACTAAAATCGACCGAAAAGCTATTCCCATTTGGGAATTATATATCACATCTACATATTCTGAGATTTTCATGGTCACAGCTACCATTGAACGGCCGTAGGCGATATTTGAAATTTATCAAATTTTATTTTCGATTTTTCTCGAAAGCAGAAGTGTTTTATGAGCTAAATTTTTAGTGCTTATAATACATTCACAGGGGCATCAAAATGTATCAAAATTGTAAGGATCACTATCCACCCGATTTTTCAAAATTTTCCAAAACTTTGTACTACACCTTTAAGATTTATCTCCTGAATTGCAAAAAAAAAGTACACACAAAAATCATAATTTATCCCAATAGTATAAGCATTATCTAAATATATGTTAATGAAGCAACGTTGATTTCGGTTGTTTGGGGGTGTTTTTACCAATAGAGCGCAATATGATGGCCCTATAGGCAGATGTGACGTAGCTAGGTATCGTGCGCTCCCCCCCCCCCCCCCCCCCCCTGCCTACACACATATACACAAACAATCGAATGACGAATAAAAAGAAATAAAATGGGAAAGGGAGAGAGGCAGATATACAGACAAAGAGGGGGACGTTAAAAAAGGTGAATCGACCCCTTCCTCCATCCTCATCCTAATCATGTTTGTATAATTATTTATGTTTTTACGCAATGTACAAAATTCTGCAATTCAGCCCTCTGGCTGCAAATGAATTTTCATTAAGACCATTACCATTAACATTACCAATACCATTACCATTAACATTACCAATACCATTACAATAACCATTACCGTTACAATCAGTAATATAACCTTGATAATCCGAAGTTGTCATCAATCTAGCACCCACGCTACGCAACTGGATGCCAAGTACGTGTAGTTTCTACGGGCAAAACATTAGACTGGAATTACTGCTTGGTAGCGACAAAGACCATACAGAGTAGACTGATGATCAATGCTGAATTGACGGTAACCCATGGTGCTCCTACAAGGAAGACAAAAAATGAGAGAAATGAATCGACCTTTGGTTGAATTATGTTCAATTCAAATCTTCTTCTTTTTTGCTGAAAAAGAATTATTTTTAATAAATGGCCCATTTGCCATAGACTCTCATCGAAGTGCCTGTTTTCCCGACAGCTTCTTGCCGTCTTCAAACAGTGAACATACAATATTTGCTATTAATAATGCAAGATAATTTTCTTTCTTTTTTTCTGTTACATTTTAGGCATACATTTCTGTTTATTAACGATGAACATTGCAAAAAAGGTACATCAAGGTACATATATTTATGTGTACAAAGTTTGATGGCAATCCGTCAATGGGATCTAGAGATGTGTAAGGCTCACTGAAAAAAAATACACAGGACCTCAAGACCCTAAAATCCGATCAGTTCATTTGGATCTGCAAGATACATAAGTGTCCTGAGTTTGATAGTAATCCATCCATCGGTTCTAATGATAATGCGTTCACAAACTATTTTTGCATAGATAATGAGCCCCATGACCTTTGACAATGGACCTCATGACCCTGAAATCTAATCAGTTCATCGGCTCTGCAAAATACATACATGACCAAAATTTGGAGGGGATCCATAAATTGGTTCTTGAGCTAACGTGATCACGAGAACGGGACGTAAGGACGAACGGACGGACAACCCGGTACCCAGTCCGTTACATCCAGAGGTCCATGGCAACACTCAAAAGTGGTCAATTTTGACTGCTAAAAAAAATGGACCAAAACTATGCACTTCCGGTCTGATTATTGGCTTACCTGATATTTCCTTTGCCCAAAAATACAATCAAATACTAAAAATATCATGAAAACTGCAATTGAAAAACAAAAATTGAGGATATTTTTCTAGACTGCCCCCCCCCTTAAGGTGTCATTAAAAGGTGACACTAATTTGACATTACATCCTTACCATTGCATGTGAAGCCATCAGCAGTGCTTAGTTTGTATCCAGCGTTACACGAACAGCTGTAAGACCCGGCTGAGTTCTCACACGCCCCATTTTTAGTATCACAGGGCGCTGGATCATTCACGGAGCATTCGTCAATATCTAGGAAAAGTATTTAAAAAATTCACAAATAACAGTCAAGAGATTCCTATAAGTCTAAATGAATAAGCTTTTCCTTTTAAATTTGCAACAAATATTTGTATCTCCACTCTTTCATAAAGTAAATTATATATCCCTTTTTTAGAAACTTGAATAAATCTAGTCATCTGATTGGTCGAAACTGGAGTCGTGATTTTAGCCATACCCGCCTACCGGTCAATAGTTTTTTTAAAGTTGCCCGTTGCCCCGGATAACGGGCCGCATACATATATTTTGCAACATCTGTACAATGTTACCAAGTCCCTTTAATATAAATTTCGTACATTTTGGGATCTCAAATTACCTTCATAGCAATGTTAGGTCCTACAAGGGCACTAGAAATATCATAAATAAGAATAATTTTTTGTGAGATAATGAAAAACTGAGTGTCAAATTTGAAAGAACATAATATTTAAACGACAAAATCATCTTTGTTTGATCAAAATTGGTTCAGAGATGGCTGAAATGTAACGATTTATAATACTTGTGTACCACCACAAAATATTAGATATTTTGAAAAAATTGAAAAAACCGTTGAAAAAAAACGAAATAATGTCTTTTACGTCGTATTTCAGCCAATGCCGATGTTGGCTTTTTTGTTGGCATTTTTGTGTTGCTTATATTACCCACAATTAGCCGGCTCATGTATTGTTATTTTTAATGAAATAATTAATTAAAGATCACCATGTTTTTCTTAAAGTGGAGCTGAATTAGTACGATCGTATTGGCTAAATTTCACACATCTTGGGGTCTAAAATTACCTTCATAGCAATTTTAGGTTCTAAAAGGGCACTATAGATATTATAGATAGAATAAGAGCAATAACCATGCACTTTGAAGGCATTTGAGGTCTGAAAACAGAACTCAACTATCCCTTTAACTATCCTTTAAAATTGTTGAATTTGAAAAATCGTGTAATGAAGAGGCTGAGCTGAGTGGATACGTTATTTGATCTGTGTTGTACTGAAGCGCGGGTGTAGTGAGAAGTGGAAACAAAACATAACTTGCACATCGTAATCAATTGCATGCCACCTACCAATTCATGAGTGTTGCACTGCCAAGACTAAAAGAACAGGACTAAAGTAATTTAGTTTAAAATATCCTCTCGCTTTTGACGAATTCTATAACCGCAAGTAGTTGTTGTTGTTTTTTCTCTTATCCTCAAGCGAGGTTTTTATTTCCATAATAGTAATACATTTATACATTAATAACTCAATGATTGAGTGAAACCTAACATAGGCTAAAGTACATTCAATAATTCTTCCAGCTTAGAATTATTTTCTTTGTTAACACATTCATATCTTAAAAATGATCTTAGCAACGACTTAAATTCAAAAAACTATGTGGGTAGTAAACAGAACCATTAACAATCTTCTTAACGTGACATTTATAAATTGCATATTGCGCATAATTCAAAATAATATTCAGAAGTGAATATTTCTTGTTTCCAATATCCTTACCTACAACTATTATCTTCTGGTCTATTTGTATTTCTATTTGGAATAGATTAAATATCAAATTACATATTATTTTCCAAAACAAAGTCACATCCTTGCAATATAACATAACATGAAAATTTGAGTTAACTTGTCCACAAGAGTTGGATAAATTATTATTAACAATTTGCCATTTATATAAGTTTTCTTTTGAGGCAATAAACCTATGAATCATCTTGAAATTAAATTGTCTAACTTTATTATTACGAATTTGCTTTAATTTAAATAAAAAATACATCTTTCCAAACAAAGCCATTATCCAAATCTAAAAATAAATTCCAAAAGTAAATGATATTTGGTTCTTTTGACACTTTACGTAATAATAAGCTATAGTAATCTTTCACTTTCATAACAAAAACATTCAATTTATCCCCTGTTTCTATTTCTATCATATTCGAAATATTACATTCTTGTTCAAATTCATAGCTTAATCTATCCAACCAACACTGTGGAAATGCTTTCTTTAATTTTGTATATTTAAAATCAAATAAGAGCTGTTGTGCTTTCACTTTTGTATTTAGTATTGTAGAATCATTCCAAATACCATTTGTAATCAAATTATGAATTTTCAATAAACCGGCCTCTTGCCATTCTTGATAAAACAGTATTTTTTCTTAAAGGTAATGTTACTATTTTTCCAAAAAATTTAATTTGGAATATTTCTTACTTGAAACATATCAATGAATTTTAGTTCTGACCAAGTACATAAAAGATCTACATAGAATTCTGGCAAATTATGTTTAGTGCATTATAAATTCATATCCTTTATGTTACAGTTGAAATGTAAACATAGTGGCAAACCCCCTATTTTGTCGGACCAGTATCTAAACATGTTTTTTCCAATAAGAGCCATTATCATTCAAAAAAACGAGATATCCATGCCAAACGAAGTGAAGATATTTTACTAGCAATATCAATCATATTCAATCCACCATTTTCAATATCACTTATAATTACATTACGTTTAATTTTATCTTTTTTGGAGTTCCAAAAGAAACAAAATAATAGTCTGTTCAATATCTGTGAAATATGTTTTGGTACTGGTACAACAGTTGCGGTATATACAATTTGTGACGCCGCTAACATTTTCAAAACAATTATTCTGCCATAAAAAGTAAGATCTCTCATTTTCCACATAATTTTAATACATTTCGAATTTTATCTATTTTTACATTCCAGTTTAAATGTTGTAACAATTTCTTATTTTCGCCTACATATACTCCTAGATATTTTACAGGTTGATCAGTATATATACATGTAATGGCATTATCATGAACAAAATTATCTACAGTATTCAGTTTCATAACTCCTGTCTTATTCCAATTTATTTTCGGACCTGCATAGTCTCCAAAATCGTTAATTTCATTCACAGATTCCACAAATAATGTTGTGTCATCTGCATATTGGGAAATTTTTAAACTATCAATACCTAAAGTAGTTGTTGTTACATTTTTGACGGAACCCTTCTGTTGTCTGTATTTTGTTTTAATGCAAAATGTGATAATGGGAAGGGTCGGTAACTGCTTGTTTACTTGAAAATGCACCATTATACACGACTGCATTCAATCTTCTATATTCACCTCATAATCTGATATTTCTCAATTTTACAGTACGTAAGTATGTACATGTAGATATACATCAAAGTACTTTAACACGATGTCATGATACTATACGGGGGCAAATATTATTATTATTTCAGTATTCTGAAACTTATATGTATATTAAAAACACTAAGGAATAATGGTAATGCATTCATAAAATGCATTTCGTGTATGTAAGTAAATAATCATATGCATGTAGGCAAATATATACAAATTGCGAAACATAAGTGTGATTCGTCTTCATGTTCTAGGCCTATGTGTATTGTAATTGTAAATTTATTGTATCTTGTAAAAGTGCCAATGGAAAAAGAATGTCTATGTATAATCATGGCTAATCATGGATCAATACAGATGAAATGAAATCAATGAAAATGAAGTTATTATAATCTTTAGAATGGCAAAACTTAAGTCTGAACAAAATTTGGACAATATAAGCTAGAACTTACCCGTTGAAGGTATCTCTTGAGAAGTAACTTTCACCCAAAACTCGTCGTACTCTAGAACAAAGGTCGCCCTGAGGGAAAGACGTAACATGCAAAAAGCAGGTCAACATTTATTTAAAATCTACTAAATTCGAAAAATATTTAAATCTCAATCCGTACCCAACGAGATGACAATTCATTGTCGTTGTTTACGAAGAGGTTAGTTATGTCCCTATAATTGTCTTTCCATCTGTCTGATTAAATTCGATTTCTTAATTTGGTCTTGTTTTTGTTTTGGCCTTTTGGGGTTGCATAGATGAAAGTGAGTTCGCCGATCCTACATTCATTTCATATTATGTAACATCACAAAGTGATTTCGTCCAAATCTATATAAAAAATAAGTGGAGCAGCTGCACCCACTCCTCTTGATTGGAGGCCTAGAGAAAAAGAAAAATACCAAGATCAAATTGTACATGATCTTTAAAAATTAACTTGTTTTGCTTGTTATATATTTTGATTTAATACTTTCGCCACTCGAATAAACTTGATTTCACAAATACCTGCCCATTATGAAAATACTTGTTCATCCCCATCGCTACTGAAAACAACACTAAAAAGCCCAGCCTGTCCTCCCCCTCTCTTCCCCCACAACTTCCCTTTCATGATTCCCGATCAGAATGCGTCATTAGCAAATATAACAAAAACGATATTGTAAGATGAAAGACTTGAATAAATATATAGTTGAAAGAATGAGTAAATAAATGGATCAATAAATCATTAAATTAAAGAAAATGAACAATATTTTGAAAAATAATGAAATGAATGAATGATTTGATTAATTTGCGAATTACTGAATATATAAATAAATAGATATATAAATATAAATTAATATAAGATAAATGGATTTAAAAAAACATATTTAATAGTAAATGAATGAATGAATGAATGAATACATAAGCAAATAGATAAATAATAATGAATAAACATAATGAGTGTAATTTGTGTGTCCAAAATTGAAGTCTCCAATTTTCTGTCCGCCTCTATAATATTAGTTTAATTTAATTCCGCAAGTAAAAAGTGGTGTATTGACTCTTTTTCTTGAAGCAATAGAAATAAATACATTAATTAATTAATTAATAAATGAATGAAAGAATAAATAAATAAATAAATAAAGGTATAAATGAATAAATAAATGAAGGTATGAATGAATAAATAAATGACGGTATGAATGAATAAATAAATGAACTCACGTAAAAATAACGTTCCCGACATCACTACCAGGAGCGGTCCAGGTAAAGGATGTTCCCGCCTCTTTGGGGGTGGTGCTTGTATGGGTAACGCTGTCTCCAGGGCCAGTGCATTTGACAAGTTTAGTGTTAGTCGGTGGGTCGCTGAACGTGCCGACCAGGGTGTCGTCCGCCAACCGAGCCTGCAGGAGAATACCTTTGAATGATCCGCCGGTGACGGACACTGAATTAGGGAAAACAGAGTCCGGTCAATAATTATATAGCCAAATAGATAAATAGAACAGATACGTGAACGTAATTCATATGATAATAATTATGATAATAATCATTATTTTATTTACCCATCAGGAGAAGCCTCATCAGCATCAAAGCTGTTCTTGCAGATGGTACAATTATGTTTACCCCCAGCAAATAGCAGGTACCATTAACACCTGCATGGAGAGTGTCCAAAATATAGATTAAAGTCTTGCCAAAGGACTTTAGACCCGTGTGTGATTTGAACCTTTAATCCTTGGATTCAGAGTCAAGTGAATGAACTACTCTAACACGACATCTCCTTGAAATCTCGTTTAGCCCACCGCACACTATACGACCCGACTGCGATTCGATCTCGGAAGAATTTGCAAAACAGCATTATTTTAATATGAACATTAAACATGTAAAATCTTAATGACCAAGGGTTTGAATAGTCATATGAATAAGAAAATCTAAATTTCAAGGGATTCCAAGCTTCCTTGAAAGACGGAAACCTAAATAATACGTCAGACTAAAATAACGACTGTCCTCGATTTTAAGCCGATTAGGTTTTTCTTCTGGCTAGAAGAGTTCAAAGCATTTAAATTCTTGTTGTTAGTATTCTTATAATTCTTCGATTTGTTTCCATAAAACTCTCGACAGGTGAACAAAAACGTCTTCATTTCGTTCTGATCTCCGACAAGACAACAACAACAATAATACATTTGCCGAAAAAGCCAACATTCTGAGGGGGTTGGGTATAGCCTACCGTGCTAGAACTGCACCACTTGAGCAATGTCCATTATACTTATATAATCATTTGTTTGTATCGCCCAACCACTAGTACATAAACATTATATTAAGCATTTGAAAAGTGTCCAAGTTTTTAGGGTAAAAGGGAAATTCATGTGTGAAATCCCTACCGTTGTTACGGTGATTGCATTGTCGACATAATTGGTAGTTGTCTAGAGGCACATTTTTGGCTGTGCCTCTGAAGTTGAATATTGAATTTGTCATCGATTTCAATTGACAATTTATTTTTTTTTACGTCTGTTTTTGTAATCGATGATGCTATAACACTCGCACCATTGCATATGAATGTACTTGGCATTATTTTACAATTATATAAAGGAACACTGTGCTATTTTTCTACTAAATAATCGATATTTCATCGTAATTTCTCAATCGCTTAACGCATACCTGTGAGCTCTTCAGATGGAGTGTACATGTTCTTGCTGACGTTGAGGACATAGGGACTTGGCCCAGTTTGAGGCGGGAAGATCACACTTGCGTTATACCGATGGCCCGGTGTCAAGTTCACACAAGCACCGGCCGGGGCGCCCGTTGGAAAGGCCATGACGAGAGGAACGGCGGCCAGGAATGCGAGAGACCAAAAGTATGACATCGTGGACTTGATACGTTACCGAAAAAGAACAAAAAACAATAGATTTATGCAATGTTGTGAAGACATTTTCACCAAAATTAGATTTTTAAAATACAGTTCCATCAGAATTAAAGCTGAAAAATGTATTTTTAAAAAACATGAAAGTCTACAAATAGTCACATTAAAGGGATAGTATAGTTGAGTTCTGTTTTCAGACAGCAAATGCCTTCAAAGCAGGCGCGTACGCAGGGGGGGGGTTTGGGGGGTTAAACCCCCCCTTTGGAAATTTTTTGTGTGTAAACCCCCCTAAAAAAAACCTAAAACTCCCCCCCCCCTTTTGGATTTTTTTTTTTTTTTTTTTTTTTTTTTTTTTTTTTATTAAAAAAAAAAAAAAAAAAAAAAATATTCCCATGGCCGACCTAAAAAAGGTGACCTTACCCCCCCCCCCAACGGAGCAAAATGTCAAATTTCCAAATTTCGAGACCAAAAAAAAAAAAAAAAAGTGTCCTCTTACCCCCCCCCCCCCCCCCCCCCCCCCCCCCCGCTTATTCAGCGGTCGGCTGAGTCGTTGCGATTTTTTTGGGACCAAAAAAAAAAAAAAATGTGTCCTCTTACCCCCCCCCCCCCCCCCCCCCCCCCCCCCCGCTTATTCAGCGGCTGGCTGAGTCGTTGCGAAATTTTCGGACCGATTTATAAATGTTAAAACCCCCCCCTTGAAAAAATCCTGCGTACGCGCCTGCTTCAAAGTGCATGGTAATTGCTTTTATTCTTATCTGGGACATATCTACTGCCCTTATAGAACCTAAAATTGCTATGAAGGTAACTTTAGACCCCAAAATGTGTGAAATTTAGCCAATACGATCATACTAATTTAGCTCCACTTTTAAAAAAATACGGTGACCGCTAATTAATTATTTAATTAAACATAACAAAACATGGGCCGGCTGGTTGTGCGTAATATAACCAACACGAAAAAATGCCCCCAAAAAGCCAACATTTGCATTGGCTGAAATACAACGTAAAAGGCGCTATTTCGTTTTTTCAACGGTTTTTTTCCAAATTATCTAATATTTGTGGTGGTACACAAGTATTAGAAATCGTTATATTTATGGATATTTCAGCCGTCTCTGAACCGATTTTGATCAAACAAAGATGATTTTGTCATTTAAATTGTATGTTCTTTTAAATTTGACAATCAGTTTTTCATTATCTCACAAAAAAAATATTTTGTGAAGCGCCCTCTGCAACAGAACTCCACTATCCCTTGAAGTATTAAAAGGGGAGGGGTGTTTCGGATTTAATCATTCCTATGAAGCTATGTTGATTTTTTTTTTTCTTCTTCTATATGCTACACGACTTGTATAAATCTTTTTGTAATCACTATTGAAAAAGAAGAATTTAAAAACGGATCTTCAATTTGCAAGTGCTGAGCTTGCAACAATTTTATACGTCTTCAGTTTTCCCATCAAACGAGAAAATAAAAATAAACATATAAAGACGAATGAAAACATGAATACTATCTTGGATTTCAAGGAAATGCAGTCACACTACAAGTGATGACTATATAGGATTTGTTCAAAAGAAAAGCGAGGTCATTTTGTATTTTCTTATTATTGTCACCCTTTCCACTACATGACGTTGTTTCGTGACCACGCATATATTTTAAGGTCGAATTGACTTTGAATTACATTTTTCTGTTCATTTACAAGATGACAAGTAGTTCCCGAGCATAAAAATAACCGATGAATAAAAAATACTCCAAAACAAATAATGATAGCAATAATAATGATGGTGATTTGAAAATAATGATAATGATAATTTTCCTCATCTTCATCTTCATAATAATGATAATACTAATCATCATCATCATCATCATCATCAACATATATAATAGTTGGTTCTTTTATAGCGGACACTCTTGCATGGCGCTTCAGGAGTGATGATATTTATATGAATGCTAAAAAAAACGGGATGTCTAAAAAAAAAACAGAACGAGTTTGGCAACATCTTAAACACCACTCAATCATCCTTATGAAATTTCGCGTTAACCCGTCTCTTCTGCATGTTACGGTAAACCTTTGCATTGGCGTAATTGTAACTCCTAATTTCTTGGCGAAATGACCACTTAAACATTTAGATTCACATTTCATTCGTAAAATGTTGTGACTATGTATGTAATATATATATATATATATATATATATATATATATATCAAAAGAAAGCATCCCAATAAAAAAATGACTTGTTTACTATCTTCAAATTCATTATCATCATCATCGATTACGGGATGTAGGTGTTGGCCGCATGGGCGGATCCAGCCGGTGGTGAGGGAGGGGGCCCAATTCGTGAGAAAAATATTCAACGACGACTCAGCCGACCGGCCGAGTAATCGGGGGGGGGGGGGAGGCAGTGAGCACTAATATATATATATATATATATAAATATATATATATATATTTTTTTTTGGGGGGGGCTCTAATTTTTTCTTCTATTTTGTAAATGTAAAATTAACATTACCATTTTTTTCAACCTATTTTTTTTTTTGGCCAGAGGAGGGGGACGCCCCCCTCCCCCTGGTTGGTCGGTAAATCCACGGTCACTATACGTCTGGCATCGTCACTTGAGAAAGATATTTGTGCGCTTACGGGAGGAGTCAGGGAAGGTCAAAATGCTTATTCAACCTGGCTTTGTCTATCAGCCGTTTGAAATGTTCGGTTGTTTTTCTTTGCATTATATCTTTAGACAAGTTGTTCCAATCCTGGATGGTGTGTGTACTAAATAATAATTCATTTCTTATGTCAAGTATAACGAATGTAAGTATGTTTTGTTGACAAAACATCAACAAATGAAGAGCTTGATTCCAAAAGGAGCTAAATCCATATTTTATCAAAATTGAGTTATCTGTCTTAAAATAATGATTTCCTACATGGGGAGAAAATGCACTATATCACATTCGAAAATTTCAGCAGGAAGTTTGAAAAAATTTAGGTACAATATCATGTTTCATTCCAAAAGGAGCTAAATCCAAATCGGTTTCATTCCAAAAGGAGCTAAATCCACTTTGGGTACTCCTGAGTAAATCACCTTTTTTATTTCTCCACTTTCCTTTTAGCCATGTACCTTCATGATGTTATATATGTTAAAGGTGTCGCCCTGGACCAATAATAAAGGATAAGAAAAACAAATCTACCAGTTATTTCTGATATTACTACATTTTTAGATTTCGTGGATTTAGCTCCTTTTGGAATGAAACATGGATTTAGCTCCTTTTGGAATGAAACGGATTTAGCTCCTTTTGGAATAAAACTGTGATATGTTCTTTACTTACTTTTCAAAAGTTTTTTTTATTTTTTATTTCACTATCATCATTTAAAAGGAAAGGTTTGCTACTAAATTTAAATAAATTTCAGTGATTTTATTGAGAAAACATGACATTTTTCAGGTACGATATCATGTTTCATTCCAAAAGGAGCTAAATCCATGAAAGAAATAAATCTAAAAATTCATTAAAAATCAGGAAAAACTCGTAGATTTTTTCTTATCATATATTATTGGTCCAGGGTGACACCTTTAACATATATAACAACATTAAGGTACATGGCTAAAGGGAAAGTGGAGAAATAAAAAAAGGCGATTTACTCAGAAGTACCCAAAGTGGATTTAGCTCCTTTTGGAATGAAACTCTTCAAATCATCTTTTTTGTATTATATTATTGTCCTCTTACGGACCAAAAATGAAGGGATTTAATCATGGGCACAACATTTCCAAAACAACAAAGAAAATTACTTTTAAAAAACTTTTAAAGGGGAAATTTGATGTCCGCTTTGCCCTACATCCGCGGGGGAGAATAAATATGACGCAGATCGAAAGACAAACTATGAACCGCTCTTAGAGTTAGGTAATAGACGACTCCAACGGGGAAATGGTGTTCACTTCCTTTTTAATGCGGATTCTGAAATAAAATTTAATTTCAAAAACGATTCAACCACCTGATGTTTGATAATCTGTGCCCAAAGAGCCAAAATGCTATGTTTTATGGGTCCACCAGTGTTTTTTTTTTTTTTTAGAACAAAAATTTTGGTTGAAAAAAAAAAAGTTCTTTTGGTGTAGAAAACCAACTATGAACAATACAGTGAAATATGGTATAGGTTAGACCCACACAAGACCTCATGGACCCTGAAACTGCTCCAAAAGGGCCCAAAGGACCAGCAACTCTAGATAGTCAAGAGGCCTGCCTTAAACTATTTTTTTTGTGGGGGGGGGAGGGGTTAATAGGATCACAGTTAATCTCTTTTCGGTATCAAAATACAATGATACATCAGTGTTGTGTGAATAAGGGTTTGATAGACAAATATGTCTCAGGTAGGCAAAATCTTATTTTTAAGGGCCCAAAATGTAACATAAGTTTTTCAAGAGCATCAAACTATAGTAACATGATATGTTTTCTTTCGACATACTTTGTGTAATTGTATTATACTAAAGGTGCTTGATGAACTATTTTAAAGTGCAAAAATAGACTAGGAAATCTCCCTGCATGCTTTCATATTTCTACAGATTAATTCCTATTTATAAGAAAAACAGGTAATGTTCCATCATAATACTAATAACATGAATTCGAATATTAACGTCACGAAATTCCGTGAATAGACATGCACGTACAATGAACACGATAAACATAACAAAAAGTAGTCAAGGCAGGGTATAAATAATAACACGACGGTATAACTACGATATCACAGCATCCATAAGTGCGGTTATAATTATAAGGTATTTTGTGAGCGAATTTATAACTAAATACTTAACACACACAAAGAAGCATTTTTGTTTAATGTCATGCGGTAGCATCTGCATAAAGAAAAGAAATGAAAGTAAGTAATTCTTGACCAACACAAATATAAAAATTAAAAAAATATAAAAAAATAGGAAATGAAATAAGAAACGTAAGTTCATAAACGTGAGTCCAAAATGAATCCGATTGACATTATTTCCAGCTAAATGTATTCAATGGATATATGAAAATGATATAGGACACTCTATTTCTATCGATTTTACTCACCGATTTTTGGCTTCTTTG